GCTTGATAATGACTAGAGAAGCCTAGTCGAAACGTCGCTCAGTAAAAAGCAGTAATTGTATTCCATAGAATTGTGACCTGTATACCCTGTTATAACAGACTGCTCGACAAATTTTATTTTCCGCTTAATTCAAAAATATTATAAATACAACACACTTTCTGTTTAAATAATTTGATCGGTTTTAAATGGGCGATACAAGTAAATAAAAAACATAAGGCAAAAAAATAATTTGGAACAAAACATGACTTCCCGAAATTCTAACCGATACAAAGATAAGCATACATTACATTGACAACAATGGAAAATAATTTTGTTTGAACAAAAAAGGTTAAAATAAATGCCACCAAAAAGGGATAAAATGATGGATATTTCTAAAACAAGGGGTAATTTATTATCAGTTGTCCCATATATCCTAGTCATAATTTCACGGTATGAAAATTGTTGATAAATTAGCATTATCGGTGCACATGGTGGGTGCATTTTTCGCTTTTGTTACGTACAAAAAAAATCCAGTGTAACCAAGAACAATGTACATCACTTTGATGGTGCATATGTTAATAAATTTTACAAATAATGCACATAGTACAATCTTAACGACGCATCACCGAAGAGAGTTTTTTGTTGTTAGTTTTGTTCCATAAACATGGCATTGTAAATACGTGTACAGATGCTCATAGTGATCTTTGACACCACCGTCAAATGATACTCTCTCCATTTACACAATTTCTACATAAATATTTGATTAGGAAAATGGATCATCAATGAAATAATGAGAAAAAGAGGAGTAGACTGTTAGTGTGTATCCGTTCCATTAGATACTAGAATATCACTGATCACTTCACAATCTAATTATATGGGAGGTTATTAGATTAGGGAGCCAACTCCAAAACTTTTGTGGTCGCTCTTATTCCAGTTTGATGGACGTCCGTTCCGCCATCTTGAATGATTTATACCGAGTAATGATGGGGATGATTTTAGCGGATATTCTATTAGAAGTCTGACATTCGTATGGCTTGTCGTTATTTCACCATGAAGGATTGTACTTGCAATAAAGGAACGAGTAATTTCATTAGTTTCGCTACTTGATTCAATAGCAATATTATCCATAACATTGCTGTTACATTGGGCCACTGACTGTAACATCGCCATTTTCAATGGAAGCCAAAATAAAAACCCATTGATGGTAAATCTCATTCCAAATTTCATGTTGATAATTAATTCAAATAGAGAGAATTTCAAACACATTTTTTTCTGAATGTAGATTTATGGATAGCCTACAATCCGAGTTTAGGATTGGGGGATAGGTTTGGGTACAACCTTAAGGTTATGCATTATGTCTGGGTACAATCTTAATGGGCATACGTTTGGATACAAACTTATAGGGTTATGCATTATGTTTGGGTAAAATCTTGACGTTATAATGGGCATAAGTTTGGGTACAACCTTAGGATTATGCATTATGTTTGGGTACAATATTGGCGTTATAATTGGGATATGTTTGGGTACAACCTTGGGGTTATGCATTATATTCGGTACAATCTTGGCGTTATAATGGGCATAAGTTTGGGTACAACCTTAGGGTTATAATGGAAATAAGTCTGTGTGTTGAGGAAATAAGTTTGAGCACAGTTTCAAGGTTATAATGTGCACCATCCAGGGTTAAAATGGATTCAATATCTGAGGTCACAATATGATTATATTGAAATTAAAATTTTGTTGAAAATGATGCGATGGAATTACAGATGAACGATATTTCGATACAGCTCAGAAGTGTTGAATATTGGTAACCATAATCATCTGTTTAAAAAAAGGATTGGTCTGAAACTGATATTTCATTTTAAAGAGAGCACATACAATGGCCATATTAAAACTTTATGTACTAAAAACCAGAGTTTATTATAGAAGAAGAAGAAAGAAGAAGAAGAAACTTTATTGCATAGAAAAACCATACAAAGTTATGTGCATATACAAAATAAAAATAATAGAAATATACATGGAACAAACAAAGGATACATACATGTACATAATTATACAAAGATACACAACTTTACAAAGACATGAACGAATTGTATACAAAAGCTCCTAAACATTTGAAAATTTCTACATTTTTATTCCTCCTCAGTATTTTAAATTATTGTAAATCATTCAGTTTATACAAATTTTGTTCACGAATTTATATAGATTTACAGAAATTTAATTCAAATCCATGCATAATTAATTGAGACATCTTCACCCACAATGGCAAATATTGACCTCACAGTGACCAAATGCATATTATAAATGTTTATTTCTTAATTACCGTATACAGCCGGGATGAGTACTCATTAACGCATGACTGCTTTATTTGTAATCTTCAGATTTTTTTTACGCATATTTAGATATATTTCATCATCAGTAGATAATTTCTTAGTAATTGATTTACTATTTTGACTCATCTGAGAATGTGTGATCAACCACACAAGCACGACAGATGATCGGTCATTTTACTAGTTAATTACATAATTAGTAGCCAGTTAGTAGTTGTACACGTCAATTTTTAATGATAGATGAGTGAGGTCTTAAGATATATATCTTAATTAAACGTACAAAAATATTAAATTCCTAACAAATCCCACCTTCTTGTCTTAATGTATATAACCTTTACTTTCACGCAGATGGCCTCCACATAACGGTAGCGTATATATATAATGACTATAAAAAGATGTAAATACATCGGTTACCTAGAGAAAATGACATCTTTAATGACAGGAAGAGTATTTCATCGGATGGTGTACTCTGACTTTAATTATTAATAACACGCCTTGATTTAGAGACCATGTGATAAATGCGTGAATATTTCAGACATTGAAGTAAATGTAATGATTATTCAATTTATGTTTTATGTCTCCCATTTCTTACCATGGTAAATGACAAACTCATGCATAAGGAAAACAATAAAATGTCATGAATATTGTGGCTGACAAGTTGCGAAAATTAATGGATATAAAGAAAAAACCCATTATGAAATTATTAGCATATTACGATGCTCAAAGTCACAAGTACGAATTTTATGTTCGTATATTTATGGAACCAAGAAACCCCCAGGTTATTTTAGAGATAATTTTGGAATACATGTCTCAGGTGTTGCACAATGAGGGTTTTTCAAGGTCACGAAAGTGATGTGCATTGTGTTAAAAATCTACTGATGTCTGTAGGAGCCACGGTGGTTAAGTGGGTAAGACGCTGGCTCGCTAGCCTGGAGGTCGCGGGTTCTCTCCCGGTGTTGGCCAAGAGAGTCAGTCGAGATTTTTCGGCGTGGTTTCCGCTTGTCAGTGGTGCAGTATGGTCTGGCAAGGACAGCTGTCTAGTAGTTCGGATGCGACGATAAACCGAGGCCCAGTGTACACATTGGCGTGCACGTAAAAGATCCCTTGGCAGTTGGAATTCGATATAAGAGTAGGCCCTAGCGCCGCTGTCCGGGCAAAATTTCCCTCATAACACAATGTATGGCGTATGCCCGTTTTCATTAGCCCAGTCGGAGCAGAACAGTAGGACGTTAAACCTCATTTCATTTCTGAAATAAAGTAATTATTATTATTATTATGCTGTGGGAAAATAATAATAACTAATATTTGGACTTGAAGACAAAATTAATTGACCGTTGCTGATACTCTTTGGGTTTATGGGGTGCCCTGTCTGACTGCGTGATCCTTTCGCAAAAAAACGAATTACATGTATATATGTTATTCAAAAATAACTTATGGACAAATTGTTACTCGTTCAAGAATCGACAAGGGTTTAGCTTATGAGTTCGCAGATGACTGCGAAGTTCCGCTACTTTCGAGTGATAGATTTCTGATAATTTTGGCACAAAGATAATTTTGAAAATCTATATAAATGACTGCTTTGTATCACAATTCAAAGTATTAGTATTCCCAGTATAGGAGTACGCGGAATTGACTCGTCCTTTGGATTTTGTTTTTGATGACAAGGCCAACGGGAGCGAACGCTTGTACCTCATTGGCCTATATTCCTAGTTTTTATTTCGTTCTGACGTTGATACTGGAGCGAACGCTTGTACCATGTTGGCCTGTATTCATAGTTTTTATTTCGTGCTGACGTTTATTTCTGGTGATAAATTTTGCTATGAATATCAATTAGTTACATAAATCATTAAATATACTCTTTTGGACGCCCCATCGACTGACGGGTGACAATCATTATGACAATGTCCACCCTCCAGCTTATTACCTGACAAAATGTGTAAAATCTGTATTGATATCGGCCACGTGGTTCTGATATACGCATATTACTAGCTTAACATGTAAAGTGTGACATTAATATTAACGAAGACAAAACGGCGATCTCAGATATGTTGATATTTATTGTGTAATATATAATTGATATAATTATTATTTATTTTTAAAAAGAAAACGTGATACGTTTCCTTAGAAATTTATTGCCAAAAAATGAAATTTATTTTTTTACGAGCAAAGTTAATTATAGAATTCGCTATATTATACGATTTTTTTTAGTGAAACACAATGGATACATGAGAATACAAAGAGACAATAAAAATTATAAATGCATCCAAGAAAAATCATGAAATAAATAATGAAGGGAGTGTATTTAATTGGTTTCAAATTTTGCGTAATATAAAGGATTCTTTTCGTGAAATAGAATGGACACCCGAAAAATTCAAAATATATCCAACACTAATTCATTCAAAAATAAACTTATTTTCTAATTTTATACAAGATTGTTTTGATGAATTAAAAACTCCATGTTTACATTAATACACTGCTTTTGTTGTCTGATTTATACATTTTGTGGAATGTATTTTATGTTGGTTTGGCAATTGTGTATTTTCCTGTTCTCTTTTGAACTGAATATACAAATTCAATGTTAGGATCTGGAACCTATTCAAAGCAACATCATTATGAAATTAAATATAATTAGTGCTGGACTAAATTCGGATTTTATTTTTTATTTTTGATGTTTTACTTCTTATTAAATTTCAGGTTTTGGCGTATGTGGAACATTTACATGGAAAATGGAACTTCGGAGAAATTCGAGCTGTTTTCAGCAGAAGATATCTGCTACAAAATGTTGCCATAGAAATTTTCATGGCTAACCGAAGTAAGTTCCTTTTTTAATATTTTGATACAACCAAACAAATCGTGTGCGTTTATTTTGGATTATTTTGATTGCCAGAAAAGGTGTGCTAATTTAATTTGGTGCTTCGTTTTTCTTTCACTGAAACAAAGTTTTGCATTCTGTGAAATATTGATCTTACCCCTTTCGTCTCGAGGCACCAAATAAAATTTGGATTATTTTAAATAATGAATGGAGATTTAAAATATTAAGTTACATCTCTCTCCCCACTTTTCTGGCGACAATTTGACACTCGGTGCAAGAATACAGCCCGGGGTGAAAGGGTGTTGAGGGATCAAACGTCAGATTAATGATAATGGCTAAATTAAAATCGATTGTGTGTAGCTTCTTTTGGCCTTTGTTGTAATATATTGTAACTTTTACCTACCTCCGGGGCTGAATGATACAAACGCCTCATATCTCGCGGCCATTAGATGTGTAGTTTATCGGTGCGCGTGCCATGTCAGAGTTACCTCTCGTTCCATCATTCTTGACATCTGCCCTAATTAATTCTCCTTGGACAAACACGACAATATGGCGACCAACAAAACAAAGCAAATATATTTTATTTGGATTATAATATTTGATATATCGTTTTAGAATGGGCTGGGTTGAATAACTATGAGAAAAGAGCTAAAGTCTTAATTGATGCGGTCATGCAAAAACAGAAGCGATATCTCAAACCAGCCGAGGGCAACTACGTGCAAATTACGCATAAAGAAATGTTTTGGCCTGTCATTAATAAATATCACAAACAGGGCACATCCATTTGAAAGCCGGTCGGTCTTTATACTTAAAAACTCGATATACATTTCGTTTATGGGGCTGACAAGGAAAGCTGTCTAGTCGTTCGGATGGGACGAAAAACCGAGGTCCCGTGTACACATTGGCGTGCACGTAAAAGATCCCTTGACAGTTGGAATTCGATATAAGAGTAGGCCGTAGTGCCGCTGTCCGGGCAAAATTTCCCTCATAGCACACTGTATGGCGTATGCCCGTCTTCATTAGCCCAGGTTAAGAGCAGAACAGTAGGACGTTAAACTCCATTTCATTTCATTTTCATTTCGTTTATTTTCATTAAGTCATTAAGAGCGGTAACTGCAAATAAAGTTCCAGAATATCAGTGAAATTCAGTATATCCATTGTGCTATTCTTCAACAATGCATCTAGATAAACTATAACAAACCCACCACAACACTGTATTAGTAGCCTACACAAGAAATTGAACTTTAAGAAAAAATTTGATTGATGATAATTTAATTGAAAAAGAAATCGACCGAAATTCCTATCTTTTGTGATTATTTTTCCTGTCTGTTTTTATCCATTTTCTCAGATAAAACTAAGTTTTTCCATCTCGTTGTTTCTTTTGCCTGTTTACCCGAAAATATATTTGTTTGTTTGTTTATCTCACTGTAGTCCAGACAGTGTCAGTTAATGCAAAATGTCAAAAATGTAGACTGGATATCTGTAGAATTGTTAAGGGGAGATAAATACTGCAAAACTCGAGATAATGGGGAGATAACATATGTTTAGTAAATAAAATATTAACAGGTGTCAGTGATCTGCTGTCGAAATGAAGTCATAAACAAAAATATTAAGAAAATATATCGTGATTTTAGACACCATAGAACTCTGGTTTCTGTTAAAGTAACTGAATACGTTCATATTGACAGTATGGTAAAGGGCAATAACTCATTATCAAAAAAACTGTTTAGTATCCTTTGATATTCCACTGTCTGTCAAAAGCCTATATTATGAAATATTGATATATCTTTAGGGAAAATTTACTTGCTAGTTCGTTTCTATTAAAGGGAAATAACTTCATATTTGTCCATATATTACAGGGATTACACCTCTTTTATTTAGGATAATATAGCGTTGGGACAAAGTCTATAAACGATTAAATATTCGTTTTCAAACATTAAGTGGAAGTTGTCTTTTATATATATTTTAGTATTGTTTTTGGCTTCCAGGAGCCAAATTCTCTTTGATTACGATACAATGTTGATTTAACGTTTTAAATTTGTTTCGAAAGATTAAGTGGGAATTTACTTATTGATTAATGAGTCCACGGTGGAAAACAACAATTAAAGGGCGTGGAAGGGTAAATCCTCCTCCTATTATTGAAATATGAATCTATTCTATATAATTTTTTTTCTAGCTGCTGTATTTTTTGCTTTCCCTGACCATTCAACAGTGAAGAAAGTGATAGAGGCCTTACCTAGAGTTGGTGTGGGTATCAAATATGGTTTACCTCAAGCAAGGTGAGTAGGCTTTCCGGTACATATACTCATGTAGAATTTAAAGCTCAGCTTTTGAGAAATGTTGTATTTTATTATGTTTGGGTGATGGATCTACAAAATCTATTTCAAATGGCAAACGGATTAAATCAATAGCATTTGTATTTTTATAAGCTTATCTTTTCCCAAGCAATCTTACTAACGTCTTTTTTTTTTCAGACGTATGTCGCTGGCTTCGGGTAAACAATTATTTAAATTATCCACCATGATGACAAAATGGCAGAGACGTGAGATATCTAACTATGATTATATCATGTTTTTAAATACTATAGCAGGTAAGTTTAGTCATAGAAATTTCATATCCAAATATGTGGTTTAATTCCACGAAAACATTGTACTTCTTTAAAATACAGGCTGAGGGGGGGGGGGGGGGTCACGAGCTCGGTCATTGAGTCAAGTGGCGTGGTTTCGATTCCCCAGTTGTACATGACAAGGAGTAAGGTCGCCTGTCCAACCTCGTGGGTATCCTCCCACTGGTAAAGACCCTTCGGCGCTATCGAAGTATCGATATAGAATTGAACCATAGTTAGTTCCGAAATGACCTACTCTCTCTCTCTCTCTCTCTCTCTCTATGGTGCGTATCTTCAACCGATAATATTTTTATTTAAATTATGATTTCAGGTAGAACTTACAATGATTTAAACCAATATCCAGTGTTTCCCTGGGTTTTGGTCAGTTATGATTCACAAGAACTTGATTTAAGCCAACCTAATAACTATAGAGATTTATCTAAGGTTAGTTTTACTTGCTATGAATGAAATGGTCTTTCAGATATTACAAATTATTTCAAATTCATTAATTTCCTGAAAAATGTTAAAATTTTAATTAATCAATAAATGATGTAGTTTAGGAGAGAGTCATTCTCTTTATTTGAATGTCTTTACATATTTTTTCCAGCCTATTGGTGCCCTCAATGAAACGAGAAAGACATATTTTGAAGAGAGATACGCTAGTTGGGAACACGACCAAATTCCGCCATTTCACTATGGAACGCATTATTCTACAGCAGCTTTTACACTTAACTGGTTAATACGAGTGGTGAGTATTATTCATATGTTTGTATATCGTATTTACTGAGAAAAATATACAGGCCCCTAATGAGAATTCATTGATAAATAATAATCTATACTAGTAGTACCTACCGGTATAGCAAAATAATTATATCCCATTCATGGAAACATTTGGGAGAATGGTCGGGCTGGTGGCCTATGAGATTATTTAGTCTATAGAGCAATTAAAACAACTTTAGACTCCTATAAATATCTATTGATTTTCAGGAACCATTTACGACCATGTTTTTGAATTTACAAGGAGGTAAATTTGATCACCCTAATCGAATATTTAGCTCTGTTAGTCAATCCTGGAAAAATTGTCAACGAGATACGTCGGATGTTAAGGTATGTAGAACATCAAAGTATTAATCCTGTCACAAACATACGGCAAATAAGCCAAAGGGATTTTATCTGTAATGCAATGTTCTTCAGTCGCATTGCTATTAATCGTATTCTTTACTTGAAGAATGAATCCAATACCAGAACTCGGAATGTTGTATTTCTTCACTAACTAAATTTTTTCTATCATTTTGTCTACATTTCAGTGTCGACTGTGTTTTACCTTTGATTTAGTTCATTCAGTAGAATGTGTTGCAGGTTTTACTATCATAACCAAATCATTTTTTTGTAGGAATTAATACCCGAGTTTTACTGCCTACCAGAAATGTTTGAAAATAGTAACAAATTCAACCTTGGTAAACAAGAAGATGAAACAGTAGTTGATGACGTCCAGTTACCAGCTTGGGCCAAATCACCACACGATTTTGTTAGAATAAACCGCATGGTAAATAAAATAATACATTCCTTTGATAGCGTCGTTTAAAAATTATCCGAACGAACTACGGCGTGAACTTAAGTCAAAAACGTTGGCATAATAATTTAAAAAGTTATTCATGAATACTTTGAATAATAAGGAGTTGAAGACAGACGCTTGCAGAATACCGACTCGTTTATTAGAGAATATATACAGTAAATGGAAAAATAGTTTGATGTTTCTTCGACATAATACTTCCTCTTTATATTTTAGACAAGTAGCTTTTTCGCCTTTCATTTTCAAATGTGGGGGATTCTTTTCCTTCATTTCAATTTAAATTTAACTAGTATGCTCTTTTTTCGCAGGCGCTAGAATCCGAGTTTGTGTCCTGCCAGCTCCATCATTGGGTTGACCTCATCTTTGGATATAAGCAAAAAGGTAAGCAAGACACGGATTAATACATGTTTAAATAAATAGTACAGGTACTTACCCCCCACGCCAGCTTTTAGAGTGTGCATCAGAGTCAAAATGTATATACAAATTTATGAGTATAACTGTTAATCAATACTGACCCCCAAGTATCCGGCTTGATCCAGTTTGAATTTCAACATTTCAGCAAGTAAGGACTTTCTTCAATTGTAAGTTAAAGTCATTGTAAAACTTCTTTTAACCATAGCATAGATCAGAATTTGAAATATATAAATATCATGTATTGGTATCTATTATCACAGGTCCTGAAGCTGTCCGAGCGACCAATGTATTTTATTATTTAACTTATGAAGGCAATGTGAACTTAGAGTCCATGACAGATACTGTAATGAAAGAGGTAAGTTTGACCATTATCAAGAATACTATTTGACTTTCATAATGTACCATATATAGAATACATGTATGTATAGTTAAAACACACAATCAGTTCATGTGGGGGTAGGGTATAGAATATAAATATTATTTATAAGACAGATCCTTAGGACTTACGTCAGCCGAATAGTAAATTTTCCTTGCTGTGTACCTACATACTTTTGTTAACTTAACTTGAAAGGGATTATCTTTTTCAGGCCATTGAAAATCAAATACGCAGTTTTGGCCAAACGCCAGCCCAGCTGTTGGCTGAACCTCACCCACCTAGAAGCTCGGTTATGCATTTGGTAATTCTATTTTATACAACTGATGTTTTTATTTATAATTTTAAACTGCAAAAGAAAGACATGCTTTAATTAATAGAATTTATACCCAGGAGCTCTCGTTCTATAGAAGGGTACTAACTCTTTGAAATATTGATATTTACACGCACATCTCTTTCTCTCTATATATATACTTATTGGATTTTTTATATTGTGGGGTTTAACGTCCTACTATAATGTAATATATATATAACAATGTACATGTACGTTTATATATAAAAACGTGGGATGTTTTGTACCTTTTAGAACCCTGGTCTCGTGCCCCAGGTAAAATAGATTTCCATCTTCGTCATCAAAACTTAGTTCAGCAGCAGATATTGGGCTGTTAATTTGTTGTATAAATAACCATAAGTTTTTCTGTTTGGTGTAATATTGGAATGTTGGGCTTAAGCTTGGTAGCTTATAGAAATAATATTTATTAATGATCCTGGAAATTGGCACAACAGCTGTTGGACTAGAAATGACCGTATATGTTGGCTGTACAGTTTTTACTAATTTATTTAAATAATGAAGCTTAACACAAGAATGATTGAATATTTTGAGTATCCTGACCCTTTATATTTTATTCCAGCTAACAGAAAAATACATTGAGCGTAAAAAATCATCAGTTCGTCAGGTGGAAATGCCCCGCTCCTTTTTTGCTTGAAAAATGATAGATTTACACTAATTGATTTACACATTTCTTTCATTGATTTAAAAAAATAGACACAGATGATTCATTGCCATTCACAAAATTAACTTAATGAGAGTGTTCTCTTCAGATAGTTTAATTATGGAATGTTGATAAAGAAATCAATAAGTGTAGATCTAGCCTTTTGGGATTCTCTTGGACTTGAATGAAACAAAATATATAAGCATTTTTTTAATGTCAGCTTAAAATTTCGATTCCATCATCACTAATTTTAAACTTGATCACAACAATAAATTAGTAACGAATGAAGGACTTTCATTTTTTTGGATTTATTAAATTAGAAATCTCACGCTGATTAAGAAAAATGTTTATATCCTTTAGATCTTGTTGGTGGGTTCAACCATTTGTTCAGATTTTAAAATTTATTTTTAAATGACATTCTTATTCTTTTAGATTTTAAAAATTATTCCTCTTGTTCATTCACTTTTGATAATGTCAACTATTTTATTTCCAGAATTTATTTTACTTCATTTCCCTTTTCTCTAATTACTTTCTAGCTTTTTGAAAATAAATCAATTTTCTGTTGGCGCGGGTCTTTCAAAATGTCTATTATTTTTGAAAGGCAATATGTATTTGTAATTCTTAAAAAAAATATTTTACTTAATACTGCTACTTTTAGTTCAAATATTGTTAAATTCATAAATTAGATATTTCATTTTGTAATTTTGTTAATTTTTGTTTGAATTTTATAACATTCGGGAATTTTACCAATTTAGCATTAGTACCACCGACGACGGTGCTGTAAAATCAATGTATAAATTTTTTACAAATATATGATTATATTGGTCTGTATTAGTGTATAATTTTACATTTTCACTCAATTTCAGAGTCCAATGATGTTTTCTAATAACCAAGATGATGTGTGTATGATAATGAAATTTTTATCGAATTCACCCGTGGTACACGTAGCAGCCAACACACACCCTGCAGTACCCTTACCTGCCGTCCTTACTATTTCATCTAATCACAATTTTGCTATAAATAAATGGAATTCAAATTATCAGCGTAAGTCCCGTGATACTTTGTTATATGTGATAAATCCTTAGTCAGGAATTTAAATAACCATTTGTGTTAAATAACGCCCCTACAACCTTTCAAAAGATCATGATATTTATAATTTCTTGATAATATCCCAAAATACACCCCTAGAAGCAGAGAACCCTCTACAACTTTAAGTATTTTTAAGCGTTGTTTTAAAATTGAATACTAGATATTGTCAGTTAATGTCGTATAAATTAAATGCTTTAAATATAAGTCTGTGTTCTAGTTGTTTCTAATTATTATTTTAGCTCAATCAAATACAGCCAGCTTCTCCTCAGAGAAACAGGACCCAACAGCACAGCCTCAGTTACCGTTAGCCATGGACCAGTTACTAGGTAACATTAATTTATGGCATTAAATAGAATAAAATTCGTATTCAGTCTCAGTATATTTGTATACTAGAATAAAATTTGTATTTTAAACAGGCTACTTCAATTTTCCGTGTGATGGATTGTGTGTACAGAAAGATCTAGCTCTGTATTACCGTGGAAAGTTTGTATATGATAGTAAATTAAAAGATGTCCTTTTGAGGCTATTATAATATTTTTTCTGTTCTATCTTGCAGTTTTACACACTGGATTATTCCGTCGTACATTAGGAGACAATTTTGACCAGAGGTTACAAGTCAGCCAGTCTAGTTTTGTTACAACGGCTGATAACAGATTTGTCTTTGCCAGTGGTTTCTGGGATAAAAGTTTCCGTTTGTTTTTCTCCGAATCTGGTATGTAGATTACAGTTTTTTTTCTATCAAGACAGTATTTTAAAGATGGAATTTGATTGGGGATTTAAATCAGTAAGAAAAGTAATGAAATAATTATATAAAATACGGTATGGTACTTTGGATCTTGTAAGTGCATTAAAATTCAAGTCCATAACACAAATGACAAATCGGTGTAATATTATGTGAAGTCGACAGATGGACCCCGTAGTTATGAGTGGACATTAGGCGCCATTCTCCCTCTCTTATATTGATTGATATTGTAGGTTTCTTTGATATATATATATGCGGGGGGGGGGGGTGTTAGCTCGTTCGCGTTGTATCATAAGATCTGTCATTTAGTCAACAGGCGTGTTTTCGATTCCCCGGTTGTCGGTTGTACGTGACAAGGAGTAGGATCGCCTGTCCAACCTCGTGGGTGTCCTCCCACTACTAAATACCCCTACGCGCTAGCGAAGCATTGAAGTAAAATTGAACCATATGTTAGTCCCGAAATGACCTGGTTTGTGTCGAGTGGACTATAAACCCCATTTCTCTCTCTCTCTCTCTTTAATATGTATGCAAAGCAAAGGGGATCAAGATATGTTTATGGGCAAGAGGAGTGCAGGTGATATGGTGTCAATATTTTAAAATGTTTATGTAGTGAACCTTGTCTCTCTTGTTAGCTAAGATATTACAAGTTATCTATGGACATTACGATGTGGTGACATGTATAGGAAGATCAGAATGTAATGTTAACCAAGATTGTTATATAGCAACAGGATCAAAAGATTGTACGGTAATGATCTGGATGTTTAACTCAAAACACCAAGCGATCATGGGTGATAATGGAAGTAAGTAGACTATAGATATAAAATATCCGTATAAAAATTAGATCACGTTTTAATAAACAAAGCTTAATCACATAGTAAAGTTATTGGAACTATCGCTCAGATCTATATCAGCGCCCTCGTTATGCGATATACATTTGTATAGTTCGTTTAATGTGGAGTGGAATTATGACCACTTCCTACTAGAAATATTGCGGTAAGAAAAGTATATGAACAGTTTAGGTATCCGAGTTGCCTAAAACCTCTTCCTTTATGCAAACCCCCTTTGTATTGTGGTAGTATGTTTTACTCCGTTTTCTCGTCACTACATTTTTAGCTTGGAAATAGTTCAACATGTATTGAGAGGATCTTTTCTGCTTTTTCCAAAATTACATTTTTAGTATTCTGACATTTAATTTATTTTAGGTTTAGATACTCCTACTCCTAGGGCAACTCTAACTGGTCATCTGTCAGAAGTTAGCTGTGTCAGTTTATTGGCTGAATTAGGTTTGGTTATCAGTGGTTCTAAAGGTGGGTTATTTAACTAGGTTATTTACCCGCATGTATGTAAATAGAAAACAAAGTGAATTTACATTTGCATGACTTTAACTAGACTGTTGGAAACTCCCACTGAAGAATCTACTATTTCGAATAGAAAAGATGGGATTAAAATTGGATTTCAGGTTATAAGAAACCAACCTTGTCAGTGGTACAGTACCGAGAACCTGGCAAGGGACAACGTATAGTTGTTCACATGGTACGAAAAATACAGGCCCCGTATACACATTGACGTTTACACGAAAGAGCCCTTGACAGGTGTAATTTTTTTATAAGAGTAGGCTGTAGTGCGGCTGTTTCTCTAATAGCACACTTTCATAGCCAGACTAGAACAATATGACGTCAAACCCCATTTCATTTCAGTTATCACTTGAGATTAATACCGTGAATGTACAATAGTCTTAATAGAGGTTTTCAAAGGTTCAGCCGATGCTGTTGAAATTTTCTCTGCCCTGAGTAGTCCAGGACACTTTTCCGATAATTTGAATATGTTCGGATTGAAATTTGAAGAATTATGTTATTTTTTGTTTTCCAGGTGGACCATGTTTAGTTCATACATTAAATGGTGATTTATTGAGATCACTGGATCCACCTAAAGTGTGTAATACACCTCGACTTGTAACTATATCTCGAGAAGCCTTTATACTTGTTAATTTTGATGATGGCAGTATTTGTAGTTTTTCTATCAATGGGAAATTATTACGTTACTTGGATCACAAGGACCATATCAATGTAAGTTTTTGAAGGGCATGTTCATGGTATGGACATTTAAAAACATAACGATTTTTCAAAGTAATATATATTTAACAGAAAATTTATGAATGTTTAACAGTAAAGACATTTTATTTTGAAAACACCTTATTATCGGGCTTTTTAAACTTTAAAAAGCTCAAATATTTCTTTCTTATTTATTTTTCAGTCAATGATATTGAGTCGTGATGGTCAATATTTAATGTTAGGGGGAGATAATGGTGTTGTAGAAGTATGGAGGTCACATGATTTCACTCTATTGTATTCTTACCCAACCTGTGATAGCAGTATTCGTTCACTCGCTTTAACACATGACCACAAGTAAGTTAATACTACTCTCTTGATTCCCATTTCAACAAGTAGCTTACTGTGTAAATGCAAGTGCGAAATTGTCATTTGACAGGCTATGGATTAAAAAAAAAGAAGAGTTTATTGATATTTTAGTAAATATATTGATCATAAGATGACACAACTGCCCTCTTTAAACATATTTGACAGTGACAACTTTCAGAATGTCCGTAAGTTGACATTACTTTTATCCTGACTGTAAGTTGACATTACTTTTATCCTGACCGTAAGTTGACGTTACTGTTATACTGACCATAAGTTGACGTTACTGTTAAGTTTGACGTTACTGCTATTATGACCGTAGGTTGATGTTACTCTTATCATAACGGCAAGTAGAATTTAGTCTTATCATGACCATTAAGTTTCAGAGCCAACAAAGCAAAAATGAAAGGGGGTTTAACGTGCTCTTTCCCCAAAAAGATGGCGCGTGACTGTTACCACACCATTAAGTTTCAGAGCCAACAAATCAAAAAATGAAATGGGGTTTAACGTCATATTTCCCCATAAAGATGGTGTGTGACTGTTACCACATCACAATTTGCATTGATAAATTTTGCCAAGTACTTGTAAGAGTAAACTGGGTAGGGGATATTAATTGAAATCTTCATAACGATGTTTTATTCTGTTTATTACAGGTTCCTTATTGCTGGTCTAGCTACAGGGTGTTTAATTGTTTTTAATATAGATTTCAACAAGTGGCATCATGAATATCAAGATAGATATACATAGATAATAATTGACACCATTAATACTATCATCCAGCCTATCGCCCTATTTGCTCATTATTATTAATTCTTATTTTGACAATTTATTACATGTCTAGTATAAAACCTTGTGACTTATTCACATTATCAATAATGTTTAGTATTGTTACTCATTATTTTAGAAATCAAAATCTAGGATGAACAAATTATAGCTATTTCTTAATCTACTATTATTGGAACCGAAATGTTATTATTTAAGAAATAGGCCCAAACTTTTGTTCTACATTGAATTTCAGTTCAGGTTTAGGGTAAATCTGTAGATAACTTTGCCTCTTTTTGTTAGGTGTTTAATATATTTTTATTTTTAAGATTTCTTGGTGTATGTATATAAATAGTTGAACACAAATCGTCCTATATATAAATACAAAATCTATAAAGAACATATCTTGGGTCAAAAAAGGAGATAGAATATTTATAGTCAATATACCTACAGAATGATAGATTGTAGAACCTTTTTTATGCAAATTATCTAACACAAAAAGGAGCTTTGTGGTTTATTTTTGTTAGAAAAATAGTACAGTTCAAAGAAAGAAAGGTGCATATTATATATTGTATGTTTTGTATTGAGATTTTTCACATCTCTTGTGTGTGTAAGTAACTGACTTATTATCCTAATAAGTGCACTAATTTTTCTTTTCATTATCTATAGTGAAGCAAAATATTTCTTATGTGTTGTCAAACCATAACAACTAAATAAATTTATATTTTGATGTCGACGTATTTCTCATTTTGTCTAATTTATTTTACAAATTATTCAGAATTAAATAAAATGTGACTAAATTAGCTTTTCTTTGATAGAATTACTGGCTATTCACTGTGTGAGATGTGTATGCAAATGTTGTTGTTAAGACTTGATTGATAATGTTGTATTTGTTATGTTTATATTTTGTGTTATTTTTTATTAGATTTATTATTATTAATATTATTATGTATTTTGTGATAGCATATGATGATCGATTTATAACAGGTTGTGTGCTATTGTTGATATCAGAGTGTTGTGCTTGTAAATGTTTTGGCTTTTACTGACATTAAATTTATTCAATAGTAAATGTTTTTGGGCAAACGGTAAATTTATTACTATTTACTTTGACAAACTTTATACGCACTTCAACTTTATTTTATGAATTTTGATCAAAAAACGCAAAACTTATATCCATAAATTACAGCTGAATTAAACCATTTCTTTACTGTTAATTTAGCAATATATTATCAATTACTGGAAAATTTTCGAAATATGGAAAGCTTATTTATTTATTTTCCCTCCATTAACATTCCCTTTTCCATTATTTTAAAAGTGCTTCAATAATTTATCAATTTTTCGCCTCATACCTTTTAAAAACAATTGATTGATGTCATTATTGATTCAATACATGAACATACTACATGTGTATTCATAATTTTTGCATTCCTTATATCTTTGAATAATCAGAGAGTCAATTGCGTGAAGGTACTATTTTTAATACAAATAAATGCTAGTCATTAATTTTGTACATAGATGAAATGTATGTAAAATCAGTGCTTGATTAAAGCGAGTCACTGCAGACCAGGTTGAGTGACAACATTAGGAAATATACGGAAGAACTGGCTCATAAATTAAAATATTGTGATTTGACAAGTTATGTTCATTTCAAAACATATCCAAAGAAAACGTTTTAAATTAGTATGTTTAAACCAATTATTCTTTCTATTACAGATTTTTGATTTTTAATTCTTTACTATCATAATTATATTAGGCTCTATATAAATTTTAAAGAATTTTATTTATTTATGTTTATTACTCTGATCATTCCAAACTAAAGCAAAGACATCTAAAAAAAATACAGTGATTTTAATGTTAAAGCCATCAGTCATAAAATTGTATCTGGAATAAAATTCTAATACCAAGTAATATATATGTATATAAAGATAGATAAAAAAAAGTGTTGTTATATATATATACAGATTTTCATTATATGTGCATGGGTGTGGATTTTAATTATTGTTTTTGCTTTATTGATGTACAAATTGTACATTATAATTATTATACATATATATATACATAAAACTAGATCATATTGTCATAATAAAGGGGACATTTATAGTTAGATATTTTGTTTTCTATCTCAATTGTTATTGGATGTGATCAGCAACATTTAAAGTCTGTATATTCTACTACATGTATCTGGGGAAGTTTTACCGTTAGGACGCAGCATTCTCTTTGGGGGGCTTTCTCATTTGTCAGCCTTGAAAAAAGTGTATCCATCAATATCTGGAAGTTACTTCGTGCATCTGCCATTCTTTCCCACATTATATTTAGTTCCAAGTCAAACATGTAGATGCATTATTCAATAATGGTGGGGAAACACAAACTAGGTCATTTTGGGACTAACTTGGTTCAATTTTATTTCAATAATTCGCTTGCGCGTAGGGTTCTTTAGCAGTGGGAGCAAACCGGAGAAAACCTACGAGGTTGCACAGGTGGACTCAATGACAGACCTTATGATGCAGCGCGCACCCGCTAACAATTCAGCTATCCCCCATCCCCACCCCGTTTCAAAACTGCTGCAATATACGTCAACATTCCTGCTTTCATTGATGTGGTACTTTTTAAAATGAAGAGTATGAAATGGCTGCAATGACTGTAATATGGCATGAGACAAAGAAGGCTAGGCGTTGGGTTTGTTTTGCCAAATCTAGAGACTAAATATATACTCTTCAAAAAACGTAGGGGATATTGAAATGCAAATACCTATGCAGGTTGTGATATGATAAATAGTCATGGACACTTGACATACTTTTAGAGTATGTTCACAGACGAAGAACTTATTGACCCAACAGAACCACTGAGCTGCACATGTGACACGCAATAGCGCCATACACGTGGGAGGGGTTCATTGTCAAATTTGACATTTCAAGGAAGGGTTGATGAAAACTGCCGCGTGCTGGTTTATCTATCCATGTTTGCTTTCCTATCGGTTCTTGAATAAGATTTACTGTTTAGCGTATCTGGCTAAGTGGGTAAGACGCTGGCTCACTAGCGTGGAGGTCGGGTGTTCGATCCCTGCATTGGCCGATAAAGTTCATCTAGATTTTCCGGCGTGGGTTCCCCTTGTCTGTGATGCAGGGCGGAGGGCCTGACAAGGACAGCTGTCTAGTCGTTCGGATGGGACGAAAAACCGAGGTCCCGTGTACAAATTGGCGTGCACATAAAAGATCCCTTGGCAGTTGGAATTCGATATAAGAGTAGGCCGTAGCGCCGCTGCCCGGGCAAAATTCCCCTCAAAGCACACTGTATGGCGTATGCCCGTCTTCATAAGCTCAGTTTAGGAGCAAAACAGTGGGACGTTAAACCACATTTCATTTCGTTTAGCGTATCTTTGCTTTAGTGTGTTACGTTTAATTTGATGGGAGAGACGTTTTCGTCGACGTCAACGTCAACCGACAACACAGCAAGAATTGGCCGTGGCACTGCAAGAGGAGTGGGTCATATTGCCCCAAATCGTGATTTGACGGTTGATTAGGAGCATGCCGCGACGAATTGCTGAATGTCTGAGGATTAGTGGAGCAATTACTCATTATTAGGACACAAATCAAAAACGTCCATTTTCACTTTTGACGGTTTATCTCTTTGCGAGTGAAATGGGGCCGTCAGATAAGCCGCCCATATGAACTGTTTATGTGCATTTCCGCAGTTTTGTTTTGTTTCTGAATATCTCTTACTTTTTTGAAGAGTATAAATAAAAAGGGGGTCGGTGCATGCACCGAAATAAAATTTACGATATAAGGAATAAATATGCAAAGTTACAAGATGATCCATTCAGAATTGCAGTCTGTAGACGATTAATACAAAAATTGGGGATGGCTCTGTCCCTGGGGGTTGGATATGGAACAATATAAATAGGTGCCAACCTGTTATTGAAATGATTGATATGCTGAATTTGAACCAAATCTGTTAATTATAGCAACCTGTAGAGTATTTACAGACAAAAAATTATCAAAAAAGTGGGTCGGGACATGTACCAAAATAAATAATTGCTATCCTTACAGTATAAGGTATAAATATGCTAAGTTCCAAGATGATCCATTTAGAATTCCAGCCTGTAGACAAAAAACATGGACAGGGACCAATATAAATAGGTACAACCCTGTGATGGATCATTCAGAATTTGATCCAAATCTGTTAATAATTGCAACTTGTATACTCTTCAAAAAAACATCGCTAACGCTGCAATATACGTCCACATTCCAGCTTTGATTGATATGGTACTTTTTAAAATGAAGAGAATGAAATATGAAATGGCTGTAATATGATCAGAGGCAAAGAAGGCTAGGCGTCGGGTTTGTCAAATTTACAGACAAAATACTAAAAATAAAGTGGGTGTGACACTGCCCCAGGAGGCCGGGGCAAGCATCAAAATAAATAGTTGCTGTCTTTATGGTATAAGGAATAAATATGTAAAGTTCCAAGATGATCCATTCAGAATTGCAGTCTGTAGACGATAAATACAAAAAATGTGCGTGGCTCTGTCCGTGGGGGTCGGATATGGAAACAATATAAATAAGTACCATCCTATTATTGAAATGACAACATCAATAGTTGCCGTCATTAGGGTATAAGGAATAAGTATGCCAAGTTCCAAGATAATCCATTCAGAATTGTGGCCTTTGGGCGCTAAAGGCAAAAATTGGGCGTGGCTCTGCCCCTGGGGTTGGGGAATTCACCAAAATCAATAGTTGATGTCCTTAGGCTATAAGGAATACATATGCCAAGTACCAAGTTGATCCATTCAGAATTCCGGCCTGTAAACGATAAACATTTGGGCGTGGTTCTGTCCCAGGGGTTCGGGCATGCACCAAAAATAATAGAGGTCAGCCTTAGGATATAAGGAATAAGTATTAAAAAGTTGTCAAGATGATCTATTAAGCATTGCAGGCTGAAAGTGACATACAGACACACAAAAAGAAATTGGGCGTGGCTCTGTCCCTGGGGGCTGGGCATTCACCACAAACAATAGGGGTGTTCCTTAGGATAGAAGGAGTAAGTATGCAAAGTTTCAAGGTGATGCGTTAAGGAATGCGGTCTGTAGATGACAAACAATGAATACAAAATATGGGCGTGGCTCTGCCACTGGGGGTCGGGCATGCACCAAAAACAATAGTGATCATGATAGGGATGTTCCTTAGGGTACAAAGAGTAAGTATGCAAAGTTTCAATATGATACGTTAAGAAATGCGGCCTGTAGATGACAAACAAAGAAATACAAAAATACAAAGAATAAGTATGCAAAGTTTCGAGATGATGCGTTAAAAAATGTGGCCTGTAGACGACAAGCAATTAAATACAAGAAATGGGCGTGGCTCTGCCCCTGGGGATCGGGCATGCACCAAAAACAATATGGATCATCCTTAGGGTATAAGGAATAAGTATGTAAAGATTCAAGATGATCACTTAAGAATTCTGGCCCGTAGGCGAAACACAGACACACAAAAAGAAAATGGGCGTGGCTCTGCCCCGGGGGGTTGGGCATGCACCCCAAACGATAGGGATGTTCCTTAGGGTAAAAAGAATAAGTAAGTTCTTAGTATGTTACATAATAATAATAAATTCGCTGTTAAATTGGTCACATTCAAGAACGCAATATTATTTTATACAACTTTTACAAATTACAATTGTGTGCCCAAATTTTCCCAGCATTTGGTGCTCGTACGCCTATGCCCTTGATTACAGATTAAACATCCATAAGTGTACAAATGTCTTGTTATTGATGTCATCCCATTTGAATATTGTTCACAATAAGAAGCAAAATAACTAAGATATGTTTACAGGATCATTTTGTTATACGAAAAACTAAGTGATGCGTTTTCCATGGCGCTCAGTATACAAGAAATAGGCGTGGCTCTGCCTCTGGGGCTCGGGCATGCAACAAAAACAATTGAGATTATCCTGTGCAATTACATAACTTAATAATTTCGATTAGTTGCTAAACTGATAGTTTATTAAACTTGGCGTTATTTTATCTGGATTATTGCACTTTTTATTGTGGTGTTTTTGTTACTTTCTAAAATGTTGACGTCATTTACAACCTACCGCATAGAAATATATAAATTATGACCTACCGGCTTTTTTACGTCACGTCATTCGAGACTCTCTACATTTTTTCATTTGTATTCAGTATTGTTTTTTTCTTCTATGTTTTTATGATGGGTGGAACATTTACCCTACTGTGTTCAATATGCCTCGATTCTATTGAATACTAAATCGTTTCTTAATTGACTTAGAGCATTTAGTTTTAGACTACCTGTTGTTTTTTTTTATACATTTCACCTATGTGGATACTTCTATAGCAGCTCATGACTCATGTTGGCATTACACAATGGTTTCTCTGGGTTTTATTCCTGATTGTTTTCAAATTTGAGTGAAGTCTGTGTCACTACAGGCCCGGGACTGTACAGCGCAGTGGACGCCTACGGCTAGCCCCCGGATCCATTCACTTTATTTGAATTGTACGTTTGTTTCTGATTTCTGTGTAGTATTTGTTTATGTGTAAATTATGCGTGGTGCAGTCCCCCTGCACTTACTATTAGGGTATAAGGAATAAGTATTTAAAGTTTCAAGACCATCAGTTAAGAATTGCAGCCTGTAGGCAACACACAGACACAGGCGACGGCAGTGTAAGTCTACCTTTTTCACAGAACGAATTAAGTTTTGGTGGTGGCCATTCCCTGTCGAACTAACGTGGGTAAGCGTAGCGGCATACTGAAATAACCACGGTGAAGGCATTCTAGTTAGTGCCAATATGTGGGTGGTTACTTTCGTCTTTTTTCCATTTGGTCGAGGCCATTATAACCTTTAAAGGGGGATTGCTAGAAGACGACGATTCAGAAAAAATTCAAAGTGCCAAAATGTCTTTCGCAGCCAGAAGAAGTTGTCATACCAATTGTTGAATATACATATTAATTTAGAAAATCTGTTTATGCTCGGGTACTTGCAATATTCTTGCCTATTGCTGATCTCTCTGGAATGCCGGTTACTCTACACAAATATTACTTTGGTAGTCTACAAATTTCAACATTCTTCAGAGATGTCTAGATTTATAAGATTCGTGAAGTTTGTGATGACAAAAAATAGAGTAAGTTTTAATTCCAAGCAAAGACTGGACGTGGTTGTATTTAATAATTTACCGTTAATAACAATATTGCTATTTAAAGTATTGATTTCGTCAAAATAGAAATTTAATTTCTAACACCACTGTTTGATAATTATATCTACCACACCTGATCATTCGGCACCATTTATTTTAATTGTAGCACCATTAATCAAAAGACGTCAAGTATATGTATCTCATATTTTATATTCATTATGGATGACATTAGCAGCATCACAAATATTTTATATCCTTATCACAACAAAGAAGCTTTAACATTTGATGTATTTTGTACAAATATACACAAAAAAATAACCATGATATGTACAGCCATGATAAAATATGTTACTAAATACATTATGCTCAAATTTGTACAATGATGAAAGAGACGGTTTGCTGAAGAATTTTTTTAAATATCATTATTTGTAAATTATTTCATTTGATTATCACTTTGAGAAATTACAAGTTAGTATCCTCAATGAAATTCTATTAAATTTAAATTCTATCTTCTGCAGGTAATAACTCCATGGAAAAATGTTTTTATCTTTACAAAAATACTTAACTGGGTTTAATAATAAACAATATAAATAAAGAAAGCACATTTACAGTCAAATTATTCTTGTATAAATAAATTATAGATCTACTATAATGTCATTAAAAGTAACACCATTTACACCAAACATACAACATTTAAGCTTCTTATATAAATTACATAAAATAGTCTGCCACTTTCATTATTCTCTAGGTATATATTTTATATGTTAGAAAGCTTTAAGTCTTAATAGGCGCATTTTTAAATGCATTCAAATAAATAATTTCTTTTGACACATACAAAAATACCTTGGGCAAACATCACAATGTAAATTATCTAATCTTCAGGAAACTCATTTAATTTTAAATATGATAAGAAAATATTAGGACATTTACTTCCCAAATACTGACATATTTTAGATATACAATAAAATATTATAACGACTTCAAAGATTTAAGTCAAACTAAAACTTGTTAATATTAAATGACATATACAAATAATTTGATTCATAACACTCTCACAACATATAGACAATATAATATGTAGGCAATGAAAAAAGTTTAATATGATTAAAAAAGTTTTCATGAATATTTACTCTTGAAAAGCAATAACAGTTCTTTTTCTTGGCATAATACTAATCTAAAATTTTCTGATAAAAACTTTTTAGCATTGGACACCTAACATGGGATTACAATCCGGGGTGTGTTGCCAAGCACATATATGAATGTTGTACAATTTAACTTTGAAATTTATGGACAAGTTTATGTTTGGAAATACATTAGAGAGTTAACAATAATTCAATTCATATAGACATGATTTAAAGTAATGTCAAATTAACAAGTGAATTTAAGATATGGAGGACGATACATAGTTTGTTAATAATGATAAAATAAAGACACAATAAAAACAAACCCTTTATCAATCAGTACACATCACATCACTTAAAAACATATGTGTCCTTTATCAATTTAAAGTCATTAGTTATAATTAGTTATCACATTCGAAGGCATTTTTTTTTTTTACCAAACTTATCAACTTGTGTCTGAGTCAACAAGTTCACCTTCTGAGTCAACACATTCCATATCATCCGTGTCTTCATTACCATCTGGTGTTTCCTCATCAATCGTGTCTCCAGTGAGTGCCACACGGGCATAGTCGTCTGTGTCAATAGATTTACAGAAATGAATGGCATATTTCAGTTTTTCTAGAAGAATAGATCTACAGGAATATCGTGGCATTTTGAGTAAGAAGAAACAAGTATAACTTTCTGGCAGGAAGTGATCAGGAGGGTTGTATTTATCCAATACCTGAAATTAAACGTAAACTAGAATAGCCAACCTAATGTTTGGTGTAAAAATATCATCTCCATTTCATTTTAAGACAAGATGATCTTATTCATCAGGCTTACTCTAAAATTTCACTCGTTCACAGCTTTGATACACAATTACTAAGTCTGGTGAGGGCCGGCGTTTGTTTTTCACCAACCTCCATCGGTTCTCTGTGAGGTAATTGGTCCAAAGAATCAAAATCACTTTCCTCACATTGTAATTACTATACTGCTATTCATTAATATCAAAATCAATTATAGTTAATTCATAAATTGTAATACAATATTTGAAATCATGTACTTCTACGAAAGATGATGTTTAATACCCAAAACTGTGACTTATTTTGGAAGGTTTTTATAAAAACAATTTTATAATTCTACAAACCTGTAGTACAAAATCTCGACCCCTAAAATCTGCTATAGTTCTGGGCAGTCGTGTTCGGCCCCACACAAATCTTAAAAATAAAGATCTCTCAGCATTGGTGAATTCCTCCATAGTTTCCCAGAACCAAGTAATTAATGGAGCATTAGATTCTATGCCTTTGTAAGTAGATACTGCCTTTAACAGACTTAGTGGAATATCAGGACTTCCACATACCTGTAAAAAAATTATTCAATTTTGAGACAAAAAAATCATAAGAAAATCTAGACCTCTTTGATCTGGGTCAAAAATAAATGATCATTTTCATTAAATTCTATATGTTCAATTGTTTTGTGGGATGACAGTCTGTCTTCATTTAAAATTTTACATCCATAGAAAAAACCAATGTTCAGAACAAATGGGAGCCTGATAAGCTCACAAACAGCCTTTAACAATTAAGAAAACTGAATATTCATGTTGCATTTGTAATGAAATGAAGACCGACATATGCTGTGCAGTGTGCTATAATAGAAATTTTGCTATAACAGACAGTGGCTCTTTGTTGAATTCCTACTAGCAAGTTTTGTTTTACATGCTCTGAACGACTAGACACAGTGAATGAGATCAGAAATCTGGGCATTATACCAGACAAACTATCAGTTAATAGTATACTGAAGAGTGTGACCTTACATTATTGACATGAGCAAATATCTTTTATAACTTCGTGTGCTATTTGTATTACATAATGTTTGTATGACTAAAAGACATGAGAAGAATGATATATTACCATGGTTTCAAGTTCAAATCCTGTAAATAATGAGAGAAGTGGTACTGGTACTACTCCTGCCATACCTTCTCTAACCCACTTAATCTGATCATCAAACTCATGCAATCTACAAACAAAAAGTATCGATTATACATGTTGCATATCTATAAATATAACAAGTACAGGAGGATCACTCCTCACAAACAATTACACATGACAAATACATGATATTATTTATTTCATTTCCTTTCACAACTCTTTTCTTTAATAGTTTACAGATATTGTCTTACAGGAGTGATGGGCAATGTTTTTAATTTTCAAACCCAGTTTTTTATATGCAACATATGTTAGCTTTGTGAACTCCTCAAACAAATGTGGGACCTGCTCTAAAAAAGTCAGTATAACCTGTTTTCAGTAGTCACTTTGGCATACTTTAAAGGTATTGTCTACAATACTCTTGTCTTTTTATACTTTGAATCTGATAACAATTTTAGTTTCAACAATTCTATTAGATCTATTATTATCTAATGTATGTAATCATAATCAGTTAATCTGTGGTAAGTATTTTCTTTACCTATAATTCATAGCTAATTTAATATATTCAGCTTTATTATCTGGTGTTATTCTGGTATATTTAGAGCTAAGTTGTATTTCTTGACTAGAGGCACTAGGTACACTGAATGGCATATCAGCTTGTTTTAATGCCTCATCATCCATTTCTTTTATACATATCAATCCTAAAAAAGTTATAGAAAAAAATAAATAAATAAAAACATTAATAATCAAATTTTGCTACAACAGTTTGTAGACAACCCAGAGATTATCTGTTGATATTTTGCTTTTGTTTTTTTAATCCAATAATAAATTTGAGTACCTGTACATTTTAAAGTGGATTAAGGTGTGAAAAATTAGATATTGTCCTAAAAAAACATGATAATACTGTCAACTCTGATTGCATCTTGCTTGTAAAGTGAAATTATATACAGTTTAAAACAGAGGTAATGATGGCCCATGGCTTAAAATAATGTTTTTACTTTTTTTGTTTTTAATAGCTAATTTAAATATTATCAAACAACTCACCTGGAACAAAATCTTTATCAAGTTCTGTAAGGTCACTAATATTTAATGGCATACTGGCCAACTGTTTCCACACAGATTCAGCTATATTTAAACTTAGAGGACTGCCACTTCTTATAGCAATTGCAATCAGTATACCTGAAGTGAAACAGCATAAATACACAATTTGTTGGCTATGTGAAAGAGAGAGAGAGAGAGAGAGAAACGGGGTTTAACGTCCACTCGACACAATCTAGGTCATTTCGGGACTAACATATGGTTTAATTTTATTTCAATAATTCGCTTGCGCGTAGGGGTCTTTAGCAGTGGGAGGAAACCGGAGGACCCGGAGAAAACCCACAAGGTTGGAATGTGAAAGAGAGAAATGGGGCTTAATGTCCACTCAACACAAACTAGTAGTTCAATTTGGGACTAAGATTTTTACAATTTTATAAATAATTTGCTTGTACAAAAGGGTCTTTAGCAGTGGAAGGAAACCGAAGGACCCAAACCCTACCCTGAGGTTAGGCAGGCGACCCTACATGATCTATACCCCTTATGATCTATAGTGCAAGTGTTATATCTTTATTAAATTTTTACCTAAAAATCTAAACATATTCTGGTGTACAGGTGATTTTAACATTGGATTTAGTATAAAACAGTCTCTATTGAAACCTGATTCATCACGGCCATTAGGTGTTACTATTAGAAACGGTAAACAACCATTCTGTAATTCATCACACATCTCGGCTATAGATTCACTATATCCACCACCACAATCATCAACACTTTCACCTAAAAACATCAAATATACATTATTATACATTATGTGTTACAGATTCAATATAATCAAATCTAAGAATGAAATTGAGATGTCTTGTCAACACAATATTTCAGTGATTTTGAGGCAATTTAATAGCAACATTTTAATTTCTACGATTATGTGTGCATTGTCAGGAATGAGACTGGACAGCTGGATTCTACCAACAATTCTTCTATTTACATATGTCAAGGGTTCCCATATGTAAGTGGCAATGGGTACATGGTTCGACCCTAGGTTTTCATACCACCTAAACAACTAGGCCCACTTGTGAGTCCTGGCAGCACCATTTCTGACAAGTGAAGCCTGGGCTTGAGAAAATCTGAAGTTTCTTTTCAGCTGGTGTCCAGTTTAGTGTTCTTACTGCTCAACTACCATGGCCAATTAAATCAAAATTTTTAAACAATTTTACCGACCTACAAACTTGACTTTCCATACACGATGTGGTAACATCAAGCTATCAGGACCAAATACGGACATTTTTTGTGCCATCTGACCAAATACTGATTTGATTCCATCTTGTCCAGCAAAACCACCCTTATTTCTAGATCTCTTCACCTAAAAATACAAAACAAAATTGATCTTGTTAATAACCCAAAACTACTTATTATAATAACAATATGATAATTATTTGAGCCTTTCCATATGATTAATAGAACTAGTATATATTTATTTTGGATATTAGCTAGCTACATTTTCATCATTAGTTTTTTATCTCTGTTTTTAGGACTTGAATGATGTTTAACCTATAAACATTATCTTTTGGTCATTTTTATTTCTATGGTCACACATGATATATGTGGGAGAAGAATCTTGACTGAACAATGCCGTTTCTACCTAGGTGTATGAACTGTTTCTGAAAAACTAGGCAGACTTTGATGAACAAATTATAAGATTAAACATTTCTCTGTAGTCATTCTCTCCTTGTAAAACCAAATTAACCTTCAATTTAAACTAATATATAGGATAAATTTACCTGTAATCTATTTAACTCTACAACTGGACCATGTTGTTTATCTCTTACCATAGTAGCTTGAACAACTTTACGGAAAGCCGTTTCCTACAAAATAATATCATTTATTAATAAATCATATCCTCTAAAAACATTCTATCAGTTGTTGGTACAATGAAAGTGTACCATATTATACTGTTTTTTGTTCTATTCTTCAATATTGACCAGGGGCAACCTAGCCAGAAAATCATGCGGAACGTTTTTGGCCAACAACAGCATCAAACCAGGGAAGTCCTGGTTAATGATCCAGCATCTTATCTTATACTGAGCCACTGTGGCTCCCTCCAGGAAACAGCCAACCAATTATTTTACTAACAAGATAATATAATGCTTTTAAAACAGATCAAAGTTTTACGACTTTATTCTCTTAACTTTATCATATATACTATTCAAAAAAAGTAGGGGATATATGATTTCGGGGGCATAATACTAAAATATGCAAATGACTACGAAAAAAGTCACTATAGAACCTAACAGAAGAAACATTTCCAGTTACATGTGACGCCCAAACGCACCAATAGCTACCGCATGGAATGCAGGTGATGCTTGGGATCATCATGGGGGTCCAACCCAAGATTTGCACGACTCTGACTTTGAATGTTACAGTCATTGTGGCATTGAATTCCAGGGTGGAAACATCAGTTTAATTGTTTTAGTGACCAGAAAACAAATTTTGATATGCGTCGGCTTACCCAAAATGAAAGGTTATGTGCCCTTGGCATGCTACAGATCGGCACAACACAGGCGGTTGTGGCGCGGACGATGAATGTTTCTCAGTCTGTCATAAGCAGGCTATGGTCCAGATACCGTGATACACAATCTGTACAGGACAGACCACGCTCAGGTCGACCAAGGGCGACAACTCAAGCCCAGGATCGATTTATCCGTACCTTGGCCTTGAGAAATCGTGTCATCACAGCAAATCAGATCAGCGCTCGTCTTCAAACAGACACTGGTGTGAGAGTGAGTGGCCAGACGATTCGGAATCGACTGCATAGGGGTCACCTTCGCGCCCGACGTCCTCGCGTGATCCCTTGTTTGAGAGATCATCACATTCAGGCAAGACGTCGTTGTTGTAGGGATCGTCAACACTGGGATAATCGACGCTGGAGCAATGTGATGTTTTCAGATGAGTCAAGGTTCACTGTTGATTTTTTGGACAGACGTAGGAGGGTGTGGCGTCGTCGAAACGAGCGCTTCCAAGACGTTAACGTCATCAGACATGATCGATTTGGGGGTGGTTCTGTTATGGCGTGTTACAGGCCAGTACTACCGGGACAACATCTTGGCAGTCCATGTTGTGCCGTTCGCACGACGTCATGGCCGCCGTTTCATCTTCCAGGATGACAACGCAAGATGTCACAGGGCCAGGATCGTTACAGGTTACCTCCAACAACAGAACATCACCACATTACCTTGGCCAGCACTGAGTCCCGGCCTCTCCCCCATCGAGCATGTCTGGGACATGCTTGGACAGAGGTTACGTCAACGTCAACAACGTCCTACCAATGTCCAAGAACTTGCTGCTGCGTTGCAACAGGAATGGGACAATCTGGACCAAAATGACCTTAGACGTCTCATTAGGAGTATGCCACGTCGGATCAATGCTTGTTTGGCAAACAGAGGAGGATTTACCCGTTACTGACTTGGTTGTGATGCTGTGGTAACTTTGCTGTTTGACCCCGGGTATCATTTTATCCTTATAATGGTCAGTCTGTGCCTTACTTAGTCTAACGATCATTTGGAATAAATCGATGAATGTGAACTTCATTTCATTTTGTCATTTGTTTCTTCGTCAGTTTCATTAGGTGACTTTAATAACACTTAAAAATCAAATATCCCCTACTTTTTTTGAATAGTATAGTTTACTTACTTTGGCAGATGATACCAGAACACCTCGAAGACTATCAAGGCCATTTGACAATTTTCCGGATTCCTCATCAACGGCCTCATCCTGGAGATCAAACATGGAGATGGAAGGACAGAAGAGATCAGAGAAATGATGTAATAATACAAGACGATTCCGTAAAGTTGTAATAGATATGGGTTTAAGATGATTATATTCCATGGGGATATCCGTGGGTAATTTACCAGCACTAACTGGTTTATGTGTAGACCAAGCTAAACTGTGAGCTGATCCACATGCAACACGATTTATCTTCTTGCCTATAAATAAAAGATTTAACAATAAAACAAGGTCAACTAATGGTATATCGTTTGTTGTCTACACATTGGGATTAGCAACTAGTTTGTATGCTATGTGAAATAGGGTGAACCTGATCGGTGAAATTAAGATTAACACCATTGTCTTATACAGTACAGACATTATTGTTAAGAATTTGGAAAAATCATCAGGAGAGCAACAAATTAACCACAAGTTTTTGGTACATGAAAATAAATGTCCAAAAGCCGTCAACTAGCTTATATGACAAAAATCTTTTCCATAACTGAATATTGAATTCAAGCAACTGTTGGAGCAACCGATCTCAAAATTTACTCACAACCAGGCCAGGGTTAAAAATATTTCAGTTTGCCCAAACCCGACTCATAATGATTAGGTTTGGGTAGGTAGGTAGGCAAATTCTTTTTTTTTTTTTTGGAGGACCAGACTTTTGAGAACTAAATGCAAAAACAAAACAATATTTAAACTCTAACTTTATTAACGAGAACAGTTGAAACAGTCACAACCATTTTGTCCGTTGTCTTCGTGTCTATTTCATCAACAGTGATTTCATCAAAGACGTTCCTCTATGCCTTAATGTTGTTAAATCGCTGCAACTTGTTCGAAACGATTGGTTTTACTTTATTTTCAGTTTTTATCACTACCGAAGACGACAGTGTAAAGTAATTGTCCTCCATGACATACCTTTCCTTAACAACAACTATCGCGATAAATAAAGAGATTTTACGAAATCATGTGTCGAGTTTGGTGTTACTATGTATTGACATGACAGTGGCTGTTTAATCTCCCGAGCGATTATTTCGCGTTTGGCTGTCATTATTGTCAAGCGTAAAAAATAATGCTGTTAAAAAAAAAAAATCTTCAAAAAAGGCAATAAAAGAATTTGACTCGGCAGCTTTTTTTTTGGGTCGGTCGCGTTTGGGCAAACAGACAATCTTTTAATTTTGGCCCCAAGTACTGTAGAAGGTAGAACTTACTTTTTAAAGCAGCCATTAATCTAGGTCTTTGTATTGCATTAGTTGTACCATCGCCTAGCTGCCCTTCATCATTATCACCCCATGTATGTACTTCACCTGCGATAAATATATTACACATTACAGTCATACTGCTCAACAATATTACACATTAAAATCAAACTGCTCAACAAAATATTACACATTACAGTCATACTGCTCAACAATATTACACATTACAATCAAACTGCTTAACAAAATATTAAACATTACAGTAAAACTGTTTAACAAAATATAAATATTAGTTTAATACACAATGCAAACAAACTGCTCTACAAAATCGAACTTAAATACAGCATAGACAATCTATTATGTCAATGTAAATATCATCGCTAGAAATAAATTTACAATACAATAAACAGTTGGTACAATAAAATAAACAGTTGGTACAATACAATAAACAGTTGGTACAATACAATAAACAGTTGGTACAATACAATAAACAGTTGTTTGGGGTTTTGATAAACAGCCACTCAAGTCCTGTAAACAATGTTTTGTTTAAAATCTAAAACACATGAACTGAAAACTCTTGAGAAGAACAAAGTAATTTTTTTGTTTTTGAATTATTTTTTTCCGAAGAAATTGGCATGCCCTATATTTTTTATTAATGGAACTAAAAATGATGTCTTTATTTCGTTTTGTTTAACATCTGCTTCAAGGTCACTGAGACTTTATTGAGTTCATAAAAAGATAATTGGATGATTTTTTGACATGATTCGACGAGCAGTGTTCTCATTGGCTCTTCACAGAACACAACTATTCACGCTACACAATGATAAAAATTATTTTATATTAAACATGCATTATGCAAGAGCTAAATCTGATTATTGCAAGTCTTAATTTAGGCTTCAGATGTTATAGAAATTATAAATTAGATCTTTATTTAAACAACAAGACCAAAATCAACTCTGTAGACCCACGGATGGCTCGGCTACAGCTCGGATTTAAATAGGATTTCACTAATTGATTAAATCAGATAAGGGGTAACCTGATGAAAATACGTCAGTTAGATCGAGGCTAAATGATAGAGTGTACTTAGCGAGGCCGCTGTAAAGCGTTTCCGTATGTCATTGAAAACTTTACTTGATAATCGAGATATGTAGGTGGAGTTAAGGCCTGTCAATCAAACGTTCGGCGAAGGTGAAGACACATTTCGCTACCATTTCTAGGCAAATATTACAACGATGATAACTATGTTCAGAATAAAGTAATTTGACTGAATTTTTCAATATATTCTTCTTTCATCATCTACTTTTGAACTGTTATAGCAAGATTGGCCAACTCTCTATAAATATCTCCCATAATGTATCTTTAAAAAAAATATGACAAAAATGTACCTTGATCTGTACATGCCACACAATGTAAAGAACCACAAGATATATCTATAACTTTCTTTCCTTGTAAAGCATTAACTCTTCTAGGTCTTCTCACATGATCATCTGAACCATGTCCTAATCTATGATAATCACCTTTACCCCTGAAATAAACCAAATTAACATACCCAGATATTCTACATCTGCAAGACATCTTAGCTTTTAATATACATCAATGCTTAAATATATAGTAAGTCTCTTTCAAATTTTCACAATATTATTTAAAGGTTGATTATTTGACAATTTTAATTCTCAATTTCTAAAGTTGAACATGTATGGTAGGGTGACCCACCATAAATAAATATCTCCAAATATCTCGACAATTACGCCACAATATTTATATATATACCAAGCCTTAAATCAGTTTCACACAATTATAGTCACTAAATAAACGATCATGTACTTAATAATATATGACCATTTAATCATCTATAAATAATAGACTGAAACTGGTTCCAAGTTTAGTCCATAACATCCAGACACTTTTGAGTAAAAGATAGGTTACGTGCCCTTGTTTTGAAATTAGTCTCGCTTAACCAGTGTACCGACCATTCTACGTCTGATTGACAGGTCGGGATAATCAAGACTACCTTTTTACGAAACATAACAGAAAGCTGGAACAAGAAATTGAATTTAGAAAAACGCGCGTTAGCCAGCTCAACAATTGTTTTAATAAGCTTGTAAAAGTAAAATGAAACTACTGCTAGTATCATGTTCCTGCTAACGAAAGTGATTCAGAGATATTATTTGTACTAAACCAAAAGATGCCGCTCTTAACGGTACAGTTAATGATAAAGCAATTTAAAAAATAAAACAAACGTAATTTCTAAAGCTGCTGTAATAACCAACAAGATGACTAGTCATCAACATCCCGCGCCCTTGCACTTGTTTGGAAGAAATAAGGAATCAATATAAAAATGTATCAGATTTCGCAAACAGTGTCACTGGTCCTAATATTGTGGCCCTGTTTAGTAGATATTGCTCTCTATTTCTGAAAACAATGACTGATTGCTATTTACTAGAAGATTTGAGATAATTTATGACATTAAGCTCTGGTTTTAAAAATTAGACATGACTACATAGAAAATAGAGATATTTTGCAAGTGGAGGGAACTGGAGCTTTAGACAAATCTCATATTCCGACACATGGAATATCAATTCACAGAATTTCATATTCTGATCACAGTAGTTCGGCAAGGCAGAGTCGCAACTCCCTGTAAGGTTTGCACAACAACCTCAATTAGCTGCTGCATGTTAAACAATAAACTTCTACATCAGAAAATAAAATACTATAATAGGTTAATGTTTGTACAAGTTTCAAAAAGATTTCTTGAACAGATAATAAAATATGCTCCAGAAACAAAATCAGGACGGAAGGCTGGATTTCAGAAAATAAAATAATGGGTAAAATTATTTTAAAGATATCTTGAACAGTCAAATGTGTTTCCATGGAAACACATAAAATTATCAAATCTAAGAAATTCAAAATAAGTGCAATGAAAATATCTTGAACGATTTATGAGATATGCTCCGGAAACAAAATTGTACACCAAAAACTAAGTCAAATTTGTTTCCATGGAAACACACAAAATATCAATCCTAGAAAATCCTAAATAGCAAAAGACACAACTACTGTAATAGGTAGATGTCTGTACAAAGTTTCAAAAAGATATCTTGAATGGTTTATGAGATATGCTCCGGAAACAAAATTGTACACCAAAAACTAAGTCAAATTTGTTTCCATGGAAACACACAAAATATCAGTCCCAGAAATGCCTAAATAGCAAAAGGCACAACTACTGTAACGTGTTGATTTGTGTGCAAAGTTTCAGAAAGATATCTTGAACGGTTTATGACATCTGCTCCAGAAACAAAATTGTACACCAAAAACTACGTCAAATTTGTTTCCATGGAAACACAAAAAATATAAATCCCAGAAATTCCTAATTAGAAAAGGCACAGCTACTGTAATAGGTTGATGTGTGTGCAAAGTTTCAGAAAGATATCTTGAACGGTTTATGAGAACTGCTCCAGAAACAAAATTGTACACCAAAAACTAAGTCAAACTTGTTTCCATGGAAACACAAAAAATATAAATCCCAGAAATTCCTAAATAGCAAAAGGCACAACTACTGTAATAGGTTGATGTGTGTGCAAAGTTTCAGAAAGATATCTTGAACGGTTTATGAGATATGCTCCGGAAACAAAATTATACACCAAAAACTAAGTCAAATTTGTTTCCATGGAAACACAAAAAAAATAAATCCCAGAAATTCCTAAATAGCAAAAGGCACGACTACTGTAATAGGTTGATGTGTGTGCAAAGTTTCAGAAAAATATCTTGAACGGTTTATGAGATATGCTCCGGAAACAAAATTGTACACCAAAAACTAAGTCATTTTTGTTTCCATGGCAACACAAAAAAAATATAAATCCCAGAAATTCCTAAATAGCAAAAGGCACAACTACTTTAATAAGTTGATATGCGTGCAAAGTTTCAGAAAGATATCTTGAACAGTTTATGAGATGTGCTCCGGAAACGAAATCGGACGGACCCCATTTCAATATCCCTCCCTAACTTCGTTCGGCGCGGGATAATAAGCTAAATTTTACTGCTATTCAAAATCGTCAACAATAGATTTTTTACGGCTGTAATAGTTGATAGATTTGTAGAGAATTGCACGTGCCATGGCTATTTATAGTAGCTGTTTTATCAGTCACCTGACATTGCTCGGAAGTAAATATTTTAAATTATCTTACCAAGTATAGACAGATCCTGATTTGGTTAAAGCTACAGAGAACTGTGATCCACATCCAACTTTTATAACACCCAGATCTTGTAATGATTCTATTTTAACAGGAACTTTACAACCATCACTACCACCACGACCTATATAGTAGAGAGAGAGAGAGATGGGGTTTAATGTCCATTTGACACAAACTTTAACTAGTCATTTTGGGAGTATTCTATTTCAATAATTCTCTTGCGAATAGGGGTCTTTGGCTGTGGGAGGAATTCAGAGGACCCGAAAAAAAACCCCACAAGGTTTGACAGGCAACCTCATACAAGCCAGTGCTGTTTGTGATATGATGTTCACAATTACAAGACAAGAGTTTAATGGTGATACCTACCTAGTTTACCGTAATCACCATCACCCCATGACCAGACAGAATCATCATCTGTTATACATATTGTTTGTGCATCACCACTACCACATGCTACATCTGTTACTCTATAACCTTTTAAAGCTTCAACCTAAAATACACAATAAACAATCTGATTAAAATATACATCTAAGTTTTGGATCAGGTCCCCAAGTGCTACCCAGTAAATATGAGTAGAGGGCTACTTACAACAATCTGTGATGTGTTTTCAAAAAATACTATACTTTCATTTTTTGGTGTTCTAATTACAGGTATTAATTGAATTTAAATTGATGAAGTGGGCTTGATTATTACACTAAAGCTGAACATGATTTTTTTAGATATACAAACACCAACAACTTTGTTTTGTTGCTGTGTTAAAATAGTTCCTACCAGTTTAGGTCTGGCTTGATCTTCACTTTCACCATGTCCCAGTCGCCCATATCTACCTTTACCCCAGGTATAGAGTTCATGATTAGCTGTTATACAGGCACTATGTGCTCCTCCTGCTGCTATATCTATTACTTCTTTACCTCGTAATGATTCTATAACTCTAGGTCTATCACATGGACTGAAATCAACAATAGTATAAAGATACAATGGTATGCTACAGATGATGTCTCTTAATCTTAACATAAATAGGGGGATAATTCTGCAATGTGTGATTTAAAAATTCTGAATTTTGATGAAGATCTTTCTGAAGTCCCAATAATTTTGTGTAGCAAATGACACAATTAAGTAGGGCAAAAATTTTCAGGGCTACACTCCTTATTTTTCCCCCAGTTACTGTACTTCCGGAAATGTGGATAAGTCTTGGTTATATTCAGCAGTTTATTAGTTCCTTTTAAACTACAGATTGTTACTCTCATGTGTAAAACCTAGAAATGTTATTTCAGGATTATTGAGGCATCACTTCCAGTCAAAGGTTTCTTATATCAATATATAATGATATTATTAATAATATAAACAGTACTGAAAGACGATGTTCTGAGGAAGATTAATAAGAGTATGCAATCTCTCCAAAGAATGTCTGAGAAATCTGCTAGGATTTATTTCTTGAAAAAGTGTCCTACCTTCTGTTTCCATGACCAAGTTTGCCATCTTCTCCTTCACCCCATGAATAAACTTCACCTTCCGCTGATAATGCAAGACAATGTTTACCACCAGAATTAACAGCTATTTTCTTTATAAATACATGTTGTATAGATTCTAGTAGAGTTGGTGTTGATATAGAATCATTACCACCTATACCTAATCTACCACCAGCACCATATCCTGTACCATATACCTATAATACAATTCAACTATCAGTAATACAATATTACCATTCCTGTTCAACTAATAGTGATAAAATATTCACATTCCTTACAGATTTTTGGTGTATTTAATTTATTAAAATCAAGTACAAATCATACCTCTTATAATCATGTGATGATATGAGGGGAACTGTCAGTCACTGTAGATAAAAAAACCAGCAGCAGAATGAAATGTTAACTGGAGGACTTAAGACAACATTTCTCATATGTAACTGCACAAGGAGCACAATGGTGCCTATTTTGTGAGAAGATCATTTAGGTGGGATTGATTGAGACAAACCTGGTTTAAGACACAATCTAATTAAAGCACAGATCTATATTTCGTTTTGTTTTTTTATTCCTTCGATAGCCTCTACTACATTAACCAATCAGCATTGTTGTTTCTTGTGGGTTACCCACAGGTCCGTGTACCTCACAACAAAAACTTGCCGTAACAGACCGTTTCATGGCTAAACCCTCATATTTTCCAGAACATGGGTTATATAACAACTTTTCCAGATCCTAGTGTAGAAAAGACAAATAAAACAAAATTTTGAACTGTAAAAAACGAAACGCAGTGTAATGGTATATATATGTAGTAATTATTTATTACCTTGCCATCGGCTGTAACAGCAAACAATGTCTGTTCTCCACCAATTAGCTGCACTGGTCTTAATGATGCCAATGATTCACAACTTGCAGGCAGTTTAACTTTCGCTCCTTCAACTCCTCCTAATTGACCTCTGTGATTGTGGCCCCACACCCAAATCTGACCACTCCCACCCCACGATAATGTCCAATCATCAGCTTTCCTGAAACATAAATTAAACAATTATTATCATCAAATAAAACTTAAAAAGAATTTGCATGTACAACTTACTTTTGCAAATAGCGGTTGCTATGCAAGATACGCCCACATTTTGCAAGGGATGGACAGTTGCTTTTCATACAATCAGGGGCAATAATCCAGGATTATATATCAAGTTTTGTCAAAATTGGATAAAAATTCTGACATCGAGAGGATCCACAACCTTGGTCTCACATTCTTTTACTCTATTATCGTACGGGGAGCAACTGATTTTCAAGACCATCATTATGGTGAAACGGTGATATATTCTCTATAAAAGTAATGTAAGTGACTAACCTGTTCAACCACTGTAGTAGTTGTTCATCTTGTTCTCGTCCAAATATTTTATGATCCTCGTGTTCATGACATTCCTCTTCTCCTTCTGCTGCGATATCCTGAATCTTCTTCATTACTTCTTCACAAAATACTGGTGGTAACATTTGTCTTTGTACAATAGCATTAGCTACACGAGCTGCCATACAGTATCGTCTGAACCACGCCCATTTATGAGCCTCAGCACAACATGGAAGAGTATCTAGATGTAAGTCACAAGCTAATGCTACTAAAACCTGCAATAATTATATACATCACATTTCTGTTTAGAAATAAAATTGTGTTTAACATGCTACTTTTCTTTATCAAACTAATGAAGACAGGCATACGCCATGCAGAGTGGTATTTTTTCTGGACAGTGAGGCTTCAGTCTACTGTTTCTTTCAAATTTCAAGGGGTCTTTTACGTGGTCGCCAACATGGGCTTTGCCATCCATCAGAACAACTAGGCAGTTCCTTGCCAGGCCTGCCGTCCTGCCACACTAACAATGGGAAACCACACTGGAAATTTCTCTGCCAACATTGCGATCGAACCCTGTCTCTCTTGGTACAGCACCTTTCTTAACAACCCTGAAAGATTTTAAATATCTAAATCTGAAATATAAAAGTAAATCTGGACTAACCTTAAAGAATGGGCTATGCATGAGATGTTTACCAGTTCTAACTAAAGGATCTTCATATTCAAACTGTCTCTGTAGAACTTCTGGTAAACCTTTAACTAAAGACTCTAGAGCTGTTCCACTTAACACCTGATGATAAACAGAAACATCAAATCAGCTCAACATACTGCAGGTGAAATTCAAATGAACTATACATTTCCACATAGGTTAATAAGCTGATACTGCTCATTGCCATTGATAAGGGAATATGACAAGCTTAGGCAATTGGATCTGTGATTTCGCAATTACAATAATTCACAGTTAAATCATTTTATTTCTGGAGCAAAATTTCATCCATCTTGTCTCTAAGAAACTAATATTCAACCAGGTTTGAAAATGGTTTAAGGTTATTTTTGTTGTAACAGCAAACCAATCTATATAGGAGCCTAGTTCCTGAACTGTACAACTACATTGTAAAATGCAGAATCAAGAAAGTAAAGTTTCAGTCATAATAAGAGTATATAATATTTACCACTGGACATCTTGGTACATCTGGATCTGGACTTTCAGGTGGACTCGCCATCAGTGATGGTATATTTAATACCGATGCCATATTACACGTAATGAGTTTTCGTAATTTACGTAATGCCCACATTCTTTGATTTGCTCCTGAAATTAATTAATGAATATCAATATACAGATTACAATACATACATTTATATTTTTACAATATGGTTTTGCTTTCCACACTAGTTTTCTCATTCATAATTCTGAAAAGAGAAATTGGGTCTAATGTTAACAAAATTGTTTCTGTTTGTTCACTTTTATGATTTCCAACTGTCAAGGGTTATTTTACATCCAAGCCAATTTGTACATGGATATTAGTTTTTATACTGGATAAATGAAGGCCAGACTTGAAACATAATGAAGGTACTTGCAGAGTTGAACATAAAACATGACCAAGTAAATAAAAGTTTGTCACTAGGTATAATTGTGGGATCAAAATATGACTGACAAATAAAAACCCACAGGAATCTTCCAACAAAATCCAATCAGGAAAACCCCCACAAATAAATAAATTTCCAGAAAAAATCCCACCAATGACTTTTTTCTATGGTCGATGGTATTAACATTTTTCATTTTAGGCTATCTTAGTAACAGACTAGACACCAGCTACTAAATACCTCGGATTCAATATTCTGGAACTACTACATATATTATAAATATATATATATGAAGCATGACTGCTAAAATTAAAGTTTATTCCCAAAAGTAATATATATATTACACTTTATTTATATAATTTACAATGTTTACCTAATGAACTAAGTTGAGCACATGCAGCAAGTGCGGCTGCTAATCGTGGAACTATGTTTCTATCCATGGGTAGTTCCAGTTTTAAATCTAGTAAACATGTGACTAGGTTGATTGAAGGACGTGATAGAATGGTACGATCTGATAATAAATCTAGTGGTGCAGCAGCCGGCATGTTGGGATAAACAGTAAACAGCCAACCCCATCCATTCACAGATCCATCACTGGTAAACTTCCACCGTAATTCTTGACCTTGTATACGTAGCTCTTGTGACCAATCAGACCATTCACGTCCTAAAATTTATACAATAATCATATAATAATTTTCGCATATAAATTGCTAACATCCAACTTTTTGGCAAATCATTTTCGATCAGGAAAAGCTCCCCACAGAATATTTACCTGATCTGACTGCTACTGTAATACCAGTACCATCTTGTATAGTTAAAGGATCATGGCGTCTCTCGGTAGAACATCTACGATCAAATTCTACTCTTAATGCTTCAGCACCTACAAATAACATCACACTCAGTATGTTATCTCAACATAATTACAATTTATTACAGAGAAAAGCACCACACAATGAAATATAAATACAAATCAATGATCTGAGCTAACTATTAGTATCAAATGATTTCAGTGTCTCAATAATAACAACTATGTTCCAACACTGCAATTGTATTTTTTTCTGTGTTATGCAGACTGAAGGCCATCTGTGAAAATGATATTTCAATATCCCAAGGACTTACCATTTCCCATTTCATAAACACATTTAACAAAAGGAAATGGATAAACATAGCCATGTTGTTTCAAGGAACATTTAGTTTCAAAAGTGACAGGTGGATTTAAACTAAAGTTTACACTAATTAATTCTTTTGAAAAAACATTTTAGAAATAGGTAATTTATTTTTTTTTTAAGAAATTAAGATTATTTTTTTTAAACAAATTATGATTATTTTCAAAGTAAACACTGAAATCAAAAGTGAACTACCGTTTATCCAGGCAATAATTAGTTTCAAGTACGACCGGTGGAATTAATTTAAGTTTACGTTGATTAATTCTTCAGCCAATAACTTTAAAAGTTTAAAGCCATATACAAGGATATACAAAGGTTATTTACACTGAAAAAAATATTAAAATATCCCACGGATAACAAATTCTGAAACGTCACTTTAAAAAACTACATATATCTACCTGGTATTTTAACATGTCCTGTTGATGATGTATCATCTGTATAGCGATGAAGACTTTCCTGTACAACTGGCTGGGCGGCCTGTCTACCAGACTCAGTGTCTGTGGCTACATCTTCAAGTTCTGTGACACATATTTCTAATAACATCTCAGCTACCTGTAACAAAATTTAAGAGTTGTTTTTGTTTTTATGGTTAGAGTTTTTGCACATTTCCTGGGCAGCTGTATTAAGTTAACAAATGTAAGAAAGGCACCAGTGAAAAAAGATATCTCGAAATATTAAGTGACACTATCAAGATTTTCAAATAAATCATCTGCCTACCTGGTGATTAGCTTTACCAAGACAGTTTAATTGTTCGGACAGAGTTTCCCGCCCTTTTTCTCCTACTCTAACAGCGACAGCCAACTTCAACAGATCAACCAATACACGTGCATCATCGGCAGTCATTTTACTGGTAAACTCATCCAGACAAGAGGGATAACTTGCAACATGTTGACTTTCAGCAGGTCGTGTTATTTCGTCCGGTGATGTAAACGTCTCTACAATTATACTAGTGGCTGGGGAACATTTGGCAGCCAGACTGTGCATGCTGGGAAATGTTGGTAGTTCTAATGGCTGTACCTGTAATTAATAAACAAAGACTATCTGAACATCACATTTTGCACAAGGCAGAGTATGTTCAATTTTTCTAAAACACCTGATACCACTTCTTGTCTATTTGGGAAGTTCACAAAGTTTACAATTTTGAGTGTACTTTTGTACTAAGTAATTTAGTTGTGGAATCTGACAGCGTGGACACTGCCACAATGTTAATCTCTACAAGGTACTTTGATACTGACATCAATGTCCAATTTGTTTTTAGTTCTAAATAATGGCAGGGATGCCAATATCCTTAGACAAGATTCACATTCTCTAGACTTTATGGAAAATAACATCACCTGAATTAAGGATTTAGTAATTCTGAATTATCGTTTTATACAATGAACAAGGCTCAGTTATAAAGATACTTCATCCTTATATACCAAAAACTAAGTGAAAATGATAAAGATATCTTATGATTTATAAGATATGCCCTGGAAACAAAACTTGGAATAAAAATAAAAAACAACATAATGGACTGATGGACTGAGAAACAGAGTGCATTTCAATATCTCTCCCTTAAAGCTACATTATGTAATATTTAGATTAAAGAGTTGACCTTACTTGCTATAATAGCTCAAAAATAGATAATGTAAAATGAAAATATTGATAATTTCATTCAAATTACTTCATTCTGAGCCAAGTTATAACTGTTTGTAGTTTTGACAAGATGTGTGTATTGCGGTAACCAGGGCACTGGTATATTCGACACTTAGCCTAGCTTTCCCATATTTATAAATGCCAACCGTTCTAATCTATTTAAAATCTAGAGTATCCAATGCCATTGAGAGTTGATTATGGTCTTGTTTCGTTAATATATGTCTAATTAATAGTTTATGTAACATTTCAGGCCTAAAGAAAGACCTGTAATAACAGATTTAGCTCTTGCATAATGTATGTTTAACTCTGTTAGTTTATAAGAATAAAGCAAATACTTACTATATCGAGTGAATCTACAAGAGATACAGCTATATCACTATGATCAACAACATCTGATATAGCTAGAGCTAGAGTACTAGAATCAGGGGTCATAGAATGACCTGTACCACTTGTTATCATAGACTGACTTAATTTACTATCAACTACAGTCTGAATATCGTGTTTTAAAGCGCCTACAATAGCATCTCTGAAAGTATAACATTAATATTAATACAAAACAACCCATACAGTTCAAATAACTTTCTTGTGACAGAATACGGTTCAGTAAATTCAGGTTTCATCTGATACAATAAAATAGAGTTTAACATCCTACTTTTTTTGCACCAACTGGGCTAATGAGTACGGGCATACAAAATTTGGCAGCGGTATTTCTGTCTACTCTAATTTCAACTGCCAAGGGATCTTTTATGTGCATTGTTGTAAACATCAACTTGTGCAAAGGAGCTCAGTTTTTCATACCATTCGAAATGAATAGACACGGTTCCTTACCAAGTCATCAGTCCTACACCAATAGTGAAACAACCCTTTTGGCTATTTTTGTATAAATATTTGTTAATAACTAGTTTAATATCCTGACTTAACAACAAGACTTAAACACGTAAACTTGACTTTTACACACCTTGCAAACACTATCTGTAATGCTGTTAGTACATGTGATAAAGCTTTCTGTTTCTCCTGATCCGATTCCAGTGATAGGATAATCTTAGACAATGATGGTCGACCATTTTTATTTTGACTATTCTGGGATGGTGATGGAGAGGATTCATCAGTGGTTCCATCATTTAAACCTACAGATTGAAAAAAAAAAAACCTATCTTAAAAAAACACAACAAAATATCTTCTAAAACTTTAAATGTACCTATAGATTGCATATTTTATATTCCCTATTTTTTTATTCTGTATTAAATATTTCATATTCTGTTTTTTTATATATATATAGCAATTTTTTTCAAAATAAATTAGGCTGAAGGATTCTAAAAGTTACATAAAACTGTAGCTATACAATGAACTGATAATGTCTGAATCAGTGATGGGATTTCAAAAAAATTCTTGTCGGACATTTTTCCCGAAAATAAAGGGGCATAACTCTTATCGTAATTTAAGCAGACGTTTTCAAAACACAATTAAGAATCACATGTCAACAAAATATATTCAAATTCATATGTAAAAAAAAATAGGTGCACCTTGTTATATTTCATGTTTAAAACCCGTACGGCATTCAAATTTATGTCAATAATATTCCTACAAAATTACATGACATCGTAATACTATAGAATGGCAGCGTGCCGACTGCTGCCGATCTGTTTCAAACTCCCCCAAAATTACCATATTTTTCGGGTCATACGTCGGTACATTTTTCAGCCAAGTCCGACATTCGTCTGATACTCCGTTTCGATTTATACACGGAAGGTAAAAAAATGACATCTCGAAATTTATTTGGCCGTAAACCATAGTTAACGACGCTCTAATACAACGAGCGAGTGACACCAATTGTTCAATAATTGCATTCGACTGTAGCACGCGCTATCGTCTAAAATAATTAACTACTTACGTCATTCCAATTGAAATATTCGTCAACATTTCTTAGCGTGTTTATTTATTTATTTAAAGACATAAACTCCCTTCAAAATATGATCATAAATCCAACAATATGCCATCAAAATAGAATCTTTTCCCGGACATCAGGCGTATTGGATTCAGCACGTATACATCTCTTAATTTCACGTGTCTCGCGAGAATTGTACTTTCATTTCAATTACTGAACTATATAAGCGACATTTGCGTGTGTGTGATACAATATATGTTGATTTGAGGTGTTATATACTATCAGGATATGTGACATATTATATGACTAATTTCTACGTGTTATTGTCCGACACAAAGGAGATTAAAACGTGAGACAATGGTGAAATCACGGGTTAATCAGATTAAGTTTATAATCACTCTTATTGGATTGATATATCGTCCGACAAAGGAGAAGCAATGACTTCTGTTCAGGATTGATTTGATGAATTGTCCGACAAAGGATTAAGTAAGCCAATCAAGGCAGAATAGTAGTTAATCAAGGTCGGTGTGTATAGACGATATAACAGGATAAATAGTCAATCACTTAATTACCTAATCAATCCAGCCTATTATCAACGATAATCGGGTTGCACGGTAGTTATACACTCAGTACACTATATTAATTTTGGAATTTGAATATTATTCACCATGTCTTGATGTCCGATTGGGCATATTCCCGGTCGGACAATTTTGGGCGTTTCGAAAAAAGATTCGGACAAGTCCAGAATATACGGGTAAAATCCCATCACTGGTCTGAATTTTCAGTGAATTTTTGTCTGTACATTTATATTTGCAGCAAACTTTATAGTTTTAGATGTTTTCTGTATCCACCTGATACAGGAGGGAAGATTGCTGATCAAATACATTTTGAATGCTTTAGAGAGAGCAAGGTAAATTCTATTTGAAGGGTGTGTGTACATGACCTCCTAATCCCCCAGGATCTGCACCCATGACCAAATATTTTAAAATACTTCGAACAAGATTTGAAAACAATAAAGTCTGTACTAATTCAAAACAGGAAAGTTAACCATAAATTGTTGTAAAGAAGTGGAAACATACCTATCAAGGTTGAGCCGAGAGGATCTTTAGATGTAGAAAATAGAACTGGTTCATGAGATGTTGGTGTAGAAAGATCTGTAGTTGCCCAGGCTACACTATGAGATGATCCACAAGCAACCCTAGTTATTTTATATCCCTCCAATCCATGAACTAAGGCAGCCTTTCTATTGACAGCTGTTGTAGCATTACCTTGTTGACCATGATCATTATCACCCCAAGCATAAACCTAAAATAATAGAAATCTTGTTTTATTTAATATCTCTCTAATTTATCGAAACCTTGTTTTACTCATTATCTCTAAAAATATTAGAAATCTTGTCTTATTCACTAATTGTTAAATAATAGAAATATATTGGTACTTATTATCTCCAAAAAATATAAATTTTGATTTGTTCATTTTCTCTAAAAAAAATTAAATAAATTAGAAACCTTGTTTTATTCACCAACTTAAAGAAATCTTGTTTTATTCACTATCTATGTAGATATCTTGTTTTAATTTTTATCAATGGATAACATATGTATTGACAGTAGTAATTTCGACTACTAATCTGAATGATTTGAGAATTAATTAAAATCTGATATTACCTGTCCGGTATCTGTAACAGCTAAACAATGTAAAGCACCAACAGATACATGTATTATCTTCTTTCCCTTTAACCCTTCTACTAACTGTGGTTTACGAACATGGGCGTCTGTTCCATGACCTAGACGGAAGTAATCTCCTTTACCCCTGCAATACAAAATATGACATATACAACTCTGATTCTTAGATCATAGTGCAGATTACAATGAAATCACTAGGGTAAGGAAGCATACTGATCCAGCCATGTTTAATGTTCAAAAATACATATCATCTCTGTTTACTATCAAGACAGCTAATGGCTATATATCGGACATACATTATCATCACTAAAAAATATTAATCTTTTACATACAAAGATTTTTATTCGGAAGCTGAGAGAGAGAGAGAGAGAGAGAGAGAGAGAGAGAGGGAGGGTCATTTTGGGACTAACATATGGTTCAACTTTATATCAATACTTTGCTAGCAGTGGGGGGATACCGGAGGACCAGGAGAAAACCCACTTGGACAAGCGACCCTACTTCATGTACAACCGGGCAATCGAAACCATGCCAGTTGACTCAATAACAGACTTTATGATGCATCCACTCATTCCCCCCACCACCCTCGGAGCTGAAAGAGAACCTGCTATATTAATATACTTACCATGTCCATACTTGTCCTGATTTAGTTAATGCTAGAGAGAACTGAGCTCCACACTCTATCTGACATACTCCCATTCCTGTTAATCTATCAATAACATGTGGTACATTACAACCATCACTACCACCACGACCTAATTTACCAAAATCTCCATCACCCCACGAATATACATTGCCGTCATCAGTTAAAGCTAGAGTCTGGGCATCACGACTACCACATGCTACTTGTATCACTCTCTGTCCAGCTAAGGCTTTTATCTGTAAAACAACATATAGGTTCTTTAAAGCCATTCCAGTTTAAATAAATAATACTTTAATTAAATCTCAATTTATTATGTAAGAGCTAAATCTGCCTATTGCAAGTCTTTATTTTGGCTTCAAATGTTATATAAACTATTATCTAGATATTTATTCACATGACAAGCCTATAATCAATTCTACGATAATAATCATTCTAAGTTACTTCTTCCAACACGCATAAATTTGCTTAGAATAAACCGAGTTGAATGAAATTTTTCAATTTTATTTTTCATTATCTATTTTTGAACTAATTACTAATATAGCAAGAATGGCCAGCTCTTTATCGAAATCTTACAAAATGCATCTTTAAAAAACATTATTCAAACCGATCAATTCTAACTTAGTTAGTTAGATCAATTCTAAATTTAGCTCCGTTTCTGTTGATTTCACATGTCCTTATCTCTCTTAGTCATATATCTAATACTTGGATGTGCTTAAGTACATAATAACGGTCAAGGACACATTTTGTGCAAAATGTACAGCCCTTACTGTGATCTGATAAATTGAGATCTTGGCAACAAAATGAAATAAAACAAAGTGTTAATAATATAAATATTTTTCATTTAGCTTTCTAATTGACGATTAGCAGTTCAATTTTATCAGAGATTAATAAACTTTGTTCAAATGATCAGAACTACGCCTCTGACCATGAGCAATACAGCTAATCACATACCTGTTTAGGTTTAAGTTGTGTAGTATTATCACCGTGTCCTAATCTACCATAATCCCCTAATCCCCAGGTATATAAATCTCCATTAGATATAATAGCAGCACTATGTGAACTGCCACATGATATATCTCTCACTCGCTTTGATTTTAAAGCTTCAATAAGTCTTGGAGTATCACATGTCCTAAAATAAAAATATTTAGATATTTATAAAAACAATTCATGTCATAAACATATTAATTATCAAATTTTGAGTGTTTTATAGAAACAAGACCTTTAGCTACCATAAAACATTGGAAACATTTTACCACTTGTAACTTATAGCTCCACTGACACGGAAGATAAATGTTCATGTATGGGAGATTGTAAAACTAATTTATTTTGAGCTGAACATCATGAAAAGTGACAACAGATACACTTACATTCTACTTGAGTGACCTAGTTTACCATCATCACCTTCACCCCATGAGAAAACTTTACCATCAACTGTTAAAGCCATGGCATGTCTTCCTCCTAAAAACAAAATCAACATTTATCAGCATCTTCACAAGTTTACTAAGCTATGTAATATAATCAGGATTAAGTTTAATACCCTGTCATATGCTAACATATAATTCAAATGTAAACAGATAAAGAATAAAGTTATTAAACATCTCTTCAATACAATATATTGGACATATTTAGACTGATATCTGTATGAATATTTTTGTAAAACTAAGGTCACATGTGATATTAGAGAGCAGACGACATTATATCCACCATAATTCCTACTGTAATCGGTCCTATTGCCTGTATGTCTTGTACCCAAATTTTGGGTCTGATAAATTTGATAAAATACCAACCTGAATGAACAGCAACTTTTTTGACAACATATTGACTGAGAGAGTTTAAAGGTCGTGGTACGGATATATTACCATTATTTACACCTAGACCTAATCTACCATTGGTTGCTTCACCACACGCATATACTTTACCATCTTGCGTTACTGTAGGCAAAAAAAATACAATTGATATACACATTTCAATTAATAAACATGGCCCTGCTTTAAGCAACTATCAAAATATAATAAACGGTACCATCATCAGTCGTGAACCATCAGTGGAATATACAATAAGTTTTATAAAAACATTTTCATTACAGTCATATGCTTTCTTTAAAATTTATATTCCAGTTGTAAGCAATCTTACAAATAGAGTGTGAAATGGTTTTGACACCATTAATTCAGTGTCCGACAAGGACAGTCTCATATATAGGGAAACTGGTATACATCTATTTAGTATTGCTGCAAGGAAATTGTCTTCTAGTCCATGCATGAATTACTATTTCTATAAAAATTCTTATTGGTGAAGACTATAAAATGTGCATTCAATCAGCTTACAACACAATTTAATGTGATTTGTTGTATTTAACTTACCACAGAAGAGACTTTTAGAACCACCAGCAATCTGTATACATTTTAAAGATGACAGAGTTTCATTTAAACCTGGTAATTTGATCTGAAAATAATTTAAACATACTCTAGAATGTAAAACAAAGGGACAGAAATACACGAACAGGTTTCATAAAATGAGAGCCAACATTACAATGTGTTTTCAATGTACAAAATATTGTTCTTATTATGTTCTAAATTACAATAATTTAAATTATGCAACAGTGTCACTATAACACTGACCAGAGAGTCCAACTTAAAATGTGTTATTACGATACTCTTATATTTATACACTGTGGCATCACTATAACACTGATCAGACTCCAACTTCAACTCTGTTATTGCGATACTCTTATATATCATACACTATAACACTGATCAGAGTCCAACTTCAACTGTGTTACAGCAATACTCTTCTATATCATGCAATCAGAGAAGCAACTAGATGAGACCGCCCCCCCCCCCGTGTAGTTCTGTTCTTACCTTAGATCCTTTAGGTCCACCAAGTTGATCTTTATCATTTAACCCCCACACAAACACATGTGTCTGTATATCTTTAGATCCTGATAAAACCATCTTCGTCTTTTTACGTCCATTTTGTATGATACTTTGTTCATTTTCCTCTTCTTTATCCGATGCTAAGAAGGAGAAGTTTGCAGCAGCTTCTTCATCATCTGATTTTAACCGTCCAACAACCCAGAGTCCATGTATCTTACAGTCAATCCCACTACTACGACATTGTTTAATAGCTATCTCTATAATATGATGATACTAAAAAATAAACAAACAAGCTGATCAACAGATTAAAATAAATAAATGATTAGATCTATTTGAGTCAAATATAAAATTATTAATTCCAATGAATTTTATATGATTTGTATTTTCTGAATGGCAAACTGATTTTTTGTTCCGCTGTCCACACAATAAGCCAAAAATAAAATAAAAATCAGTAGATAAGCCAACTTCCGCCTAATCTTTCTAAAACAACAAGAGCATCGCTAACGCAGCAATATACGTCCACATTCCTGTTTTGTTTGATATGGTCCAGTTTGCATTGAGGGTCTGTGAAATAAAACTGGGTTGTAGGACTGCTATCAGTTTAACGTTTCGTTCACATTAACAGAACACAATTTTTATTTTAAAACAATCGATGTCTTTATTCTAAAAGCATGACGTTTAGAATAGGTATCCCCATTTCAAAAGGATCGGTTAAGAATTGCGGCCTGTAGGCAAAACACAAGACACACAAACATTAGGCGTGACTCTGTCCCAAGGGGTTGAGCATGCACCAAAAATAATAATAGAGGCCAGCCTTAGGATTAAGGAATAAGTGTAAAAACGTAGCCTTAGGCTATAAGGAATAAGTCTAAAAAAAATTTCAAGATGATCGATTAAGAAATGCGGTCTGCAAGTGACACACAGACATAAAAAAAGAAAATGGGCGTAGCTCTGCCCCTGGGGGTTGGGTATTCACCACAACTAATAGGGATGTTCCTTAGGATAGAAGGAATATGTATGCTAAGTTTCAAGGTGATACGATAAGAAATGCGATCTGTAGATGACAAACAAATAAATAAATATAAGGGATGGGCGTGGCTCTACCCCTGGTGGTCGGGCATGCACCAAAAACAATAGGGATCATACTTAGGGTATAAGCAATTCATATGAAAAATTTTCAAGACGATTGATTAAGAATTGTGGCCTGTAGGTGACACACAGACATAAAAAGAAAAGAAAATGGGCGTGGCTCTGCCCCTGGGGGTAAAAAAACAATAGGGGTCATCGTTAGGGTATAAGCAATTCATATGAAAAAATTTCAAGACAATTGATTAAGAATTGTGGTCTGTAGGCGACACACACACATAGAAAAAGAAAATGGGCGTGGCTTTGCCCCTGGGGGGTGGGCATGCACCCAAAACGATAGGGATGTTCCTGAGGGTACAAAGAATAAGTATGCAAAGTTTCAAGATGATACGTTAAGAAATGTGGCCTGTAGACGACAAACAAACAAATACAAAAATGGGCGTGGCTCTGCCCCGGGGAGGCGAGCATGCACTAAAAACAATAGGGATCATCCTTAGGGTATAAGGAATAAATATGTAAAGTTGATACGTTAAGAAATGCGGTCTGTAGATGACAAACAAATAAATAAATATAAGGAATGGGCGTGGCTCTGCCCCTGGGGGTCGGGCATGCACCAAAAACAATAGGGATCTTCCTTGGGGTATAAGGAATAAGTATACCAAGTTTGAAGAAAATCCAGTAAGAATTGCGCCCTGTAGGCGACACAAAGACACACGAAAAGAAAATGGGAAATGGGCGTGGCTCTGCCCCTGGGGGTTGGGCATGTACCCCAAACGATAGGGATGTTCCTTAGGGTACAAAGAATGTGTATGCAAGATTATAAGTTAAGAAATGTGGCCTGTAGACGACAAACAAACAAATACTAGAAATGGGCGTGGCTCTGCCCCTGGGGGTCGGGCATGCACCAAAAACAATAGGGATCTTCCTTGGGGTATAAGGAATAAGTATACCAAGTTTGAAGAAAATCCAGTAAGAATTGCGCCCTGTAGGCGACACAAAGACACACGAAAAGAAAATGGGCGTGGCTCTGCCCCTGGGGGTTGGGCATGCACCCCAAACGATAGGGATGTTCCTTAGGGTACAAAGAATGTGTATGCAAAGTTTCAAGATTATTAGTTAAGAAATGTGGCCTGTAGACGACAAACAAACAAATACTAGAAATGGGCGTGGCTCTGCCCCGGGGGGTCGGGCATGCACCAAAAACAATAGGGATCTTCCTTGGGGTATAAGGAATAAGTATACCAAGTTTGAAGAAAATCCATGAAGAATTGCGCCCTGTAGGCGAACCACAGACACACACACACACACACACACATACAGACATACACACACACACACACACACACACACACACAGACAGGGGCGACGGCATAATACGTTCACATTATGAATGTGGACGTATAAAAATCTAATCAGAAAGAGCCTTTCCATTATTAATCATAATATCATATATGATCAAATCAATTCAATACATGATTTTGAGTAAATTATCACATCTTGTAAATTACATGAATTATCTGTCATAGCTTGTAATTACATTACCAGTGAATCAGTAAGTAGATCACAATCAGGCCCGTAACTAGGGGGGGGCTGCAAAAAGTCCCCCCCGCGCCCTGTGAAAAAATTGTCAACTGTTAAAAAATTAGATATACATTGTCCGTCAATTTTACAGCACCTCTGAGAACATTTCCTGTCCTACACGTTGCTCTGAGCTAGTTACTGCCCTGATTACAGTGTAATAATATAATGAGTGATTACGGTACTTACATCTGTCATATCTTGTAATAATGTAACAAGTGATTCTGTAGATGATATATGAACACTACGTAATTCTTTTAAACCATGTATAGATTCACCACCACTGATCACCACCACAGATGGCATGTAACTTGAATCATCGGGATCAACTTTCATATATAAACGATTTATAACTATATCAGGCTGCATCTCTAATCGGATCCAATGCTGAAATAATAAATAAATAATACATACTTGGAACATTTCTTTGCCAGATACTGATTCAAGATCTGACCATATAATTGCAAATGATATTGGACTTAAGGATGCTACAAGATTTGTTCAATTTGCAATCCTGAGAGCGTAATGAAAAACATATTGAAAATGTATACCATGAAAATATTTCATGTGATTTTTTTTTTTCTTGTATTTTTGTAAGTTACAGTTCATTAAACGAACACACACCTAACAGTTAATTAAGTGTACACATGTTGGATTAGATTCACACATTTTTGTGGTTGCAATTAGGTATGTGAATTGAAACGAAATAGGGTTTAACGTCCTACTGTTCTGCACCGACTGGGCTAATGAAAACAGACAGGTTTAAGATATGGGAAGCTACGACATGATATTAGAAGTATATAACATGATTTTACCTTTCCTTGAGAGCCAAGACTCTGCCAATATCCAACATTGGATATGATAAGATTTTCAGCTTGGTTTTCTCGTGAAGATACCGTGATATTTTTAACACACATATGCCAGTTGTCCACAAGATAACCTTGTAATAAACTGGATGATTGTTTATTTACTTTACCAGGTTTACCAACAAAGGTAGGATCACCACCTTAAAGACAATATCCAAAATATAGTTAAAATACTTTACCAAGTTTACCAACAAATGTTGAATTACCACCTTAAAGACAATACCCAAAATATAGTTAATATACTTTACCAAGTTTACCAACAAATGTTGAATCACCACCTTACTTAAAGACAATATCCAAAATACCGTAAAGCTGGTCTACAGAATTCTTGCCTGGTGATTGTATTTTTTGAGAAAGAATCCTAGATTCCAGGTAACTCTTTAAGTTCTACTAACAAAGACTAAAACCACCAAATTGAAGACCAATATTTGGGGTCTTATATTTCCATACTTTTTGTATAGGACATGTTAAAAGTCAAAGACCCAACAATGAAGATGATTTGAAGCTGTAAAATTCAATTTATTTTGTTCAATATTTAAATGTCATGATTGCTGTTAAAGCTAAAAAAAATTAGTCTGAAAATTTATACACGCGACATTGAATTGTTAAATGCTATAAATTCCTGAATTTGTGATACAAGACATCATCAAATTGATAAAGTGCATTGAAATAGTCAAGCCCATTGATTGTCTGACCTGGTTCATTGATTCGTATAAATGGATGTCGATGAGTTTTATTTCCTTTAAAACAAATCTCACATAAATCATATTCTTCACAAACTTTACATTTAAAACGGGCACCTGTTAGAGGGCTGTTCTCACATCCATTACACCTGAAACATACAAAAATATTAATCGATAGTACTCTAGCCCATTAAAAATACAAAATGGTAAAATCAAATCTCTTTAAATTAATACTAATTAATCACATACTTTAGTCAATAAAAAAGCTTTAGTTGAGAAAATCCTCTTTTTTGACAACCTACACCAAGAAATATGAACTATTTGTTTTTTTTCATCCCTTTATCATTAATTTACCTGAACCCATACATATCCTGAAGTAATAAAACTTACGTGACTCTATGATGTGTAGAGGGTACTGGTTCCATTTCATCTATTACACCTGTCCAATGGGCTTGTTGAGGGAAGTCAACTGTTATATCACGTCCATTAGGATTAATAGCTAAAATAATAGTTACACAAATTCATATCAGAAAAAAACATATAAAAGCCAAATTATTATTTAAGTTTATACTTTTAGAACTGTGAAATGATCTTTTTATTCACATGAATTATATCCCAAGATTGGTTTGATCTACGAAAAAAAAGTTTTTACAAAAGACAAATTGCAATCCCACAAAATGAATCCCATGAAATCAAAAATTGTATTTTGAACCCATATCAAAGAGGTCTAACAATTTCAGATGTATATGTGACTCATGCCAGCAAAATGAGCCTTAAGTCGCAAATCATTGTTTACAATGTATGGAAAAAATGAAGAGGACAAAAATATAAAAAAATTTAGCATGCTTTAGTTTATATTAAAAATATATTTTTAGTTTTTAACATTTTTGTTCATATCAAAAGCTTGTGACTTTCGACTCATTTTGTTATCACCGGTCACATGTGCGTACCTGTAACGGTTCCTACACTACCGTGTGCGACAGATCCCCATTTATATGTTGGTGTGGTTACTGATGGCTTAACACGAACTTTATCACCATGTTTTATAACATGTAGACCTTCTGTAAATAAAAATACTAGGAATTAAATTCTCTCGATCCTATATACAGTGAATAACCAAGTAAACACAACAACAACTAACTTCTATTAGTTATTAACGTCTGCTTCTACTGAGGGTGATATCGCAGACAAGTTGTTTTATCTTTATTATCTTACCGCAGGTGTCTTTCCTTTGGGAGGAAACCGGAATATCCAGAGTAAACCCACAAGGGGCAGAAGGTGTCCTATCTCCAAGCCACATACTCAAACCAGGGATAGAAAACTACAACCTCAAGCCAGAGTTGGCCGGCCAGCTAGCGCTCGAAGCGCAACACTCTAGACACTAGGCCATCCCAACCACCCAAAACTAACAAAGAATGAGACAGCTAAATAAGGAAAATCTCCACTTAATCTGAATCATGTTAGCTGTGAAAATATCTCCATAAATCACTGTTGCTGAACCATGTTCAGTGTGAAAACATCTCCACCAATTATTGCAGCGGAATCACTTTCGCTGTGTTTTATAACATTATGATTTTATTCACCCCATGTTTATTATCGGAACAGACAATACTTGATTCTGTCTAACTTTATTGTAATTCTCCCTTCAGTTTCCCATTTTAAGACAAAATTTGAATTATATCAGTAGCCCAATTGGCTTCTCATTCTAAAAGAGTGTGTTATAGATGTTAATGTAACTATTTTTTTAAATGGAAATTCACCTTACCTGCAGGATTGTTTAAACCCAATAATTCAACATGTAAATAGCGAACCCAATATGTTCCACTCTTACGCTGCCAATCAGCCTGGACATTCAAATCATGTAGTCCATCTCTATCCAACTGAATCAAAAATATTAAATATTTTCAGGATTGTAAGACAACTATGCAACTTGTAAGGCCCAAGAGTGTATTAATGGATGTAGAATTACCTATATTTGTTTAATTTCACCTTCAGGAATGAGCATAGTGTTAGAGTTTTACAGTAAAATTTTGCCAATTGATCCATTTTTAATTTTTTTGCCAATAGATCCATTATTAATTTAATGCATTTTGGGCAAGATATTTTTCCAAATATTTGTACACATTTACTTTGCAAATTGTATCTGAAGGTCAAATTCTTTGAAATTATAATTTTATGGAATGTAAATTAACTGACATCTCGAGTCAGTCAATTTCATTACCAGTTAGAACAGGTAAATAAACTTGAAACAGTTTATTTTATTTGTAATTGCATATACCATAAGCTATGATTACATTTTGAAAGCAAACAGTGAAAATTAAAGGATAAAGGGACACATGAAATGATAAATCAATACTGAAGGGGTTGGGTCATGAACACAAATCATGACATAGTATTTTAGACATAAATCAATCTCACCTTAACAACTTTACCGATATCACCTTCATGTACCTCTTCATATGTTTTACAACATCTTATCATCATATTAACTTCTATATTATCACGTACATATACAGCATATTCATCATTACTCATAAAATCTTGACGTTTTTTAAATGGACTTGTATTACCCCCAGCAGCACCTCGCTCACTCACAATATACTACAATTACAGATACAAATAAATAAACCCTGTATGTTACATAATTAGTCTATTGGTTCGTCTTTCGATACTACTGCTTTTTGAAAGATCTTTATTTCAAAACCACACTTAGTTGGTCATAAGAAAAAAACCCCTATTGTTACAAGACTTAAGTCCTCAAAATTATTTCCTACTTACGTCAAAAGAATCATATTCTTCAAAATCTTCAGACATAGAATCTGTATCAGTATAACCATCAACGGATGATAAACTTTCTGTATCTGTATCATCTTGTGGATGTGTATCTTGATGTTCTAATAACCAACTAACTAATGATTCAGCTGTTGGAGTTTCACCTTCAGGAAATAACGAACCTCCTGGCAAAATATACACATATGCGATTACATAAACCAGACAAAATAGCACATCTTAAAATTTGTAATTTTTAGTCTGAACAATGTTTTAATGATTTGAAAAAGATTGAACAAATCTTACAAATGATACAATTAAGAAACAAATTGTATCATTTAAATGAAATGTTTTAAACTTTAACTATTTTTCTAAAAACAATTCCTTTCGGAATTCCATTAGAACATTTATCCTTGTCATGTGCAACTGTTTAAACAACAGCTGCTGTAGCATCTGAATAACCAGGTCTATAGGTTTTCTGTAATGGGGTTGTCACCATTACAAATAAATAATAGCATTTCCAAAAGGTAAATATTTTGAGCTGAAATTTCCAGATAAGGTGAAGGTTATTGGCTATGTTAATTCTGACATTTCATTTGGATACTTAAACACACTATTATCAATGAAATACCATGTGAAATCTGGGAATGCTCCTGTAAGAAGATCAAGAAAAAAAAGGCAAATTAATTACCTGTATGAAGGGCTTTGATAGCTGACTCAACATGTTTCCGTGCAAAACCCATTTCTACCATCTGTGTAACAATAGGTGTAGGAGCGGGAAGTGCTGCCTTGGCTGATTTACGTTTGTGTTTAGTTATTTTACTAGATGATAATTGGGATGGTGGTAATGTGTTTATAGAAGGAAGGAGAGGTGGAGAAACTAAACTCGAACTAAGATCTCGTAGTTGTTCTTCATCAGAACTTGTATCGAATTCTGATTCAGATATCAATCCCATCTCGGCTGTTAAATATTGAGAAACTGCTAAAGCTGCAGCCTGAAAGAAATACAAAACCATCAACATTAAGATTTTTAATTTTCATGTGGTTGAACTATTGATAGTTTGCTAATTTTAGTCTCTTATGATTATGTGTGAAATGTTAGGTAGGAAAATTTCGCCCAGATGGTTGCATTTCTGCCTATTTACAATTGTCATGGGTTCTCTGTACACCAATGTGTACACATATGGACCTAGTATTTTTGTCCCATTTGAACGATACTTTCCTCGCAGCTGTCAAGTGAAGCCTGGGCTTGAAAGTTCCTGAAAGCTTTTTCACCGTATACTCTGGGATTTGAACCAGGGACATTTGAGTCATCAAAGGAGAACTAGAACTGTTTAATTTCTTATCTAGCATTTAAATAATTTAAATAATGCAAAACCAAAACTACAAATCCTTTTGATTTTAATTAACATATGAACATGAAGGCTGTGATCAATTTTTCGGAAATTGTCTATCACTGTCAACAAACGATTAGCACCAGCAGTTATGGCCTTCTATTAGTTCTTAGCTTTTCCTACAAATAAACTGCTCTTACCTCCATTTCCTCTCTTGTAAACATGGCTTTCAAAGGTGAAGGTTGTGTGGCAGCCATTAATATTTGTTGTAATAGATTCGATACAGACGGTCCTTCTTGTTGACCTTCTTCATCATTAGGAGGAGCTGCTTGTTCAGGTGCTGGTTCAATGGTGGTTTGTTGAAGTAAGATTTTCCGTAGAATACTCTGTCTATGGAACAATACACGACCAGCTTTCAGTAATCCTAATTTTAACTGTAGTTTATTAACATCTCGGTTATAGTTTCCACCAATGGCTGTAAAAAAAGACATGTTTGATTATTTCAAATTTGAATGAACAAGTCCTTCCAAATAATAAAAGTATTGTGTCAAAGTGATTCCATATACTGGGTTGGAAACATCGCTTTTCAAATTATCTATTAAAAAAATCTTTAAAAATTGGATTCTGTTGTTAGGGGACTAGACCTTGAAATTTTTGTTTCGAATAAACTATATTGGTTGAGTTTTAGAGAAATATATCAATTCTGTTGGTGGACGATGGGGTTACAGAAAACAATAAGTATTAAAAAACTGTAGCCATATCTATATACGAAGTTGATCATTTGTCAGCCAATTAAGTCAAGCTATCTAAACACAAATGTGCATAAATTTCAACTCTGTATTCCAAAATCTTTATAACCTTTACTTGTTTCGTACTGTATCTGAAATAAGAGGTCTTCAAAATATACCTAATTTAGTCAGATGGTTGTATTGATCAATATTATAAAATCGATTGTTCATACTTACAGACAGCTTCTATACTACCAGTACTTGTAGCTAGAGGTGCTCGTGGAATGTCTGGATCTTTCTCGTATATATGACATGTACAAGCTAGGCTGATTAATTTAGCCCAACTATATAATAAATGTTCTCCCAACTCCAACTTCTCGACATGGAAATCTATAAGTGGAACCTACAAATATAACATATCATTTCATTTTGACTAGCATAGTGAGAACAAAGGTAGTATTTCTCATGTTATCTTTTGAATTAAGTTAAAAATACAAGACCACATGACTTTGATATCTGCTACTGAAATTCATAGTCCAAATATGAAATCTTTTATTTGGCTATCTGTTTTTCAATGATAACCTGAATTCTCATGGTCTCCCTTAATCCTTTTGGCCAGTTTGACTTTGCGAAACCCAAAACAAAGATTTGGAGCATGGAATATTTGTTTCAATAGCAAGTTTGTGTACTAATGTTTGCTTTTGATTCAATGGTACCTAAAATTTTACTTAATATCAGCACTAGAGGTGGATTTACAGGAACAAAAACATTTTTGCTGTCATCGACAAGTTTCTGAAGCTTAAATTCCAAAACAAGTTACGTCGTAAAAGATCAACTTACCACAGTAATCTCTGACAATCTACAGATCTGTAGCCCTTCTGTGTGGAACTGGACATGTATTTTTCCTTTTGGTGTTATTTTAGCTATAGTACCATTACTGTATGTTTCATGATTAACTAAACCACCAAGTCTTGGTCTGTTATCGACACCTCCTATCATAGCTAATACAGCTAACACGTTCAGGAAATTATTCTCTTCCATAACTTCTATTTCTACCAACTGTAATTAATAAAATAGATTGAATCTATTTAGAATACCTTTAATCTGTTACATCATGAAATAGACTCAAGATTGTTTAATATACAATTCATTCTGATAATGTAATAGCCTTAAGACCTAATGATATCATGAAATAAAGATCAAATGATATAGAATTCATTCACTTCATGTAATAGACTCAAGATCGAATAATACATAATTCATTCACTTCATGAAATATATTTAATTTCAAGTGATATACAATTCATTCACTTTATGAAATAGATTCAAGATTGCATGATATGCAATTCATTCACTTCATAAAATAGACTCAAGATCGAATGATATACAATTCATTCACTTCATGAAACAGACTCTAGGTCAAGTGATATACAATTTATTCACTTCATGAAATAGACACCTAATCAATTATACAAATTGCTAATGTATTTTCATATTTTATATTTTCCTAACATCTAAACTACAATATTTTTGTTTAATTGACATCATATCTTGCCAATCAACAGATTCCTTGTTTTGTGCAAGAAAGATTTCAAACAATGACAGTGACCAAAAAGTAGCTAGACAATAAAAAAAAGAGATCCTACCTGAGGAGATTTGGTTTTGTCTGTCATCAGTGAAGTTATATGTGTAAACTGTTCTACTATAAAACTATTTATATGTGGATTCCATAGTTCTAGAGTGTGTAATTTACGTAACAATACAACTATTTCTTCACAGATAGTACTGGTATATGATGCTGTTACAGATACAGGTATATGTAACGATTTTCTCGTGCGATGAGGTGATTCCACTGAAAATGCATATAATATGTAATTAAAGTAAATGTCTTTATAAAAATATGAAATGAAATGGGGTTTAACGTCCATACAGAGGGCTACCTGGACAGCAGCCTTTTCATCAAATTCCAACTGTCAAAGGAAGGGTCTTTTATATTCACACCAATGTGTATAAGGGATCTTGATTTTTCATCCCATTGGACCGACTATACACTGTCCTTGCCCAGAGACCAACCAAGATAAATGTAAATGCAACTTACTACCAAACATACATATTGTCTCTAGAGATGTAAACAGCTGAATGTGTATTAAAGACACTTTGAGACTAAATATAAATCTATACATAAAAAATACGAAAAACTATGCTTAAATCTTTAAAATCTTTAGTGCACAATAGCTTATTAAAACTCTACGCCAAACAGTTTCTATATCAAATAAATTACATAATTACCTTCTGTAACAAGTGTAGGATCTGCAGAACAGGAAGTTAAAACAACACCCAGTAATTTAAACAGACGGCCAACAACTGATGTCACCCTATCCATATCCATACCACGATCCCAGGCTGGTAGTATAGTTCGTAAAAACTTTAATATTAAAATCTGAAATACATTTTAATTTTATTATAGATACTATTGGGTGTTTATTTCAAAATAATAAAGAAATGAAATCGGGTCTAATGTTCTACTTTTCTGCACCAATAGGTGTAATGAGGACAGGAATACGACATTATGTAAGAGCTAAATATACCTATTGCAGGTATACATTTATTAACATGACAAGACCATAATCAACTCTTGATGGCATCGGATAGATCCGATTTTAAGTAGATTAGAATGATTTGGCCATTTAATGATTTGATTTACAAATGGAGGAGTGAGACTAATATGATCAATGCACACATCTTGTCAAAACTACAACTCAAAATAAAGGAATTTGAATGAAATTTTCAATATATTCATTTTGCATTATCTAAGGGATCTTTTATGTACATGTCAATGTGTACACAAACGACTATACACCTCTATCCTGCACCACTGACAAGGGCCCAAAAATCCTGATGAACTTTCTCGGAAAATGCAGCGAGCCAACGTCTTATTCACTTAGCCACTGTGGCACCAATAATCAAATGAAAATGTTAAAAGTCTGTCTGAGACAATTGTAACATATAAAATTAAGAACATTAACAAATATTCTTAGAAAATCATGGGGTAAATAAAACCTTCCCTCTTACCTGTTTGTAAACATTTTTAGTTTTTTTAGTTGTATGTTCATCTTCTAGTATATTCATTAATAAAGCTATCCACCTATGTGAACTGAGAGCTTTACATATTAGTGGACTAGTAGCTATACTACGGACAAAACCTAAAGTACACCAACTATAGTGTTGTTCACTGGCTATCTGTATCGTTGTAGAATTTACATCTGTAAAACAAACAATTTATTATTTAGTCACCATCAAAAGTTATTCTATAATCAACAAATCTGAAATTTGTCTTATTCTAGTATGATTTTTCCATAAAGTATGGTGGGTTAATGGAGAGTTTCGACTGTTATCTTTCCATAATCATTAGAATTTAAAATTGAGTTTTGGTGGAACACAATTTTAATACGATTTCTGAAAGCTTAATCAAGAATTTATGACAATCTTTACTGGCTCTCGTGACACCATGTGAAGTGAAATAGATATGGTATTAAACAGACAGTTTTGATAAAAATCTTGCCATAATTATCAGAATTTAAATTTGCGCTTTGGTGGAACAAAATTTATTAAATGTGAAGTATTACACATTTATAAGTCAATGAGTAGAAAGTCACAGAATTGTTATTATCAGCCTTTAAACACTGACTCACATACACCTTAGCTTCTTCCAAAAGTGCAGAACATGACAGCGACTGTAAAATCATCTGCTCACCATACTCCTCCTTACACAAATTGCAAAATGTTAGCCATATTCAATTGATTTGTGGTGTTTTAGAAACCCAACCATCCACCAATATAATTGTAAGAATAACATACTTAAACCATGATTACAGCCATGATCAACTATAGTTCTCATTAAACCACTTAATGCACCAATAGCTTCTTTCTGTGCTTTATCAGCATATACTCCAGCACATACAGATAATATACGTAATAGATTTATAGTAGAACGACGAACTAAAGATGTCGGATGTTTACTTTCTGGTTTACATTTATCTACAAATACATAAGAAATAAAATAACATGTGGTCTAGCGTCTTACTTTTTTGCACCAACACGGCTAATGGAGACGGACATGTGCAATGCTTTAAATGAAATGTTGCCTGGACAGCATATTGTCCATCTATTCTTTTACATGTATGCCTACATATATACAGGACCTCGGTTTTCCATCGCATCAAAACAATTAAACGCACTTCCTTGCCAGACTCTCTAAACTGCACCACTGATGTGGTACAGAAAACCAGCAAAGAAGTTGAGCTGACCAACAATATTAACAAGTCAGAATAAAGATTTAATGGTAATCATTCATGTTTTGGTTTATAATTTAGTGAATGTATTTTATCTCATGCTTAGCAAAACATAAGAAGTGGCATGTCCATCTTATCAGTTTTTTTAATTACAAAAGTTTGTCCACATGACTAACAGAAGACTAATGATATTCAACAACCTTCACTCAGATATAGCATTGATTTAGTTTCTTTAATTAGACTGAGAGAAAATCTTTCTTTTCCATGGAGAAACATAATGAACTATAACTATCAATATTTATAATCGTCCATGATAACCAACCAACCTGATTCGGATTCATCCTCTTCATCTTCATCATTATCAGGTAATTCTGGTGGTTCAGCTAACTTGAGATCATATTTTCTTTCTTTACCCATTCTATAACTATTAGTGCTACCTGTATCCCATTGTACTCTTATCCATCCATCTTCACCTAACTCACCAATAACACGACCTAATCCTGGTGGTGGACCATCCTATATTCAATTAATAACATATAAAATAAGTGATTTTTTCACTGAAATTAAATTCCAACTAAGTGGCAATAAATCAATATACATACATTAAAACATCACAGTTAAATAAATAAGAAAGAACAATTCCAATATAAATAAAACTGAAACATACATTTTAAAAACAGATGGATAGAATGTTAAAAGAAATCTATAAATTTCATTCAAATTGCATGATTACATAGATAAAATTAAAGTTGCCCAGAGAGAGAGAGAAATGGGGTTTAACGTCCACTCGACACAAACTAGTTCATTTCGGGACTAACATATGGTTTAATTTTATTTCAATAATTCGCTTGCGCATAAGGGTCTTTAGCAGTGGGAGGAAACCGAAGGACCCGGAGAAAACCCACGAGGTTGGACAGGCGACCCTACTCCTTGTCACGTACAACCGGGGGATTCGAAACTACGCCAGTCGACTCAATAACAGACTTTATGATACAGCGCGCGCACGCAAACCATTCAGCCATCCACCCCCCCCCCCCCCAAAGTTGGCGAAGTTTAAAATGTGATAAAATGTTTAAGGATGTTTCAAACAGACAATATTATTACCTGATCGCCCCATTTCCAATCAACACCTCTCATAACTCTAACACCTATCTTCATCATACCAGCTAACTCAACACCAGTTAAAGGTACTGGTTGATTTTGTTTGCGACTTCGTTGTTCTTCAGGAATAGTACATACAACTGTATTATTATCTGGTACCAATACATCTGGATCTGGACCTGAATAAATAAAATAAGGGTTGCGAGGTCATAAATAACAGTAGCAAAAGTCAATACTTTCATAAGGAAAATCAAAATGTAACCCAAAATCGACAGAGGTAATCCCTGTAAAATACAACCAATCAGGACAAGATGGCATAATAATCATTTACAAGAACTGTATGCTTCGGAGAGAGAGAGAGAGAGAAATGGGGTTTAACGTCCACCCGACACAGACTAGGTCATTTTGGGACTAACAAATGGTTTAATTTTATTTCAATAATTCACTTGCGCATAGGGGTCTTTAGCAGTGGGAGGAAACCGGAGGACCTGAAGAAAAACAACGAGGCTGGACAGGCAACCCTACTCCTTGTCACGTAGAAACCGGAGATTCGAAACCACGCCGGTTGACTCAATGACAACCCCCCTCAAAATCGACAGAGGTAATTCCAGTAAAATAAAACCAATCAGGACAAGATGGTACAATAATTATTTACAAGAACTGTATGCTCTGGAGCATTCAAAAACAAAATGTTGACAGATCTATGATCACAGGTAATCTCTACAGGTAAGGTGGGATAATAAATATAAAATAGTATTTGTATAAGATTAAAGTTATTAATATTACCTGCTAGCCTAAGAATACTTTGTGTTAGAGCTAAAGTTCCTGAATTCAACAGAAGACTAAGACTAGTAGCTTGATGTTCCGTTGATAACATACTTAATATAGCTAGAATAAACCGAGCAGATGGCAGAGAACCAAGGCTTAATGTCTCCTGAAATATACAAATTATTTAATTTCTTTAGGTCCATTTCATAGACCATATATCTCCTAAATCACATAGAACAGTGACAAATACTGATGATTTTTGGGCCATAAAGGATATGGTGATGTTTTCTGTTATCAAACTAGAAATTTACAAAAGTGATACCTCTTCCTTCTAATAAATATCTATTTCTATTAACAACAAAAAAGTTAAGCCCAAGCCATGAAGTTTTTAATTCAAAACAGACCACATTATTATATATACCTTAGAATTATCGGCTATTGGTTGTCCTGGGTTTGTTCCTTGGCCTTTAAAATGTTGATCAGCTTTTATTACACAGTGTCGTAATTCGCGTATACACCATCTATACAACTCAGCAAACGTCATCTCTAGTAATATTCTATCACATGGTGGAATCAATTTAACATCAGATAAACAGTGAGGTAGTGGAGCACTGGAGGATATAAAATAATGGAAATCAATTTTCTAAAGTAGAAATATTATTAATTAATAAAAATCAACGACGCCCAGTCTACATGAAGTTAAACGTACAATATAATGGTTATCTACAAACTGACTGAATCTTCTACACCTCCAGATTTCTCAAATAGAACAGTTGAAAACCCTAATTTAAACATGGGTTAGCAACCAAAATAAAGTTTCATAAACAGTAAGTGACATCATAGAAAGATTAATAATGGGCAGTATTCAAGAATATAGCAAGAACAGGAGATTCAACTCTCAGAAGCTCTAACTCTAAATTAAATTAATATAATTAAAAGTTGATAAATGATTACGAGTTAGCTACTTTAATTTACTAAAGCGGGACGATGTTTGGATTTTTGAAAATTAGCTGCAGGTTACCTTGAATATTACAATAATATCAAGTGCCAGAATAAAAGTATAAAAATACTTAAAGAAATAGTCTATTTACAGTGTTTGAACATTTTGACTAAATAAAAAATGAACCAATTGGAAACAGTCTCTAAAACTGCTGGACTGATTTACATAGCTCAAATAGTAAGTGAGTGAGTCACTGCAATACTCATTGAGCCATCATGGCTCTCCCATTTACATGCAATTTGCCAGTTTCAATCACTGAAGTATATCTTAAGACTGCTTCCATGACCTCTATTTATCATTTCACTAAATTGACAACCACTGAAACACTAAACAATAAAGTACTACTTACTGATATTTTCTACCAACAGTAAGTAAACCATTCCAACCACACATCATAGAATATTTAACAGATGATATCAGATATTCTTTATGAACCAATGATAACATATTCTGTATACCCTTTAATCGAAGTTCAGCTCTAGCAACCTGTGATAGAAGTTAATATGTTGTCAATTCTAAGACACATATAGTGGAGTTATCTAAAGAGGGGACAATTTTTATCAAATGGGTGAACTCACTTTCCACACTTCAGCCCTTTGACCTTTCAAAATTCATAAAATGCAGGTCCCGTTTGAAATCTACCTACTTCTCAAGTCAATTTGTGTATAAGACACAATTCAAATTCACAACACAAGGGATCAAATCTATTCGAATTCACAAGTCATAATATAAATCCCTAAAACATAATAAGACAATTACCTGAAAATGTAACGATCGTCTCAGTTTATCGATATCTATCGGATGTTCATACAAAACAAACTCCACGATTTTATGAACCAATGGTATCTCAGCTTTGGTTCCAGTTAATCTCTGTCTAAGCCATCGTAATTTTCTGGTACAAGTAACAGCATTAACTACATGTTCCCAAGGATCATCCTGAAAGTCAGAATATAGTATTAGTTTAAAGTATTTCCATTATTATCCAGTATCACTCTTAATCAGCAAGAAAAAAACAAATTTTAATCCAACTGATGAATCAAAAAAATAAGCTGAAGCTATATCGCAATCATTTCAAAATAATAACCAATTTTAAAACATCGATCACAACCATTCTTAAAACATTAAATCCTTTTTAAAACATTTATAGTAATCAATTCTAATATGTTAATCTCAATATACTGATCCCTATCATTCTTAAAATGTTTATAGTAATGATTATTAAAACATTTATAGCAATCATTTTTAAAACATTAATTAATATATAATCTAAGTAAGATCTATAGACCTTTATCTAATATAAAAATGATATGTTACGAGTTATCAGAATAATTTTTAGAACTTTAACAATTTATAGCTTACAATTCTATCTGGGTCTGCCGTTTGTTGGGCTCGGGCATCATCCCTTTTGTCACTACTTTCCTCGGGAAGAACAATTTCTTTTTGTGTTTCTCCAGTTTTAGTTTCGCTCTCATCGTCTTCATCATCCTGCACCTCACCGTTTGGAGCTTCTTCCAGTAGTTCTATCTTAGATTCTAATGTTTCACCCTTCATGCTATCTTTAACTACAGGAATATCTTTAGCCCCTTCCACTCCGCCAGCAGCCCCTTCTTCTTCTGTTATATCAACTTGTTCCACTGTCTTGTCCACAGCAACCTCTACTCTTTCTATAATATAAAAAGAATCACCATATGTAAACTACAAGTAGAATCAATTGAGCTCCTGCCAATTGGAAGTGCTTTTTAAATGATGATTAAAAAACAAATGATGTGCTTGAAGAATAAGAAATATTGTTGGAACGAATGTAATTTAATACATTTCAGGTATAAGCACCCCAACCCCAAATATATCATGTAGTACTTTATAACTCAAGATATCATATAGTACTTTATAACTCAAGATATCACACATTACTTTATAACTCACATAGTACTTTTTAACTCAATATATCATGTAGTACTTTATAACTCAAGATATCACATAGTACTTTATAACTCAAGATATCACACAGTACTTTATAACTCAAGATATCACACAGTACTTTATAACTCAAGATATCACACAGTACTTTATAACTCAAGATATCACATACTACTTCAAAATATCGGATAAGTACTTTATAACTCAAGATTTCAATTAACATAAAAATGGATATCTATTCTAAATTCTTACCTTTCGTCTTTTTTTGTAAATCTAGAAGCTTAAGAATAACTTCTCTCCATCTAGGCATGGTTTTTAAGAATTTAGACCGTTTGAATGCGGAAACTTCATCACCTACTGCAGGACGTAGTTCATTAAACAGGAAATGACATCGTTCAATGACAGGTGCACAAACTTCTTTATATGATCTATTCTGATCTTGATGAGCCTAATAACATCAATTTTTTTTTATTTTAATATACATTGTAACAATAAATTCACTGACTTAGTAATGTTTCTAAATAGATACACTAACTTAAGTAATTCTGACTGTTCCATTTTTCTTGATATCCAGAAAAACTTTACATATAACACATGGATAAAAAATATAACCAAATATCATGAGTTATATTAAAATAATGCGTAATTTTTAGACTTAGATATATTCAGACATAACATACGAGACAAAAAATATCTGCTCATAGAAGTAGCATCCATTTAAAATTCTTTCAAGCTTTCCTAAAATCACATGCTAAACAAAGATAGATTCACTCTAAATATTCTACACTTTCGTTTCATCGACACCTGCCATCATGGAACTACTCCGACAATGCAAAAATAGCATGGTTCAGTATTTTCAGACTATGGTCTGGATTAAATGAAATTCAGGTTCAGTTAGTTCGACCATAATCAAGAAATCATGATAACCGATGATAATGTTGATGGCTGAGAAAGTTACTCAAGATTTTTCGGTCTGGTTTCCCCCCCGATCAGTCAGGGGACTCTTTAAAGGAAAAGAGTCTGCATGTTCAGAAAGGATGAAAATTTGAGGTCCCATATATACCCACAGGCAGCAAGTTAAAGATCTCCCAACAGATGGAAATCAGAATAAGAATAAATGAAATGAAATGAAATGAGGTTTAACATCTACTGTTCTGCTCCAACTGGGCTAATGAAGGCAGACATACGCCATACAGTGTGCAATGTGGGAAATATTGCCTGGGCAGCGGCACTATGGCCTACTCTTATATCAAATTCCAACTGCCAAGGGATCTTTTACGTGCACGCCAATATATTCAGGACCTTGGTTTTTCATCCAAATTAGAACGACTAGACAGACTGTAATGTGGCCTTCATGGCAGTTGTAGAAGAATTAGAGACCAATACTTACCTTTATAAGAGCTTTTTTAGTGTTGTATATTTGTTTACATAATTCTGTAATAGATTTAGGTAGGATGTTTTTACTACCATGTTCTCCCTGGCCATGTTCTAATAAACCTAATACCACATGACCTAAATCATGATGTTTTAATAATACTGCCATTAATAACCTAAAATTAAATAAATAAAATTATTTAATGAATGATAACATTTAGGGCTGCAAGTGAGAACTCAAAATATACTTTTACTTTAGCGACAGTTGTATTGAACTTTGAATATTGACTTTAACTCGAGTATTTTCCATAATTTGAACATTTATAATAACTTGAATATTTACTGTAACTGAAATATTGACTATAATTCAAATAATGATTAAAATTCAAGTATTGACTGAAATTCAAACATTTCAAGTCTTAAATGATAATATTTACAATCATTCATGAAGTGTTAAAATCAAAACAGTCAAAATGTTTTGAATTGTATATTTTCCACATACCTTCCGACATCTTCTACTGGATGTTCAACTATTGGTAGATCAAGTCTATTTTCTTTACAATATTTATCAACCATAGCTAGAAACGCTTTCACTAGAGGATCGTTTATTTTCCCTTCTGCTAAAGCTTGTAAGAATGGTCTGGCTACATCTGTCTGTAAGTTACCTTCATAGAGTTTCTCTTTATCCACTGTTTGAGGTAATTGACATTGTTCTGATGTTGGTGTGGCGCCTATTATAAAATAATAAATACAAAATACTTGATTAAAGTGTAAATTGTGAGGATTTATGGAAAAGATGGGTGTTTAATGGTGGAATGGGTTTAATATCTTGTCAACACTATACTTGTCTATTTGAGATTTACATAATTGTGGAATTTCATATTCTATGGTTATGTGTGCAAGGTGAGGAGGATTTCTGCCAACTCAATTTTCGATTCCAAATCTGGACGCATGACTAGGCCCATTTCGCAAGTCAACCCCCCAGGCCCCTCCCAGGACAAGTCAAGACCAGGCTTGAAATTTATGAAATAGTGTCATACCTGGTGTAGTTGTACAAGAACTAGGTGTTCGACTTTCTCCTTTCTCGTCATCATAACTATTATGTGGCTGTAATAACTGTAATCCTCCGCAGAAAAACTCTGCCTGTAGCCATTGTTTACTCTCTTGTTCTTCAGCAGATAAAACAGTACTTCTAGCTTGTTCAGCAGCATGTAAACCTAATAACGTAGCCAACGTTCTCTCGGTGTCAATAAGAGGGGAGTAAACAAAGTTTTCAGGTCTGTGGATATCTCTTGGTGGCTGAAAATAAGGTCAGAAATTCAGATTTTTATTGGAATAATTATAGAGGATGTCAACAAAAAAATCAAAATAGATGTATGATATAATAGTACATTTTGTAAACAGCGGGGGAATTCATTGATCCTGCCGAAAAGACAGAGAGAAATGGGGTTTAACATTCACTCGACACAAACTAGGTCATTTAGGGACTAAGATATGGTTTAATTTTATTTCAATAATTCGCTTGCGCGTGGAGTCTTTAGCAGTGGGAGGAAACCGGAGGACCCAGAGAAAACCCATGAGGGTGGACAGGCGACCCTACTCCTTGTCACGTACAACCGGGGATTCGAAACCACGCCAGTTGACTCATGATAAAGCACGCGCGTGCTAATCCATTCAATATGGATCAATGAATAAACAGTCTTAACTAGATATCTCTAAGGGTTATTAATATAGAAGATAAAACAATTTCCTAAATGTCATTTGACAAAGGGTAGTAATTAAAAGAAATAAAATGAAGACTACGAATGAACAAAGTATTTTTGTAAAGATTACCTGATAATCCCCAACATAATATTCCTCCATTCTTTCTATAGCATCTTCTGAATGACTGTATGAATCAAATGCTGCTGTAGCATCACGACCTGAAAAAAACCCCAACACAGATGTGACTAAACAGCTTTGATTTGGCTTAAAAGTATTGATTTAATCAAGTCTGACATGTTCATTTGCTTTCTAATGTGGGGTTCTGTCTACATTTAAAATGTTAGATCGGCAGCAAAAACAAAACCAAAATTTGTAAACAAATTGACTTCCACTTAATAGGTCAAATTGAAATTTATTAATTTAGATTTTGTCCTGTCACTTTATATAACACATAAGATCCACCCAATTCAACACTGTGACTTTGGCTTAATCGAAGTGGTTTAGACTCTTTTATGAATTTTTTTTATATATAACTGAATCAATAATTTATCCATATGTTTTCAAGAAGTTGCCATGAAATCCTGCGACAACTCTTGAGGCTTATATCCTAAATAATAGATCATTAAAAATATGTACACACTATATAAATAAACGGACATACCTATATATTCATTTAATATTTCTCTACCACATGGGGCTTCAGCTTTAAAATCCTGTACATCATAAACTTTACCATGTATTATAACCCAATGACCACCATCTTTAATCTCATTCTCAATATCTATTGGATGGATTTTACCTGTACCTTCTCGCTTTTCTCTATCTCTTTCTGTAGAACAATCTATAAATAAAATTAAGTGACTCAAGACTTATCTTTCTTCCCCGAAAAATGATATAAATAGCCTTTGTGAAAGTTGACTAAAGATTTTAAATTAGGATCTGTCTACTCAGTTTTTTAATGATTTTAGACTTTAAGTTCAAGAATATCAGTAGTGTTGTCTCACAAAGAAAATAATAGCAAATGAGAACGGGTATATTTAACAACCTAATATTCTGCACCAACCAGGCTAATAAAGACGGGTGGGGTGTGGGGTGTGTGGGGATGGCCAAATGGTTAGCGCGTGCACCCTGTTTCATGAGGTCTGTCATTGAGTCAACTGGCGTTTTATTCGATTCCCAGGTTGTACATAACAAGGTGTAGGGTTGTTTGTCCAACCTCGTGGGTTTTCTCTGGGTACTCCAGTTTCCTCCCATTGCTAAAGACCACTACGCGCAAGCAAACTATTGAAATAAAATTGAACCATATGTTAGTCCCGAAATGACAAAGTTTGTGTCGTGTTGATATTAAACTCTCTCTCTCTCTCTCTCATAAAGACAGGCATATACAAAACAGCCTTTCTGCCTACTCTTCATCGAATTCAAACTACCCAGGGTTCTGTTATGTACATTCTAATGTCTAAAGATGGCCTCGATTTTTCATACCATTCGTTCAACTAGACTCAGTTCCTTGCATCAATGACAAGGGAAACCACGCTGAAAAATCCTGAGAAACATTCTCAGCCAACACTGGGGGATCAAACCCAGGTCCTCCTGGCAACTGTACCAGCGTCTTATTCACTGACTCATTGTGGCTCTGTCTCACATCACAATAACCGTTTCCACAATTCCCATTCTGAATTGGGAGAAACATACTGAGTTCAACAACGAAAGGGGAAAACAAATATCTTCATTGTTTTACTTTGTATCAAAGTACAACAAATGTAAAATTTGTCATTGTTTTTATTTATAACTCACTATTCACACCTGGCCATGCTATATCTTCCACATCATCTTTATCTAATCCTGGTGCTAAACGATTAAACTTGTCTAATATATCTAATATTTCTTCTAATACTGGTACAGCTTTAGAAATAATGATAATATCAGGACTACGTAACTGTAGTAATACCATACATGTTATCATTTCTGGTAATAAAACACCTGAAAAACAGAATATATTAATATGAACACCATTTTACGATTGCCCTCAATAAAGAATGTTAACAGTCAGCACACACCAAGCAGCTATCTGCTGAGCAAAAATTTTGCACACTATCTATTTCCATCAGATATTCCATTTGGAATGGTATGTTCAATATTACCATGTAAAACAATTCCCCATTGTTTTAATATTTATTTTAGAGACCACTGTTATTATGCTTGACTGTAATGAAACGTTGGTCAGTATTTAATAATTTTAAAGAAAAAGTCTTTTAAAAAATTGCCTCCATTATATATTTTGACTTATCAATCATGTAAAACTCACCTGTGACATCATTGACAATAATTTTGGAGACGAGAGTAAAGTTAGCTGGACTATGACCAGCAATACTGGCTGCAGCAGGTAGAATATCACCTACATGTGTACATAGTAATCCACAATATTTCCTTAATAATGACGCAGCACCATGCATCTCTAAGCCTAAACATTAAAACAAACAAGAGCAAAATCAAATATATTATTAATAACAGACTATAGATTCTAATAAGACTTAATGTCTCATTGACACATTAGACTAACATCAACCATTTTTATTTTGAAGAGGCCAATGCTAGGAAGGAGAAATTTGTCAGATTAGTAGCATTCTAACTACCCTTCTTTGATGGTTTTTTTTGTACATGTAAATGTTCACAGTTCTCTATCAAATATAGACATGGCACATTCTTCTCATCAAGGAGCCATGGTGGCTCAGTGAGTAAGACGTCGGCTTGCTATCCTGGAGGTCCTGTGCATGATCCAAGTGTTGGCCGAAAATGTTCTCTGCCGTAGCTCCCCCTTGTCAGTGGTGCAGTCTGTAGCGCCGCTGTCCCGGCAAATTTTCCCTCATAGCACACTAAACAGCATAATAGGCCCATCTTCATTAGCCCAGTCAGAGTAGAACATTTAGATGTTAAACCCTATTTCATTTCATTTCCTTTCTGAGGCTACTGGGATTAAACTGCTTGAACATAGTCAATACAGAAGCTCAGTGATCAATATCCAAAACCCCACGAAAAAAATGCCAATAATAAATAAATCACCTATTTCTGAACTTGGCCTCATATTATCTTCATCCTCTTTAGCTTCTAGAATTTTAGATAAACTGTTTGTTTCTTTTAAAAATATTTTTGAGATGAGAAGCCGTTGAAATTGTAACAATAGATCGAGTGATGGAGTTGTTTCTTTCTGTTCTCCATCTGGTGATTTACCATTATTACTCCTAGCTATATCTTGTAACTTAGATAATGAATGTGTTGATGAATTCCTGAAAGTATATAAACATATCTAACCATTGAATTTCCAAAAGTTATTTATAACTGTATAACAAAGACAATTCTTTTTTTTTTTTCAAGTTATTTGTCCAATTTGAGACAAAAGTCCAAAATATTAAACAAACCAACATATTTAGATCAATCACTGATCTACGACAGCCATGTTGTGAAACAAGCCAACAGTGAGGCTGATGTCCCCCGCCGAAATCCACAAATAAATAGATGACACATATTAATTAATCGCACATCTATTTTTTTTCAAAAGTATCGAGCAATCAAACTGATTATCAAATATACACTAAGTTTCATCACTCTCTATCAGATAGAATCAAAGTTATCTTGTCCCAAAGCATCGACCAAGGAAATTGCTTATCTCTACTTAGCTTTAGCTCGATATGTTAATCATTGAATTCGGTCAAGACGAACATCAACATCAAGTTAGAAGCAGAGATGTTATGTTCCAAAGTCTTGACCAATCAAAATGCTTATTGCTCCTTAGCCTAAGCAGACAATTCTCATCATCGAACTTAGGCAAGGTATTGATGTAATGAAACTATACACCAAGTTTCATCAATCTCACTTAATTAGAACAAAAGTTATCATGTCCCAAAGAATCTACCAATCAAATTGCTTATCTCTACTTACCATAAGTAGAAAATGCTCATCTTCGCACTCTATCAAGGCATTGACCTCATAAACACCTACACCTAGTTTGAACATTCTAGCTCAATTAGAAGGAGAGTTATTGTGTTCCAAAGTCTTGGTCAATCAAATTGCTTATCGTTCTGCTTACCCTCAGCAGAAAATGCTCAATATCGAACTTAGTCAAGGTATTGATGTAATGAAACTATACTCCAAGTTTCATAACTTTCACTTAATTGGAACTAAAGTTATCGTGTCCCAAAGCATCAACCAATCAAATTGCTTATCTCTACTTACCCTAAGCAGAAAATGCTCATCTTCATACTCCATCAAGGCATTGACCTAATAAACACCTACGCCAAGTTTGAACATTTAACCTCAATTAGAAGGAGAGTTATTGCGTTCCAAAGTCTCAGTCAATCAAATTGCTTATCGCTCTGCTTACCCTGAGCAGAAAATGCTCATTATCGAACTTAGTCAAGGTATTGATGTAATGAAACTATACACCAAGTTTCATCACTCTCACTTAATTAGAACTAAAGTTATCGTGTCCCAAAGCATCAACCAATCAAATCGCTTATCTCTGCTTACCCTAAGCAGAAAATACTCATCTTCGAACTCCATCAAGGCATTGACCTAATAAACACCTACACCAAGTTTGAACATTCTAGGTCAATTAGAAGGAGAGTTATTGTGTCCCAAAAAGTGTGACGGACAGACAGACGGACAGACAGACAGACAGACGGACGAACCCATTTTCATAGTCCCCTGCTTTCTTCGAAAGGCGGGGGACAATAAGTCAGTATTAAAGGGCTAGTGATGGAATATTCCAGTAAATGTTGTATATTGAAGTAATATATACCTGAGTAACTGTTGTATAAGTTGTAATAATGGAATGGTAGCTCTGGTATCAACTGATTTTTCACTGGTAGGAGATCTATCATTACTGTCAGAATCTGATTTTTCACCATTTGATGCTCCACCTATTTTATCATCTTCATCTTCTTCACTCTCCTTATCCTATAAAAATAATTTAAACAAATAATTTTTTATGTGATGCTATTATAAATTTCATAATATTTGTCTCATATGACAACGAACAGTTGTTTCCGAGCAGTTTGAATATACTTTACAATTGATGGTTAAAGAATCTTGACTGTCAGAGAAACAAATCTTTATAAGTGGTTCATTAGGACAGGGAATCTACTATGGGATTTGAATATAAAAATTTCTCATTGTATCAATAGACTCAGATATAAATACAAATTCTAACTGTTTAAAGAAGAATCTGTTACCTTTTTATTTTCTATTTCTTGAATCTCTTTTTTAATGGCTGCTGAAAGAGCTGACTCTAATCCTCCATCTGCCATCAGGCTACTAACTAATAGATCTGTCATAAATCTTTGACCCGAACTCATCACAGTTAAATCTTTACCTGAATATATAGCATTAAATATTGAAACCTAGAAAAGGTAAACGGTGGTTATGAAGTGTAATCGCGAGGTTGGATGGTTAAATTGTGTGCATTGGATCATATAAGGTTTGTTATTGGGTCAAGCGGTGTGGTTTCGATTCCCCACTTGTAGGGTCGTATGTCCAACCTCATGGGTTTTCTCCTCGTCCTCTGGTTTCCTCCCACAGCTAAAGACCCCTACATGCTAGAGATTTATTGTAATATGATTCAAATCAGACGTCAATTACATTTTGTTGTTTAGTACATTAACATTCAATGTATTTGCAGTGAAGTTATTGACCAATCGAACTGTCTGTATTGGTATACAGGGATTCATTTTGTGGTAATTAATGAAATTTTTCAAAATCCAAGCATGATGGGTTTTGTCTGTGACATCTAGGTAGATGTGGGCGTTAAACCCCAGATGAATTGAAATAGTAATCTAATATTAATTAGATTGATCATTTTGAATGAATGAATGAAATGGGGTTTAATGTCCTACTTTTCTGCACCAACTGGGCTAATGAAAATAGGCACACAGTGTGCTATTAGGGCAAGTAAACATAGATATAAAAATTTATCTATACCAGTCCGTTAGGGGTCATTATTGAAACTATTATAATGTGAGTATAAAAATCTTACTTCCTGTTGCTAATAAGGATGATAAAGCTCTGGCTCTCTCTTCTGCTGTAGGTAATAATAATGACCAACCACTCTGTAATGCTGCTTGAGCTGATCTCTGAACTGTTTCTAATACGCCTGAATTACTGGCAAGGGAAACTACTCTCTGTTTTAAACTATTAACCAATGTGCTGCCTGGACCCAGCCCTAAACTATCTCTTGTCTCACTTTGACTCACAGATGCTCTTAGCTAAAATTTAAAAAAGTTTAAAACTAAATCAATGGATTGCATACGATCAAAATATCTGGTTCTCTAGCCAACTTGAAAGATGGCTGGTAGATGACATACATTTGACGAGCATACCCACACCAACAAAGCACCGGTTACTAACACTGATGACAGTTACATTTTCTTTTAATTTACACCAATTTTATCTGAATAATTACTATTCTCAAAATGAAAATTAGTGAATCCAGTGCAACATTAGCTAAATTCCAGTTGTGCATCATATACAAAACATGCTGGATGTAAAATAAGCCTGTGGAACATTTCAAATTTGCTCAATTCTGGAGGCTAAATGTGTGTCACATTATATTTATAGGATTCTAACATAACCTTATATTAAAAGTGTGGTATTTCTAATTCGCCTCAGTTTTGTAAAAAAAAAAAAAATATCTATAGAAGAAATCTATTTCTATTGCCTTTATCTAGATTTATATTGAAGGGTAAAAAACAGGGTTTCCTAAATAGCACTTTTCTGTCTCCCCTTGCACAAATAGGAAGAAAGGATGTATTTTGAGAGTATTTTGTTGTGTACTTATCATGTACTGTGTAATATTTACCTGTAAATTAAGTAGATTAAGACCAGCTACTGCTATACATTCTTTATGTTGTGGAGGTCGTTCACCTTTACTATCCATACCATCACATACCTCACTCAATAACTCATTTAAATGTTCAAAAGTTGATTTAGATACATCCACCACAAACGGTATTCTAGAACTCACTGACCAATGTCCACTAGATGACCATACAAACGTCTGAAAACAAATAATATAACTGGGCATTATATTTTACTACATATTGAGCATACACAAGGATTGAGTATTACAGTTGAATTCTCACTGATAGAACATCATCACATCAGCATTATCAAAACAACAATCTCTGCCACTGGCTCGTATTAATACTTTTGTAATCAAAGCAACATGGTTTAATGATTGGATCGAATAAATCCCCTCCACACCACACCCCCTTTTACAATCCAAAAGATGAATTCTAAGCCAAAATTTGAAAAACACAAATTCAAATAAACTAAGTCTTACCTGAGAAGGACCACAAGATGCACCAACTATATTTTTGCCCTCCACACCAGACATGATGGTTGGTTCATTTACATTATTATCACCGGTATCTCCTAACTGGCCATTTTCATTTTTACCCCAACAAAAGACATCACCATCTTCAGTCACAGCAGCACAATGCATGGAACCAACAGACACATCAACAATTTTTTTGCCAGCTAAAAACTCAATTTGTTTTGGAAGACGAATATGATCTTCTGTTCCATGACCCAATCTATAATTATCACCTTTGCCCCTGTTTTACAAAATCAAAACAACTTTTATAGTAACTATAATAAACAACCTCATTGATTATTAATGTATAATTATTAATTGAGGTTTTATTTTTTTAACAATGGCCAGGAAATTAAATGTTTGTAAATTGGACGCTTTAAACCCGAAACAAGTACAAATTAGATGATGTTTACTAATTTTCAAACAAAGATTTGTTATTGATTGAATGTAAAAGAAATTAAGGCTAAATACACAAGATTAAATGATATCCGAGTTACAGTTTTTGTCTTAAATAAGTTTTGAAAAGAATTTATAACATACCAGGAATAGAGAGCTCCTGATTTTGTTAGTGCTAAACTAAACTGAGCCCCACAGAATACTCGTACAACTTCCTGTCCCATCAAATTCTCTATTAATTTGGGTGTTTTACAGCCATCACTACCACCACGACCTAGTTTACCATAATCACCATCCCCCCACGAATATACAGCACCTGAAATATTTATTACAGGAATAATAAATTCAGTGTCAAATAAATTTGATAACATAAACATTTGTTTGCTCTGCTAATTCATGAAGAATATTTATTACACATATATATCATTAGATTAATATAAATTTTGGAAATAAAAACATAGAAATGATATTTTAAGGGATCTTAACATTTTCTGTAAATATATTTTGCAGTGTTTTTCAAACATTAAATACTGAACAAGCCAACAGTGAGGCTGATGTCCCCCGCCGAAATAGGAAAATAATTAGAGGACACATATAAATTTATCACAAATAAGCGGAACGGACAGACAGACAAACAGACAGACGGACGAACCCATTTTAATAGTTCCCTGCTTTCTTCGAAAGGCGGGGGACAATCAAAGTAGGAGAGTTATTGTTTTCCAAAGTCTCGACCAATCAAATTGTGTATCGCTCTGCTTACCCTGAGCAGAAAATGCTCATTATCAAACTTAGTCAAGGTATTACTGTAATGAAACTATACACCAAGTTTCATCAATCTCACTTAATTAGAACTAAAGTTATCGTGTCCCAAAGCATCAACCAATCAAATTGCTTATCTCTGCTTACCCTAAGCGGAAAATGCTCATCTTCGAACTCCATCAAGGCATTGACCTAATCAACGCATACACCAAGTTTGAACATTCTAGCTCAATTAGGAAGAGAGTTATCGTGCCCCAAAGTATCAACCAATCAAATTGCTTATCTCTGCTTACCCTAAGCGGAAAATGCTCATCTTCGAACTCCATCAAGGCATTGACCTAATAAACACATACACCAAGTTTGAACATTCTAGCTCAATTAAAAGTTATCGTGTCCCAAAGCATCAACCAATCAAATTGCTTATCTCTGCTTACCCTAAGCGGAAAATGCTCATCTTCGAACTCCATCAAGGCATTGACCTAATAAACACATACACCAAGTTTGAACATTCTAGCTCAATTAGGAAGAGAGTTATTGTGTCCCAAAAAGTGTGACGGACAGACAGACGGACAGACAGACGGACAGACAGACAGACAGACAGACGGACAGACAGACGGACGAACCCATTTTAATAGTCCCCTGCTTTCTTCGAAAGGCGGGGGACAATAAATGAAAGATGTTTAATATCTAGCTAATCACTTTCATTACAAGCTATTTTGAGACCAGTGGGCCATATGAATGGTTCTTATTTTATAGAGCCATAAAAATTCCTAAATTTTAACTCTTCCAGCATATTTGTAAACACTAGTTTAGATTTAAAATATTTGACATATTGTCATACATTATGTATTCTTGGTCTTCATTCAAACAGTTTGACTTTTTATATTTTGATAAGGTAGACTTCTGTTCAAGTTAAAGAGTTTAACATACTCTCACAAGTTACAAATTCAATGCAATATAAATAGAATTATAAGCTATCCTAATTATAAAAATGCTGATTCTCGACCATCTGCTTACCCGTTTCTGCTACAGCTAGAGTGTGAGCATCTCCGCTTCCACAAGCTACATCTATTATACGATGTCCTTTGAGAGCTGAGACGATACTAGGGGTGGACTGATCCTCACTGCTACCATGTCCTAGACGTCCATAGTTACCACGTCCCCATGTATATAATTCACCTGTAGCGGTAATAGCGGTACTGTATGTACTACCACATATTATATTGATGATATGTTTACCAGATAAACTAGCTACTACTGTTGGTTCTTCTCGTGATCTGAAAAAATCATCATAAAATCAAATAACTTTAATATGAACATGAAACTTCCCATCTATTCCAATCCTTATTCAGATATTTACTGATTAAAAATACTCTTTTTACATGTAAAACAAAAACAAAACTTATTTCAGCCAAATAACTTTCATTGTCCCATATCGGATAGATTGCTTAAATGGACAAGTGAGCCAGCGCGATATTTATGGAGCCACTTGACTCCTTTGCTAATACAACATGTCAAATGAAACGAAATTACTTACATGTTATCTCCATGACCTAGTCTACCACCATCACCATTCCCCCATGAATACACATCACCTTCACTAGTTAACGCTAGGTAATGTTTACCCTCCGGATGTGCTGAGATCTTTACCACTTCTTTATCTCCAAACCCAGACATGAGCTGCGGAGACTGGTTCTCGGAACTATAATACATATTGAATACTCTTCCAGTCCTTGTTAAAGCTAATAAACATCGTTCGGAACAAGCTATCTGCTGCAAACCACCGGTATCGTTAAAAAAATCAAGGATGTGAGCACAATTTATTTCACCATTTCTGTTCCAACCTAACATACCCCATCCAATTACTTCTTGAGCAGCACTTCTATGAGACTAAAACAATAAAATATATTCATAAGTAAAGCCTCATTATGCCAGAATAAAAGTTAAATATAGAGTTAAAGATCATACACAATCAAAAGTGCTTTTACGAAAAATAATCATTCTGGTTCAAAAACATAAATCTATGACTGCACAAAGCATACATTGATTTCTATTGACTTCACAGCGCTAGTGAGTATATGTTTCTGACACACATAATGACATCCCCAGTATCACCAGTGGTATCATTCCGTTCCACTCCAGTAACCACTGGGACTATTCAAGGGGGAGACACATAGTCAAATTATCCTTCCTTGATAATTAAGCTATTTTTATCGTCCAATCAAAAAATTCCATAAATAGAAAACAAGTGGGTGAAGGGAAATAACTCACATTTTGTTGCAATTAAGATGGCTGTGAAGTTGTTGTAAACTTATTCAAAATATTTTAGGACATCTGTTTGTGTGCATGTCACTTCTATGATATTATATTTCTTGCAAACTTTCTAATAATCAAGCGTACATGCTGCTGTATTGTGGTGAACGTAAACAATGACGCTAAGACTGATATGTAATCTGTTTTTTGACTGGTTCCTACATGGCCAACAAAACCATCAAGGGCAGATAATTTGAATTTCGTGAATAACCCATGAATGGACCCAGGGGTTAGTGGAGTAGAATACAACTATGCCACTGGTGATACCAAGATGACATAATGACTGCAATATATTTTTTTGAACAAACCAGTCGATTCTTCAAGAATTTTGTACCTTTAATATCTAAATATATACCGATAAAAATAATTTACTATCCAGACTCAACATTTACAGATATGTAATGTTTTCCATTTACAGTAGAGGTAATTTAGCTTACACACTACACAGATTTATAGTATCATCTAGTCACAGGGCCCACAGTGAGCCTAGATTAACCTAGAACATGAAGGACCATAGTAAACAGGAGACTACAATGATTAACAGGAATTGTAATTACGTGGGACCCAGACACTGGGTCATCACACATTATACACTATAGTTTTCGTAGGACCCGATCTGGTGACCATAGTAACCGGTAACTAAAGCTTTATTAGCTGTTGATAAAGTCTTAACCACTCCAGTCTATTTTTACCTTTTGACTAGTAGGAGGAAAATAAGGTGCGGCTATTCTATCTAAATGCGACATGATGACTACAGCACTTTGACGCAAATCAACTGATGTATTCTCATCTGCTGGGTAAGATAAAACACGCAGGAAACACTCTGTAGGACTGGCATGGTAAATACCATTCTGCAATAAACAAAGATAGGTTGCCTAGCAATGAAACATATATCCACAGCAGTCCATAAAGAAAGGGAGTATTTACCGGACATTAAAATTGATCAAGGATCATGCACCTTTACTTTAATATCGCCAACCTGATTGAGAAAAAGCCTATGAAAACGAAATGAAATGAAATGGGGTTTAATGTCCTTCTCTGACTGGGTTAATGAAGACAGGTATATGCCATACAGCGTGCTATGAGGGAAATTTTGTCTGGACAGCGGCGCTATGGCCTACTTTTATATCATATTCCAACTGTCAGGGGTTCTCTTACGTGTACGTCAATGTGTACAAAGGTCCTCAGTTTTTCGTTCCAATCCGAACGATAATAGGTTGTCCCTTGCCAGACCCTCCGTCATGCACCAATGACAAGGGGGAACCGTGTCGAAAAATCTTGATAAACTTTCTCTGCCAAAGCAGGGATTGAACACAGGACCCCCAGGTTAGCAAGCCAACGTCCTACTCACTGAGTCTCGACTATAAAAACAAAGATGAATTAATGTTCTTGAAAGTCTTTTTGAGACATCTGCACAAATGGCCCTAATAATGTACATACCTCGTCCCACGATGACATTTCAACAGAACGTAATTTAGGATTGTGAATATTTTCAAATCTTCTCAACAGCGGAATCAAAGGAGCACTATTTAAACTGCTACTGATGCGATTGTCGTAGTCATGGTGACTGTTATTCCATAAATTTAATAATAATAATACTGTAGATAATATTTGACTTAGAGAACCTCTCTGTACAGCTAATTCTAGTAATAATGCCAGGGCTATCTGTTGATCTTGAACTGGTATTTTACTAGAACTACTCCTTGCATTATCACCACCACTAAGATCTCTGAAATCGACACATTTCAAAATTTGAATAAAAAATACAGAATTAACAAAGAAACTATTATAAATAACATTTTTTCATTTGTTGCTAATTTTCTACCAGTATATAATCTTTCTAATGTTTAGCAAATTTAATATAGTTCTTGATTTCTATCCAAATGTGAACATTTTATTTGTTCATGGACTGCATTAATTGGTGTTGAATGAGTTATTATCTCCCTTTTGACACATCTTGAAACTTGAACTTAATGGTAAACCTTATGACCAAAGCACATATACAATATCATACAGCCATTCAATTGCCCTTAATTTTGTCTAGTATAGTGTAAATTAACAAAGTATCTTTACAAGCACAACAGTAAATTTAAGACATGATGAGAAGTGCAACTCCTCCACGTGCATTCAAAGAGAAGAACCCAATAGCTCCAGTGTTATAAAGTGTAGAATTCTTACCCAGCAACAACACCATGTAAAAATTTGGTAGCTCTTTCAACTACCTCTTGCCATACTATGGATACAGAACCTTCTTCAAACATGGTGGCTTCTGGAAGAGATCTCAATGCTTCCAATGATTCTTGTAATAGGTCACTACAGAGGTCAGCATCCTCCCCAGAGCGCCATGCTCTCCGTAGAAAGGCGAAAGCGAAACTGAGAGCAGCTCTTGAGCCGACTCTGGCAAGACCTAATGTTGCTTTCTCTGCTGGTTTCACTGCTGTATGCCTGAAATTACCATTCAAGATACATACAATATGATTCATCCTATTCATAATACACAGAATCAAATCGCAATGCGCTAATTGTGATGCTTGAGACTAAAATTTATTGTGAATTATTCTATAGATTTTCGATCAAATTATTCTATAGATTTTCGATCAAATTATTCATTACAGATTACAGCAGCAGTCAGTTTGCTACACTTTGATCATAATCCTATCTCACTGCCAAATCAGAAACTTTTCAGATATAGTCAAAATATAATTTATATTTGTTTCAGTCTTGACATAAAACACCTGTCACAGACATTGTCAGGCACAAATATCACATAACATATCTTCTATATAAATACAATCAAAGATGTCTATGAGTGTGTTTACCCATCACGCTTTGTCGCAACGATACACCCCCACATATGTGATTATCAAATTAACCAGCATGACCCGTGAATGTTTTAGGCCATCGAATTTGGCCCCCCAGGCCAGAGTGCGTGTGTTTGCATCATGCTTTGTTGCCATGATCCACTCCCACATATGTGGTATCAAATTAAACAGCATGACCCCATGAATGTCTTAGAGCATTGAATTTGGGCCCCAGGCAAATTGGGCCTGGGCCCCGTGTGAAACACGCTTCGTCGGTGCGCTCTACCCCAATAGGTGGTATCAAATAACAAGCATGACCCCGTGAATGTCTTTAGGCCATCGAATTTGGGCCCCATGTGAATTGTGCCCCTGGCAAATTTGGGCCCTGGGTCGAAACTGGGTATTCTGCTAATATATATTAAAATATATACGTTGTGTAATAATTTGTGCCTAACAATGTCTGTGACAGGTGACAGGTACCTTATGTCCAGACCTGTATATATATACATTGTGTGATATTTGTACTTGACAATGTCTGTGACAGGTGCCTTATGTCCAGTCTTGCAAATTGGTAGTCAAATCTTAGACTATGGTAACTACACTGACTTATTGATGAAAGGTATAACGTCTACTGTGAAACGTTCAATGAAAAGTGTTCTTTTCTTTGATGAAACACTTGTTCCCTTATAAACTTACAGTTTTTGTTTTTTGACAGCTGTTGTGCTGTTTTCTTGCCGTTTCTTGACCTGACTTCTTTTTTCGTGTGGATTTTGTCGACATAGTGCTGTAAAATAACGTTCGAGTACAGCTAATCGTTGATGTAATCTGGTGGATGAAAGGGTAGTGGAAGCTGTATACATACATAGCTGTTTATGTTCATGTAATAAAGATGATAAACATTTCTTTAAACTTGGAATATCTGCAAAAACAAATTAAATTTAATATTATCAATAAAATCAACAAGACTCATTCATCTACATCCTGCACCATTTGGAAGGTATACTTGAACAGACAATCTCTGTGTTATTGGTTAATCAACAATCAAATATTACCTAGTAGTGTACATGTCATAAGATTAAGATGTATAGCAATCATCCCAATTACTGCTAAATGTACCTTGTAATAATGGACATTAACTGGTAAACCATCAAAAGTATCCAGAGATTGAAAAGCTACGCTAAGTTCTAGATGTATGTATGAAAACAAAATCTAATAAAGTATCATAATGGTTTCTGAGATGTGTTGTGGATAATATCAAAAACTAAGTCAAATGTGTTTTTATAGAAGCACAAAAATTATTTATAGAATTTATAAATTAGCAAACTACAGGAATAATTTGATAAGTTTCATAAAGATGGGAGCTTTCGTATAACAATTGTATAACAATTAATTTTCGATGGTAAGAAAAAATTCATTAAATTCTATAAATTTCTAATTAGCAAAAGGCACAACTACTATATAGATCGTGTGTCCAAAGTTTCAGTTTGTTTCCATGGAAACACAAAAATGATTAAATCCGAGAAAATCTGAATTAACAAAAGGCACGATTACTATACTATTAATAGGTTGATCAAATGACGAAGAACAAATCTATGTCACAATGAGCAATCTCACAAAGTTTTCAAAAATTCTGTTGTGATCTCTTTCTTATATTACATTCACATGGTTTCACATAAGCATCTACTCTCAAATATTATGCAGCTATGATCAATTTCACTAAATTTTAGTACATTCCATTGAGAAAGTTTTTCTGTATTCTATTCGCAAGCTTTAACAGTTGATCTGAGAATTCAGAATATCTATAAATCAAAAGACAATGATCTCGAAAACATAAAACATGTCTGGCTATCTAACTCTATCAAATACTTTCAATTTGTACATGTAACTTTTATCAATCCTCATTTCTCGGAATACAAAAACATTTGATCAAAAGTTACCTGGTTGTAATCCCCATGTCCATGATTCTATCTGTGGGCCAGACGGCTTTGGTTGTAGTCCCTCCAACATGGACAATATCTTGTCTTGTTCATCCAGTTTCTCACAGGCCTGACAATTACAAGGGTTCGTTGCACTGCAGTAGCCATCACAACAACTGCACACCAGTGACTTCATACCACAATAATACTTGCCGTTTTCTCCTGTAACATACAACCAGAAATCATAGAAAAACATTCTTGACATTTTAAAATCGATACTTAAACATGGCTTCCTTGTTGAACTTTTGGTAGTTTTTATTTTTTAAACCTATAAGTTATGTTTCTGTCACTTGGAATATAACCTGAAATATTTGTTTAAAGGCAATTCATTTTCCACTGCAAATATCACATTCAAAAAGGCAAACATTTACTTTGAGCATGCTCTAATTAGATTTAATGGAAAATTGGAGACGGAATGGATAGTGGAATGTGGTTTATTGTCTTTTAACACAATACTTTGGTCATTTTGAGATAATTTACATCTGCAATGTGTGAGATAGAAGAATTCTGTGGAACCAGCAGTGTTTCCATCTTCTTCGATATCTAAATATCACAGGGTTTTTTACAAGCACGCCAATTGGTCGACCTCAGTGAAAGATGGGCTTCAAATATCGTAGGGTTTAATGTCCTACTGTTCTGCTCCGAGTGGGCTATTGAAGACGGGCTTACACCATACGGTGAACTATGAGGGAAATTTTGCCAGGACAGCGGTGCTATGGCCTACTCTTTTAGGTGCATGCCAATATGTACACAGGACATCTTTCACCACTGTCGGGAAACCACGCTGGAAAATCCTGGGATCGAACCTGCGACCTCCAGACTAGCGAGCAAGCCAGCGTCTTACTCACTTAGCCAATATGGCTCCTCGACTATGACAACCCTGCATTGACTTGGCAGTGCCTACCAGTAATTAAGCAATTATTCAATTACATGATTTTAAGAAGTAAATTGAGAAGAAAACATAAATATTTATAGCAAAGGTACACATGTGTTTGTCGACTGTTTTTTGTAACACAATCAGATCATATTACATTCCAATTACGTCAATGAAAGGAGGAAGAAATCATAAAAATAATTCCTAAATCAACAAATGAAAACTATTTATTACATAATTCCACAAATTAGTTCATTTATCAATCCCATCCAAACCACGGTTTCAGATACAAAAAGATCTTGTAAGGTAAACAATTCTATGTCAATAAGGATGAAAATTTGGCAAAAACCATGAAAATCGATGAGGGTTTCTGTTAGTCTATATCATTCTATTAGTTAGGTAGACTGTAATATTTGCTATTACCTTCATTATTACACTATCTCACAGATTTTTGTTTAACCACAAAAAAGTGTCAAATACCAAGTAAAACCTGTTCTATCTAATAATTAGTAGATTACAATCTGTATCAGGCCAAGACAAAAAAAAAACACCTGTGTTTACGGTTATTTGAATGCCAAAAATAGGGTCATTCGGAAAATCTCGGTTTTCTGGGTTTTTTCTTATTTCGTGGGATTTGTAGCATTTCTAGTACAATTACCGAATACGGTTCTTGAAAATAATAATGTCAGTGTTGGAATTTGTCCACAGAAAACAACAAGAACATGTCATAGGACCTGGGAAATAAAAAAAATGTTTTAGCTTAACACACATTTGTTATCATCTACTATTGGATAATAAATTGTATTACATGTTGCCAAATCCAATAGAATAATCAAATTATGGAGCATCATTTAGATTATTCTATCAATAATAGCCTAAGTCTTCAAAGGTTACATGTACTTGATGTGATCTTTTAGAATCACTCATTTTCAACCGGACTGTACAGCGTATTGTATGCTCATAGCTAGCCCCTCCCCCCCCCCCCCCCCCCCGGATCCATTCACTTGATCTGACATGTGTGTTTGATGTATCTGTGTATATTGTGTCCTGTCCATAAGTTTATTTTGTGTAATTGTTTGCACTTACTATTTACATAATAATATTAAGGGAATTAGCTGATTAGAACAAGGGGGTCACGGTGGCTAAGTGGGTAAGATGCTGGCTCGCTAGCCTGGAGGTCGGGTGTTCGTTCGATCCCTGCATTGGCCGAGAAAGTTCATCTAGATTTTCCGGCGTGGTTCCCCCTTGTCAGTGATGCAGGACCGAGGGCCTGACAAGGACAGCTGTCTAGTAATTCGGATACGACAAAAAAAAAACAAGGTCCTGTGTACAGTTGGAATTCGACATAACCATAGGCCGTAGTGCTGCTATCCAGGCAAAATTTCATTCATAGCACACTAGATGGCGTATGCCCGTCTTCATTAGCACAGCTTGGAGCAGAAACGTAAGACGTTAAACTCCATTCCATTTCATTAGAACAACAAACGGGGCATTCAGGCTATCCAAGAGAAAGTTATGAAATATGCATGCACAAAGATATCTGAAGCCTGCAATTTTAATCTGAAACTTTCAGACTGCTAAGTTAAAAATAAAAGCTTTCTGACAGACAGGTAGTGAGTTTTTTGGGGTTTTTTACTGGTTTCTATTTGCCCCATCTTTAGCTAACTTAACAATCGCCAGCATTATTAAACCAGCTTAATTTAAGCATTTGAATGACAGATTGTTTTAAAAAGAATTGAAGTATTGTCTTGACAATAGATTGTTTATCATTGTAACTACGGTGCTTGTTATTTGAGACTTAGCCTTGATTTGCCATTTTTAAATTAAAGCATTAAATGGTGATGGTGTTTAATCTGTTTAAATACGTACATTCCGATAATCTAGAGAGTTTATTAAAGGCTTGGCATGTGAATAAATGTCTAAATAATAATTTATATAACATGTAAAGGCAAAATAAAAACCTGTATCTTTAAATAATAATTAAAAGAATCATTTATAATTAATTGTTGAGAGAGGATGAACGAATTGTGATGCCACAAGTAAGAATCCTCTGAATGGTAAACAGGAATTATTGGCATCATTCTGTGTTTATATTGAAATATGAGGATGGCAATTAACGTTTGTCATTCTTTAGTACATGTTCATGATTGATTTAACATCTGTCTGTAAATTTACGATATCACCAACAAAATCTGACGTCAACATACATGTACATTATTAGTTTAGATGCTGACGTCATAAAAAGAACTAGTTCAATAAAAATAGAAAAACAATTCTCAGGTTTCTACTACTGGAGAACTTCTGTACTGCCAACTTGCTGTCATGAATTTGCAAAAGAATTTGACAAAGAAAAGCATGGGTAAAAAAAGATAGGTTACCAGACTGAATTGTTCAAACGGTTCACAAAAGTGGCTGCATTGTGAATCTTTAAGTTTCATGTTAATAAATTTGATGTACATGTACTGTTGGTGTTTCCCTATCTCACAGCAAAGCCAATCTGTAGTGAAGGTTAAAAATTTGGGACCAAATACTGTCACAATATTTCAAATAATATGTACATGTACACTGTAGATCATGTACATGTAGTCGAACCTAAAAATTCATTCTAACTGAAAATATAATTTTATTACCAGTAATTATAAGTAAGTTCAGAATAAATAAAATAATGAAGAAGAATGTCATTTGTAATTAGCTCATGCAGTTCTAAGTGTCTCTGGTGCATTTATCTCTCTGTAGGTGTCATATTGGCTATAATAATAATATCTTTTAAAGAACAATGGAAAAGAAATCCTTACAAAGAGTCAGAAAGAAATGGGTCCATTTCCAGGATTGATGATATGGTACAATATCATTTCAATTAATGTTATATTTATAATTTGAACAACAAATTTATTGTTCCTCATTACAGTCATTGGATAAAACCAATGGAGATGTAATTAGAACCTCAGACATCAAAAGAATATATTTTTATGGTTTCTACACCAATAAATAGGTATGATACTGTCTATGTATGTTGAATGTTCTATAAAAATATCGGGTACTGATGTATAGATGAACTACAGGTGGCAACCAGTTTCTAGTAACAGGTATCTAACAACTATAAACAAATAATATGGTTTTATCATATCATTGTCTAGATGTTCACACTTCTCTACTTTATAGTTTATACGAAGATCAAGGGTTCTAACAACATTTCTATAATTCATTTCCTACATCTTATACTTCTATTAACAGCCTTTCTAAACATACATTCCAGGAAACAAAACAATACCACCATGTCACAAGTGATCAGATAAAAAAAATCAAAAATTTTCAAAAACATCAGATCATCATTTAAGCCTATAATTAACTTTTAAGGGGCTAACAAGATTTCATAACAAAGGGGAATAACTTTGAAAGTTATTAATGAAAATTTTAGAAAATGAATACGTTTTTTTTCTCTCCCACAGTACAGACAACCAGTATAAATTGCAGAAAGATTTGATCATCCTTTAAGGCACCATGTATAAAAATTTTGTAACAAAGGGAAATAACTCTGGGAAATCGCTGAAAATCAATAAGCTTTTTCATTTTAATGGGATAGACTGTGCCTTTGAACTCCACTCGGACTGCTATTTTAAACTCTTTGAGTATAGAGTTAAAATGGGACGTATTCCATTTAGCTGCCTGTGTGCAAAATTAAAGATACCATTTAAATCTACAGATCCACTGGTGTGATACAAATATGCTAAATTCTAGACTCTCTGAAAACTGTAGTTGTTTAGTTGCTGTTAAAGATCAGAATTAAGTTTCAAGTTGAAGTCTATTTTAAATATGACATGATTTATTTTCATGGTTAAAGTGATAAAACCTTTTAAGCTTATTTAACATTCCTATTTATAGATATTCATTGTTATAGCTAGTTGACATATTTTAGAAAAAAAAAGAAAATTCACTTTAAAATCTGCAAATTCATTTTTCTAAGTTTACCACTGTTTCTGAGGATATGTAACTGAAGCCAATTAATCATAAACAAATGTTTTAAGACATCTACATAAATGATTCTACAATCTATATGTAGGTTTTTTTGTTACTTACTTTTATAGACCCACCACCCCCACCCCAGATCTTTGAAAATTTCCTTGCTACATGTATGTGTAAATTTTGAATTGATATTATGAATATCTCCCATTTGATTTGGATGAAATTTATCTTAAACTCCAAATTTTGTTTGCTGGGATCTTTAAAAAAACACAATATTCTGGTTTTTAAATAGCTATCATTTGTCTTCATTAAAATCATAGTCTATTAGCCTTTGTTTAAACTTCATTATCCTAATTCATCTGTTTTTGGCACACAAACCCAGTTTCATTATCCTGTATCTATTGTTGAGAATGTCAAAAGTTCTTGGGTTGTTTATATTGTTCAACTAGTTTAGAACTACTCCAAACTATCTTGTAGTAACTTTTAGCAATTAATCACCTGAGCTACAAGTACTTATAATATACAAGTTGATGTGAGTTGTGGGTGGGCCTCCTACTGAGATCTATTAATACTTAACAAAACCCAGATTTGTGTGTTGACTGAGAATAGCTGGTTGCAGTACTGTACTTGCTGATGCAGTAAAATGAAATGAAATGGTGTTTTAACGTCCTACCTTTCTCTACCGATTGGGATCATGGAGATGGGACTTGCTGATGCAAAGATGTACAAATTCTTTTTAACATTTCAATAAATCTTGTATGAATTTTTTATGAATCTTTCAACCATTAATCAACTCGAAGTACAACAGAATGAAATTTATCATCACTAAAAAAATATGTGAATAATATTTGTCACTTTTTGTTATCTGCTTTATTTCATTCGGGAAACTTCTTAACACTTCAAACAAGTGTTTTATAAAGAGATTGCTTTATATTAATTGTCATAGAATTATTAACTAAATTACAATAAGTTAGCGTAAACGGTAGTCTAAATCTGCTCAGGGGAGTGCAGCAGGTTCACACAGATTATATCGGAACAAACTTAACTGCTCAGGCAGCAATTGTCAGAAGTTATAGTAAATTATAAGTATACATGTGCATATTTCTCTTGTCAATTTCCACAAAATGTATTGAAATGTTCATGTCTCGAGTCGGCAATTAAAGCTGACCTGTACAGATGGGAAAGATACATTCTCATAGGAAAAATAGCCTTCATGGAAGACAGGTTTGATTTTAAACCAATTTATTTTCCCCACATTTATGTTTATGTCGGTAAAGTTGTGATAGCTTAACAACCACTTGTGTTTTAACACATCTTGTACAGCAGTAAATTTATGCTAGCTTAACCACTTAAAACCAACTTAAGCATCTGAACTAATGTAAAGCAGCAAAGCAGTGTTTTCTTTCAATACTCCTTCGTTATGATTATATAAGAAAAATATACTTTACTATGCAATATGAAGACAAGTCAAAACTAATCTGTCCTTTAAACTATCTTCCGAAACTCATTTTCAAACCAACCAAAAACTACTGCTTATAACTATGAGATCGTCCAACTCACCAAAGAACTTAAATAGTTCATAGATTTTAACATTATTTTGGTAGTTTCAGGTTCTAGAGGGAGCTGTAATTTTGGGCAGACCATGGGCTGTAAGCGCACGTTGATCCAATAACAAGTCCAACATCAATTGGTCAATAATATAATATATAATTTCTTTCATCGTACACACAGAATAACATATAATTATTCCTATCTGTGAAATATTAAATGGCTTCAGAAGATTTTGATACCCGATAATGTCATTGGTTTTTACTACTTTGGTGGTTAGGGTACTACAGTCTCTTGGCTTCAAAACCTGGCATAATGCCTGTGGGATTAATAAGGAAATCCCTAGTCAATACATCAATGTGCATGCAGAAGTACATGTACCGGTACAATGTCAAATATAAAATATGATGGAATAAGAATCACTAGAAATAATGAGAATTATAATGAAAATCTGAAGGTCTTCCACATATAGGCCCCAGGCTACTAGATATACATTGTACACTGGTTCCGATTCCTGTTAACAACAATATATTGTACAAAGGTACAATAAAAAGAAGATAGTTATTTTTCTATTTCTGCTTTGAAATGTCAATAAACTGCCACATGTACACCTGGTAATATGTAGTACATTATTACTTTGTCTATTAATATACTTTTCTTTACAATTAGATTCAGTTTTGTTTCTTTCTTCGTTTTCTGGTACCAACAGAAAGCATTCATCAAAATTTCATTATATCACGTACATGTAACACATTTCAAGGATCATATAATTTGATGTAATTTCCAAGTTTCAACAGTTTAACTGGCATATTGAATCTATTAATAAAATTAAATAAGGTTTGACATCCTACTGTTCTGCAGCGACTGGGATAATAAAGACAGATGTGCAATATGCCCTTCTCAAGGTTTTTTTCTGTGCATGCCAAAGTGTCACAGGACCTTTTTTTGGTCCTATCCGAATGACTAGACACTGTCATTGTCAGGCCCTTAATAACAATAAACTGTTTCAATGGCATTTTACAAATGAACTGGATATTCACAGGACAAAATTATATGGAATATAATTATTAGCCACATCTCAACAAGGATTCTACACAATGTCTAAGAAGATGAATCAAAATGATTAAGTAGCAATGGTGATTTAATATGCCAGTCCCAGAAAATCTTTATGCTGTGGAACATTAATTGTACAATGGTATGATCTTTAATCATAATTTCATAGTTTATTCATGAAGGAAGAAAATACTTTATACATCAAAATCCCTCAGACATCAGTGGCATATCTTGCACTGTTTATTAATGATTATTCTCAAAGGAAATAGACTATAAAAAGATCGCTGGGATCAAACCAGACATGATTCTAATATTTACTGTAGTGTATGTAGGTATAAATTTAGCTATATTATCAATATCTATATAAACCATTAAATTTTAAATTGTCTAAGTTATGAGGATATACAAAAACGATTACATTATCAAAGCATTAAATCAAAACACATTCAAAGAAAATACACTTCACAAGTTAATGGCATAATCCCAATGTTTTGGGGTGTGTCTGTGTTAAAAATATGCTCTAAAAAAATGTGTTTTACGTCACATGGTGTCAGAAGTGGGATGATAGATCAAGGTAATCAACCAAGAGAAATATGTTTCTTGAAACAAAAATAAGAGCAGTTTCTGTAAACCAAGATGCAAAGAAAGCTGAAAATAAGATGTACTAACTGCATCGTTTCTGTACTGGCGCAGGTCAAATTTAAATACTCTAGCAGAAATAGAATTCGTTCTACAATATGGATAGGTAAATTTGACACCATTTAGAACTCTTTAGAAGCTATAATAGGAACTTTTGAAGAATAGCAAATCCAGATGAAATGAAATGGGGTTTAACATCCTACTGTTCTGCACCAAGACAGGCATACTGTATACCATTTTGCCCCGAACGACTAGATTTTGTGACTTGCAAGGTCGTGGGCCCTGTCACATTGACCAGGGGAACCACAACCAAAACAAACAATTTCATTGGATAATTTGAATAGACAGTGACATACAGATGACATCATGGGGGTCAGTCTAAATTACAGTTGTTTGTAATGGACACATATTTTTGTCAGAGTAAAACACAAACACTACATGTATATTACATGTACGTTGACCCCCAAGAGGGTGTACTAATTAGCTGATTCTAGGGTAAATACAGTATCAGTAAGTACTCTAATTGCACCAAGCATCTTTTAAAAAAGACCATCTGTTTTAATGATAATATAAGTCGGTCAGTAAGGTATTTGACTAATCATTCATATACATCTTTTACACGGTTTTAACTTCTACTAATATTCACCTGTCATAAATCTCTAGACTTAAGAGAAAAACCTGAAACCAGGTAAGCTTTAAAACAGACAGAAGAATGAACAATGAGTCACTGAGATTAGTTCTGGTGAACTTCTAAGTTGCCATATTCTTTATTTGTAAGATGCTCTAGTGAACCCAACACTTCTATGGAAAATAATTACTGTATTTACTTAGCTCAAACATAGCTCTGATTAAAAAAAATATAGTAATTGTTTTCCATGGAACTGTTGTGTTTATTTTAATGTGATCAATTACTAAAAATGTTGTTTAAAGAGTACTTTTAGTGAACTCTAGGGTTGAACAAAATTTATTTAGAATACAAGAAGTGCTCCCATTTCTTTCAGTGGATCACCATTAGCAAGGCGCACATGTACCTTTCTTTTTGTGCAGTGTGGAAGGTCGAAAAATACTGTGAAAGATTTTTACCTTTTTTGGCGAGGGCTCCAGCACTGTTGAATATTCCGTCGTTACTGCTAACGGCTACTTCTCCATCTGTTATCAATTCTTTCCATAATCGACCAACCCCCTCTCGGGTAAACGCAGTCTGAAAAAAAACAGAAAAAAACAATATACAAATATACTTCCCTTTAATAATAAATCTGACTTGATTAAGACAAGTTTGTTTTAGAAGTTATAGCATTATTTATTGCAGTAGATGTCAAGTAAATAATATAAAGGTATTTTCTGTTTGAAGCGATTTTCTGTTAGATCTCCTGAAAAAGAATTAAGATGAATATTTAAGACAACCCTTAATGAGAGTTGATCTTAAATAATAACTACATCAGTGCAAACAATAACAGTTATCATTATTCTCAACTCAAAGTTTCTCTTGATTCAATTATTCATTCAATACACATATGTACAATGATATTACTATGAAATTTTATTACTATTCCCACCTAGATGTTTATCCTTTAGGAGAATTATTTCATCAACAGACACAAGAATATTTCAATGCAATTTATTACTGTTCTCAACTCAAAGAAATAAAAGTACATAGTAATTAGCATGTACAGTATTAACATCTGTTAAAGAACAGTTAAACTTAAAGTAGCTAAGTCTCTAACTCAATATCATCCAAAATCTTCAACATTGAAAACAAAAAATTATTTGTCAATTTAAATCAACATTGATGCTGTGATCTTAGCTTACTGGAAAAAGATGGGCTTCTGATATCCAATATTTAAGACAAAATAAACATTTTACCATTGGTACACGAATCGTGTACCATAATGCGTTTCAGCCCCAAATCTAGCAAGAGACTCGAGGAACGAGGCTAGACATATTGCACCAAACCAAACGGCGTATGTAGTCTGGAATAACCAGGCGCTAGAAATTTGCATTCGATTGAGACTGCTGGCTTATTTCGCGGAACATAACTAATTTGGATTAGAGTAAAAACGGAAACCATTGAATACATCAGTATCATATGAGTTGCAACCCACTTGTGTCAATTTGTAGGTCCCAAATGTTAGCGATTTAGCTCCTTTAACTGAATCATTGTATTAACAGGGTTCTAATATGTTTGAGTCCATTCAGCACTATAAAATTATGTCAAGGCTTTCTCAGTACAACAATGGGTGCAATTGTATTATAATGATACAGAAGAAAACATTATTTGCTGCCAAGTTCAGAAAAACAATAGTCTAAAAAATAACAATGGATGTTTATATGACAACCATGAGTTGACGGATGAACTTTGTTTTCAAGTTTTTCTTGTGGTTTAAAGGGGCAGTACCAGATTTTTATATATTTACCTTGTCTGAAATTTTCAAATCAAAGTATATGTATTGCACTGTTGGGAAATGTCTAAATTTATATATCAGACATTCTTCAAATACATGTTTATGAGTGATTTGGTAACCATGATAACTTAAAAAGTGTGACTTCAGCAAGCACTTACATAGCATGAAATTTTGAAGCTTATGGACAACCCTGCATGGAAACTGAATGTTTGAAAGAGTACCAGGAACCTTCAGATAGTTGCACAGGAATAAAATAAAGTTTTGAAATAGACCTTGACCCCAAATAAACCAGATTAATTCTCTGAAATATATATCTGGAATGGCTCAACAAAACATTTAATGAGTATTTCTTACAGATCAGTTCATCTCAATTTCATTAATTAAGAATATTGGGTGCATGCATATATTTTGAATTAACCATTTAAGCAAGTTTTTATCATTTATTTGGGCACATGATTGTTTATCCAAAGCCAACTCAAAATAACAAGTGTTGAGCCAATATAAATATGGGTAGTAGAAATAGATCTTTAACTTGATATTGTTGATGTATAGATTATAGTAATATTAATAATTCTCTCATTACAAGTGCTGCTGGTATAGTTCCAAACACAAATAGTTCACCAAGTTAGGAAAGATAATAAATATATCAAAATATGAATGAATTTCTGAATTTATCTTACATATATGTCCAAAAAAAAAAGTACACCCTAAACCATCATATTATGTCTACTGAATACATCAAGGTATACAATTTATAGCATTCTATTTCATTGGGCCATGGTTGCCTTCTTTGGCATAATCATTTTATTTTTCTATTAAAGACTTCAACCATAAACACACAAAAGCTGTCTTAGGTTTAGGGAGGAAACAGATTCCTTTAATATCAATTTAAATAATTTTAAAATTTGTTCCCTGGCAAATGTAAATCCTGCATAAGCCATTGAATGAGTCACTATTTCAAAAGACAATTTAACACTTCTGATTTATTGAAAGCCTAACCCTGTAATATAAAGTTCAAGGTAGAGGTATAATTTAAGGTATTTAGTAGAAAGCTGACCAACATCTTGAAGGTCAGATGATATATTGGTTATTTTGACACCTGACTAACTACTGTATCAATATAAACAACACTTGTATATACAACAATCCACGGAACACAATAAACTATCAACACCCAATTGTCATATCCTATTTATTAAAGAAGAAAAGAGTGGTTAAGAAATTAGATACATGTATCTTAATTAGATTGGATAAGATTTTAACATTTCATCAACAAAATACTTTGATCATTTCAAGACTAAATTAGTTATTTTTTCTACGTTGGTGATTGCAATGCTTTTAATGAGAATTTTGTCATGGCAGCGACATTTCAGATTGTTCATCATAGGAGGACAGTTTCTCCTTATTTGTGGTGCAAGACAGAGGTCTTGGCAGGATACAGCGTCTAGTTGATGTGTATGTAAAATTTAAGAACCCTTGACATTTGTAATTCAAAATTGTAGGCTAGTGCTGTAGCACACTTGTCCTGACAAAATAACCCTCATAACACACTACCTGTCTTTATTAACCTGGATGATGCAGACAGAAGTACACTGACCGACAAGTGGAAAATTGCAAAGTTGTTCTTGGCCCACGCTTGGATGTTCTCTTCAAGTTTTCAGTTGCTTTTGAGACTTGGAAGACTGTCTTGGTGTAAAACGAAATTAGTACTTCAATGAACAGCGAAATTTGTGACTAGCGAACTAAGTAACAATGTGCAACAAGATGTAACCCATGTGTTGTATGTCAGTACTGTCTGTTGAATATTGACCTTCAGTACCTACCTTCTGTCTAACTTACATGTACCAGTAATTCTGGTATTAACTTTTTATTGGTAATAAATCCGGCAGTTCTACACCAAGTTATATTGACAATGAAACTAGCTCTACACAGCGCATTTTCACAGCAATGGTCTTATTTTAACCAAACTTATCTAAAACCTTTGAAAATTTATGATTTGGTATTTGGTAAATACGGAAGTGAAATTAACTGAAATGGGTTTAATGTCCAACTTTTTAGCTCCAAAATACAGAATTAAGTTTGTATAACTTAGACAATTTTTGTTTGTAAATAAAATGTAATTGCACATACATTGTAACACCTTAAATTAAGTCAAAAAAATAAAAAGCATGTATTCCAGAATACTGGTAAATAAAACATTTTGTGAATGGCCCCTAGCCATGCTTATTAAACGATGCCAAAAAAACTAGACAAGAATGACAATACACAGAGTAGCAGAAGTGGAATTGGTATGAGAAATGTCAATGTTCAGGAAGCCTATACAGGACATGTGGTATCAGTTTTTTGGTACCACAGCCAATAGCTAGAGTATACAAATACTCTGGCGTTAAGCTTACTATAACAAATAGATCTTTCTCACCGATATGAGTCATGATACATTAATAAATTAAACTACGTCTGCTATCATACATGCAGATCTAGTTCATGATTTGATGCCGAATACGATAAGCATATTAGTATTAATTAACCATCTCTTAATTACAACATACTGGCAAACAGTCTGGCTTGTTTATTTATAAAACACTGTAAGACAGAACACTATAAAGCTGGCCAGAAATTTGGTTTTATTATATAATGGTAGAGAATTTTATTGTCCATTACAAATGGTCTATTCAAAGCGCTCAACATTATTTATATAAGCTAAATTGTATTTTTCTAAAAGCTGTGTTAATATTAAAAATAGTATCGGAAACAGCTAGCACTGTCATCCAACCAAGCCATAATAAACAAATTGTCTCAATTGTCTCAATGTGCTGAAAAGAACCTCAGGATTATTCAGGGCCGCTTCTAGCCTGTCAGGGTTAGGACCAACAGAGCTGACAATTACATGCTCCTGACTGAACACATTGGCATGTGTCTAAAGAGCCTCTGACTCTTTAGAGTAAATAAAATTTTCACAGTTGAAGTAAATAAAGACTAAGCAGAAACACTGCTGGGAAGATTTTTCAGCACAAGCACTGCAACACTAACAATGAGTATAACATAATTAATCACATGTTAATCTAAGAATAACCAAAGTATTGTGTCAATAAAGACCTAAATTCCATTTCTTGGATGAAATTAACTGTATTTCCTGCTACTGCATAAAAAGACTGTGAAGTGTCATACATATCTAAAATAAAATAATCAATCTATTTACTGTGTACTGTGAGTTTATCCCCAAAAGGTGAAATTAATTTGGTCCTACTACAGAAAACAGAAGGTCAGATCTTGCCCAGAGACAATAAACAAATAACAATTGAAGAGCAGAAGCAAAGGATTAATGATGTACATGTGATCTCATCAAAAATGGTATTTAGAGAATGATTAATATAATAACATAAACCATTCTAAAATAATCTTTATAATAATAGTTAACTTAACTAGCTGTCAATACCAATAATGTTCCAATGCTATACATGTATAGAATTATAGCAACACTTATAGTTGGCATGTTTTAACTAATCACTAGACATGTCATGTTTCCAACAGACACCAGCAGCACACATCAGTATTTGAACACAGCACCCCAGTCCAAAATGTCAAAATATATAAAGAATATTTCTAAAATAACACTAACAATTTTATAGAAAATTGTATTGTTAGTGTTACCATAAGTACGGTAATAATATTACTAAATTTTACATAATGATTGATATCCTTAAAAACCATAGAGAGTAAAGATACATAAACACACAATCAGCAATGACAAGAAATATTTAAATATCAAAATATAATTACTATTCAAGTGAATAAAAAG